CTCCACCCCCAAAGCCACCGGTGCCCACATGCAGGCCACTTTGGGTGGGTCACACGTTGACATGGACACCCGGGAAGAGGGGCTGCCTGGAAAACCTCGCTTTTCAGCTCAAGTGAGAGCCACGGAGTGTGGGGTGGGAGCTGGGCCTGGGCTCCTGGGAACCCACATGACCTGGAAGAATTGGGGGGCTGGGTTCTGTGGGGTTGGATGTCCTGGTCCCTGTGCAGCTGCCCCCCTACCCTGGACAGCATGGCTGGCGTCCCTGGGTGGGGGTGGGATGGAAGCCCTGACTCCCAACTCCTGGCCATGTGGGGCCTGACCCCCAAAGGCTGGGAACTGGCTGAGACCAAGGCCAGGAGGGTTCTGGAGCCTGGTCCCAGGGCCTGGGGGCTGGGCTGAGTTCCAGTGGCTCAGCGGCTCCTTTGTCCCCCGAAGCAGCCGCATGTGGGCAGGTGGCTGAGCCCGTTCTTCCTCACCTGTGCTGTCTACTTTCTCCTCTGGAGCCCTGAGAACCAGCCGTCCTGGGTCGGTGCCCTGATCAAGTGCTTGCCCATCCTCTACCTGGTGGTGTTCCTGTGGACCGTGTACCCCGGCGGGAGCTACAGCTTGCTCCTGCAGGGGGCCCTTGTGTGCTCAGCTGTGGGGGACTCCTGCCTCGTCTGGCCTGAGGCCTTCCTCCATGGTGAGAGGGGCTGTGTTGTGTTGTCCCTTCTGGACCCCGGCGGGGGGGGTGTCCGGGGTGCAGGGGGCGACTCCCCAACAGAGCCCCTGCCAAGTGCTTGAGCCAGTTGCCGTGTAAAGGCACTGGGAAATGGACGGCAGTGAGGGAGACATACCCAAACCTTGGCCCCCGAGGAGCTCTCCTTCCATGAGGGCGTGGGCAGCATTACCTGAGGCTGTGTGAGTGTCCAGAGGTCACAGTCCTGAGTACGCTGGTCGAGGACAGCCTCGCCGAGAAGGTAAAGCCTTGAAGCGGGTGCAGGGTACCAGCCCGGTGCCCTTCCAGGGAAGGCCCTTGCAGGCAGAGGGGCAGCAAGTGCAGAAGCCCTGGGGTGGGTGTGCCTGCCGGGTGAAGCCGACTGGGGGCTGAGCAAGATGGGGTGTCAGTCAGTGGACAGTTCTGAGCAGAGTGAGGATGGAACGCAGTGCGCGTTTTTAGGTCATTCTGGCGCCAAGAGCAGGAGGAAAGAGGACCACCAAGGAGGCCAGCGTTGTAATCCTGGCAGATGGGGTGGTGTGGCCAGGGTGGGAGCTGGTGTTTGGGGAAGGCCCTTTTTCTCAGGCTCTGAGGGCAACGAGGTGATGCCAGGAAGCAGGGGTCTCAGCAGGCGCACCCACCCCTGTCTCCTCCAGGCATGGCTGCCTTCACCGTGGCCCACCTGCTCTACCTCTGGGCCTTCGGCCTCACTCCCCTGAAGCCTGGCCTCCTGCTGCCTGTTCTCCTGGCTTCCATCCCATATTATGGCCTCCTGCTTTGGCACCTCCCGCCTGACATGGTCCTGCCCCTGACGGCTTACTCCCTGCTCCTGGCCGTTATGCTGTGGCGCGGCTTGGCCAGGGGCGGGAGTACCTGCTGGGGCGCCCTGCTCTTCACGCTTTCAGATGCCGTGCTGGCCTGGAACCTCTTCGTCCATCCCCTGCCCCATGCCCACCTGGTGGTCATGGCCACCTATTATGCTGCCCAGATCCTCATCGCCCTGTCGGCCTTCCAGAGCCCCAGGCTCAAGTCCAACTGACCAGGGGCTGAGGCAGGCAGATGTCCACCCCCCTCCTCCCTCAAGGACCTGGGCCCCCAAGATCAGTGAGGCCAGAGAAACACCCTTGGGGGTGAGAGCCAGTCCCCCAGACTCCCATCTGCCGGTGCCAGTCTATCTGGAGACACAGAACTGTTTCTGGCCCTGATCTGTTTTTCTGTTGCCTAAGTAAAGTGGGTGTTGAAATGGTGACATCTCCATTATTTGGGGAGGGGTGATCACAATAACGGCAAGTGGTTCGTTTTCCTTTTTTTTTCCTCCCACAAAATTTACCATTTTAACCACTTGTAAGTGTATGACTTAGTGACGTTAAGTACATTCACAGTGTTGTGCCTTGAACACTTGCTGTGAGATCTACCCTTGGAACACGTTTTCACATGTACAACGCAATGTTGTTAACTATACCCACAGCAGACTCCCTGTGGACCAGTCCTGGTGCCCAGGACTTAGGGGATATGGAATAACCAACCGCCCCCCACCCCAGGCCCTTTGATGGTGGTGGGGATTCATTATGTTCATTGTACAGATGAGGATTTTACAGATTTGAGGCCAGGAGGAGACAGCTTGGTCAATGTATTAGTTTCCTGTGGCTGCTGTCACAAGTTACCATAAACTGGGTGACTTAAAACAACAGATTTAATCTCTCACAGTTCTGGAGGCCAAAAGTCCAAAATCATGGTGTTGGTAGGGGTGCCCTCCCTCCAAAGCTCTAGGGGAGGGTCCTTCCTGCCTCTTCCAGCTCCTGGTGGCCCCGGCCACATTCACATGGTGTTCTCCCTCTGTGAGTCTGTCCTCTCCTGAGGACACCAGTTGTTGGATTTAGGGCCCACCCTAAATCCAGGATGATCTCATCTCAAGATCCCTAATTACATTTCCGAAGACGCTATTCCTAACTAACATCACATCCATAGGTGCTGGGGCTTAGGACTTGGGCATATCTCTTTGGGGGCCACAGTTCAACTGACGACAGTCACATACAGTACCAGGAGAGGAGAGGGTTGAGGAGAAGAGGAAACTCAAGAAGAGACTTGGAGGAAGGGGTAGGTAGCAACACGGTGGGAATAGAGTACTAAGTAAGAAAGAACCTGGGTATGGCCCTCGTCCTGGCTGTGACCTTGATAGCCCACTGCGCCTCTCTGGGCCTCAGGTTCTACATGTGAGGACAGAAAGCAGTCAGAGCTGCTCTCCAAACCCTGCTCAATTTCTACAGACATGATGTGCTTTTAGGGACTCTTACAGCAGAGAGGAGACTTCTACATTCATGATGTGATTTTTTTAGGGACTTTCATAGCAGAGAGGAGACTTCTACATCCATGATGTGATTTTTAGGGATTCTTAGAGCAGAGAGGAGACTTCTGCATCCATGATGTACTTTTGGGGACTCTTATAGCAGAGAGGAAACATCTACATTCATGATGTGATTTTTAGGGACTCTTACAGCAGAGACAGGACTTATACAAACATGATATGCTTTTAGGGACTCTTATAGCAGAGAGGGAACTTATACACCCATGATGTGGTTTTTTAGGGACTCAGAAAGGAGACTTATCCGTGATGTGTTTTTAGGGACCTCCAGAGCCCACCCTTGGTTTCTAGTCCCTGCCTCACCTTCAGGCCAGGATCCCCACTCACCATAGAGGAAGGCCTCAGGCCAGAGGAGGCATGTGTTCTGGGTGGGGGTGCCCTGCTCTTCACAATCTCAGATGCCACGTTGGCCTGGGATGCCTTCCTTCAGCCCCACACCCACTTGGTGGTCTTGACCACCTCTTACACTGCCAAGGTCCTCATCACTCTGTCAGCCGTTAAGGGTGGGAGACTCATGACAGACTAACTGGTGGGTAAATGAAGTGAGCACCCTCTGCCCTCCTAAAGGGCCCCCCAGAACAACCTTCCACCCCAGGGAAACGTGCTAAAGGAGCAATATTTCCAGCCTCCATCTGTCTAAAGCCCATATTCTGTTTTTTTAAATTGAGATATAGTTGATATAAAACATTGTGTACCTTTAAGGTGTACTGGTGTTGATTTGATGCATTGATACGTCGCAGTTTGATTATTACCCTGGTAATGTTAGCTGACATCTCTAAGGCATCACATAACACCTATTTTTTTGTGTGTGGTGGGACCAATTAAGATCTAGTCTTTCAGCAACTTTGAAATTTATGATACAGCATTGTTGTCTGTAATCACTATACTGTGACCATGTTCTGTTTGAAGGCATTTATATCCAATTCCTGAAAACGATGTTATGATCGCAGCTTTATTGAGATACTCTTCATATACCACCAGCTGCCCACTCAAAGTGTGCATGTGGTTTTTAGTATTTTCACAGTTTTGCAGCTATCACCACAATCAGTCTTAGAGCATTTTCATCACCCCCAGAAGAGACCCCGTGCCTTTTACAAATCACCCATCCCCTCCAGCCCAAGGAAACCACTAGCATAATTCACTTTTTTTTTTTTTTTTTTTGCTGCGCCGCGTGGCTTGCAGGATCCCCGACCAGGGATTGAAGCCGTGCCCTCGGCAGTGAAAGTGCAGGGTCCTAACCACTGGACTGCAAGAGAATTCCCCATAATTCATCTCTAAATGTTGGTGTTTCCAATCATTTGGGTTGTTTTCAGTGTTTTTTTTCTTTTAATTTTTTTAAAATTGAAGTATAGTTGATTTACAATGTGTTAATTTCTGCTGTACAGCAAAGTGATTCAGTTATACATATACAAACATTATTTTTTAAATATTCTTTTTCATTATGGTTTATCCTAGGATACTGAATATAGTTCTCCAGGGACTTCCCTAGTGGTCCAGTGGTTAAGACTCCTCACTTACAATGCTGGGGGCGTGAGTTCCATCCCTGGTTGGGGAACCAAGATCCCCCATGCCCTGTGATGTGGCCAAATGACAAAAAAAAAAAAAAACCCATCAAATATAGTTCTCTGTGCTGTACAATAGGACCTTGTTGTTTATCCTTCTGTGTTTCATGATGATAAACAATTACTACTCTGCACTCAATTCCAGTGTGGGGCTTGCTCCCCTCACCAACAAGCCAATCTCCAACACCAGCTGGGTGTCCTGCAAGTCAACTCAGTTCTGACACTATCCCACAGGTTAAGGACTCAGTCCTACAAGACTGCCACCTTTTACCCCCCACCCCCACTTCAGATTCCGGTCACAAGCCCAGGTTGTTAACCTGTGCTTCTGACCAACTGGCTATAAATCAGAGGTTCCCAAGACCCCCCTCCTCGGGTTGGATTAATTTGCTAGAGCAGCTCACAGAACTCAGAAAAACGTTTCGCTTACTAGAACACTGGTTTATTACAGAATGTAACTCAGGAACAGCCAGATGGAAGCACAGGCACAGGGCAAGGTGTGGGGAGAGGGCACGGAGCTTCCATGCCCTATCCAGAAAATGTTCCTCTCCCCAATCTCCACGTGTTCACCAACCCCGCAGGGTAACTATAGATTGAGACTAGGCTGGGACCGGGTGGCCTGACCCCTACTTCAAGGTCACTCCCTCCAGTCCCATTTCCACCTGGCGCTCTGGCCACACAGAAATCCCCCCAGATTACCCCCAGCCCTCTCCTCCCTCTTAGCCCTGACATGGGCTCTCCCCTCTGCCTGTGATGACTTCCCAATGCAGTTCTTCACTTGACCAAACCCTGCTCTTGTACGAAGACTCAGCCCCGGTGTCACCTCCCACTAAGGGACAGATGCTTCCTCGGTGCTCTCACCATTGTAGCCCACTTCATGTCACTCTGCGGTTACCTTCCCAGTCTGCCTCCTCACCACAGTGTAAGCTTGGCCAGGGCTGGAAGAGGCTGTTTGCCCTTGGAGTCCCCGGTGTTGGTTGAGCCTGTGGTCCTGCCTGTAGGAAGCCATAGGTGTTGGGAAAACACCTGCAGGCAGGCAGGGAATTGCTTCAAGATGGTGAATGAACACGGCTTCAGTTCTTGAACCACACAAGGAGAGGAAAGCGTGGAGCAGAGAGACTGATGTCCACTGAGCAGCAAAAACAGTGAGAAACTCCTGGGAAGATTGAAGGGGATTGTGAGCTGGGTGGTGGAGGGGTGGACAGGGTTGGCAGCTGGAGCGGGCTAGAAAGAGGATAGCCACGGAGTCTGTAAAAAGAGAGTTTGGCCCCTCCTGGGGGCAGCCCCACAGAACTGAAAACATACAATGTTTTCGTACATACAACATACAACTGAAAACATACAATTCAAGCAACATTATTTTTAACAGCCAAAAAGGTGGAAACCCAAATGTCCATCAGCTGGTGAATGGAGAAACAAATTGTCATCTATCCATAGAGTGGAATATTATTCAGCCACGAAAAGGAATGGAATATGGACTTTGGATGATTATCATTGTGTTCATCAATGGTAACCTGTACATTTTGGGGATGTTGACAGTGGGGGAGGTTATGCATGATGGGGGCAGAGGGTGTATGGGAAATCCCTGTACCTTCTACTCAGTTTTGCTGTGAACCTAAAAGTTGTGGTGAAAATAACTATGTCATGGGCCAGCAAACGTTTCCTGTAAAGGTGCAGGTAGTAACTTAGATCAGACCTGGGAGCAATGAAGGTGAGTGGACTCCAAATCCCATCAGGCCATGGGGTCATGACTTCATGAGCTGCAGTGACACAGAGTCCAAGTGCTCATGGGAGTTGTAGTTTAAGGGGGCATGTCTATTTGGGGACAACAGATAATGAGGGACGAAGAGGTATTTTGATTTAGGGGAAGGAAGGGATAAGCTATTTCTCAGAGAACTGGCCTGACTGGTGAGGAGTGGGGAGTTGGAAAGCCCCCCTGGATGGAGCCTACTGATTCCTCTTGTCCCCTCCACCCAGCCCTGGACCCCGTCACCATCACCTCCTGTATCAGCACCTCAGGGAGGGGGGGGCACGGAGTCACCCTCACCTAGTCCTGCCCCCTGGGAGGCTATGAGGCCTTTGAGTTGGAGGTGGGCGGGCAGCGGGACTCCAGGACAGCTCCTCTTGTGGGAGAGACGTGTGGGTGTCGGGACTTAGGCCGGCTCAGTCCTACTCAGCCACCATCACGACCGTCTGGGATGGAATGAGGGCCCAGTCTGCCTCCGTGACCTGCCACACCGAGAGCACAGGTGAGCAGAGCCCCACGGGGACAGAGAGCTATTGATACAATGACATTCTCTCCAGACCCCTTCACACCCTGTTGTGAGACAGTCTCACCAACCCATGGAGTCCTTTTTGTTTGTGTTTTATTTCCTGCTTTCTTTTAAACAGCTCTATTGAGTTGTAATTCCTATAACATACAACAGCTCACCCATTGAAAGTGTACAGCTCACTGACTTCTAGTATATTTGCAGTATTTGCAACCATTATTACCAGCAATTTTAGAATATTTTCATTAACCCATAAAGAAAAGTCATCTCCTTAAGCCATCACCCCCTAATTTCCCCAATCCCCCACCAACCAGCCATTGGCAATCTCTAATCTGCTTCTGTCTCCATAGATGTGCCTCTTTTAGAGCTTTCCTAAAAATACAATCACACAATATGTGGTCCTCTTTGACTGGCTTCTCTCACTTAGTATAATGTTTTTAAGGTTCATCCACTGTTCTAGTGTGTATCAGTGCTTCATTACTTTTTATTGCCAAAATAAGATTTCATTGTGTGGATAGACCACATTTTGTGTATCCATCTGTTTGATGGATCTGTTGGGCCATTTCTACTTTTTGGCTATTATGAGTAATGCTCTTGAACATTCGTGTGCAGGTTTCCATGTGGACGTATGTCTTCATTTTTCTTGGGTGTATACCCAGGAGTGGAATTGTTAGATCACATGGTAAGTCCGTGTTTAATCTTTTGAAGAACTGCCAAATTTTTTTCCAACACTGCCGCACCATTTTTCACCCACCAGTGGGGTATTTGAAGAAGTTTGAACCTCACACTCAGGAAATCTTTGATCATGTACCATTGACCGTGGTCATGGGCCTCCCTGGGCCATGTCAACCATTTCCTAGGAATGAAAGCCTCTTAGGAGATGGGGTCTCTGATCTGGAGACACTGGAGTTTGGTGTACTGATAAATGGATGCTCTTCCAAACTGGGCTCAGTGGGTCCCACTGTCCAGGATTCTCTGGTTTAGCAAGAAGGGTCTCTGAGAAGACAGGTCCTCTTGGATCCTGGACTGGATCACTCTTTCTGATGGGGAGGGGAGGCTGCCCTGGGCATTGTAAGATGCTGTAAGCAGCATCCCCGGCCTCCAGCCACTAGATGCCAGTGGCACCACGATCGCAGCTGTAACAACCAGAAGTGTCTCCAGACATTGCCGGATGTCAGCTGGAGGGCAAAATCGCCCTCTCTGAGAACGACTAGTCTAGGCCAAATTGGGGAAGAGTCACTCTCTGACAACCAGGTCACTTGAGAAAGTGATGCCTTTGGATCAGGCTCCTTGGGAAGTGAGGACCTAAGGGGAAGAGGTTGGGTGGGAGGTAGGGCTCTATCCAGAAGCTTTCTCCTTTCCCTTCTCTGCCCTTGAATCTACCCTCTAGACCCCCTGATCACAGTCTGGGTGAGGACAGAGGTAGGGGAGATGAGACAGCAGGAGAGCAGACCTAGGCTCTCACAGCCCACCACACCTCCTTCCCCCAGGGGCCATCGTGGGAGCCATAGTCAGTCCCCTTCTGTTTCTCATCCTGGTGGGCCTGCTGGTTTTCTTCCTGAAGAGGAGGTGAGACTTGGCGCAGGGCTCATCGGGCGCCAGGAGGGAGGGGGCCTGGGGAAAGATGGGGATCCGTGGTTCTGACCTCACTCCGCATGTCCTTTTCCCAGGCATAAGAAGAGTGAGAAGAAACCAGCACCCAGGGATCTGGTGTTCAGGTGAGTGGGTTTGGGGAGCATTCAAAAGACTCACTGTCAGGTCAAATCCAGCTGGTCACTGTATAGGTCAGAGGGCAGGGCCAAGGAACCCACCCACACCAGCCTCAGATCCCCACTGCGGCAGGGATCGCAATGCCTTCACCGCTGCCCACTCCCTAAGCAGCCTGGGCCGGTGGCTGTGGAATCTCTTTCAGTCTCAGTTCTGGGACTTCCATTCATTTATCCAAAAAGACATTCACTGAACCCCTGTTAAGTGTCAGGCACTGTTCTAGGTGCCGAGGAAACTGGCTGAAACAAAGATTCCTGCCCTTGTGGAGCTTGCATTCCAGCACAAGCAGCCATTAATAAACAAGATGATTAGGAATTCCCTGGCGGTCCACTTGTTAGGACTCCACGCTTCCACTGCAGGGGGCATGGGTTCAATCCCTGGTCGGGGAACTAAGATCCTGCAAGCCGTGCAGCGCGGCCAAAACAAACAAACACACAAAAAACAAAACCAAGATGATAAGGAACGTGATGCTTACTTGGAGACAAATAAAGCAAGAGGTGGAAGCAGGAAGGGTGGAGGAATATTTTAAACAGAGTGTCCAGGAGAGGCCTTACTAAGAAGATGACTGAGACGAAGTCATTTGAGGACAGACCTGAAGCAAGTGAGGGCAAGAGTCCTGTGCCCATCTGGGGAAAAGGCATTCCAGGCAGGGAGATCAGCAAGTGCGCTGGCCCCGAGGCAGGCACAGGCTTGGCGTGTTTGGAGAACGTGGTGTGTCTCTGAGACTGAGCAGAGTGGATGAGGCGGGGTGGGGGTGGGGGTGGGGTAGGAAATGAGGTCGGAGAGCTACCAGGTGGGATCAGATCAGGTTGGGCCTTGTAGATGGTAGTGGGGACTTTGGTTTTATCCTGAGATGGGAGTTTTTGGAGGTTTTCAATAGAACTGTGACACAGTCTCACATTTTTATGAAGCAAAGGCAAAAGCAGGGAAGCAAAGGAAGACGTCTGTATATAATCCAGATGTCTGTTATGTCTTGGAGCAGGAAACAGTTAGAGGGAATCAGATTCAAGATGCCGTTTGAGTGTTTGAAGAGCAGACCTGGTTAAAGAATGGATGTATGGTGTGGGATTCAGAGAGGGCTCAAGAGTGAACCCAAGGAATTCAGCCTGAGCCCCAGGGAGGCTGGAATGGCCATTACTTGAGACAGAATGACTATGCGGGGTGCAGGTTTGGGGGAAAGTATCAGGAGCTCAGTGGTGGACACACTGATTTTGGGATGCTTGTCAGACACTTGAGTGAAAACGCTGAATGGGCTGTTGGATACAGAGTTCCGTGGTTCAGAAAAACGTTTGTGCAGATGTCTTCATCACTCTGAGTCCCCTTTAGGTTGGGTCAGTCGTCATCAAATCTCTACGTCAGAATGATCCCCAGGGATCAATAGAGGAGGGATAGACCAGGGAGGAAGGGATGTTGCGAAAGCAGGTGAGACGGCCTGGCTGTAAAAGAAAGAGGCATAAACTGAGGGCGTGGCCATCAGAGGCAGGGGCTTGAGGGAGAGTAAATACGATGATGTCCAGTTTCTCCTTCGCCACAGAATCTGTCCTGGCCAGCGTCCCACCCCACTCACCCTGTGACCTCTCCCCTCCTTACCCTGTGTCCATTATATGGCATCTGCAACAAATCACTGCACCCATTGGATTCCAAGTCTGGCCCCACCTGTATGCTGAGCATCTTGCCCTCCTCAGCCTCAATGTGCGTGTTTGGATGTCCCAGCGATGACCCTCGAGGACACACAGGTGGAGATTCCAGGAGGCAGGTGGGAAAACAGCTCTGAAGCTCGGGAGGGGGAGAAGTAGGGACTGGCAATGGAGATTCAAAAATCACAGATGAATGGATGGAAAGCGAAGCTAAGGAAATGGACAAACCCCATAAGAAGTGTGTGTCCAGTGAGAAAGGGGGGATTGAGGATGGGCTTCTGGGGATGCCCACCTTTTAGGATGGGCAGAGGACAGGGGCCCACCAAGGAGATGGAGAAGCAGCAGTCAGAGAGACGGTGATGGTGCAAACCAGGAGAGGGTGTTCAGGAAGAGGGTGGATCCGGAAGAAAGGAAGACGCGGTCAAAGGTGCGAAATGCTGCTGAGCACTGAGAGGTGGCCTTTGGAATTGGTGATAAGGAGGCAAATAAGATAGGGGACTTTGAAAAAAGTCCTTGTTCCCCTGTAGTCGTGGTGGAGACACCAGGCCATGGTGAAGGGTGGGAAGGAAGCAGAGAAAACTGGTCAGTGTGAGAAGTTGGAATGTGAAGGTGTGTTCTCATAGGTCGTCTTATTGTTTAGGTGTGATAAGGCCAATGGATCCAGAGACAGACACCATTGAAAGATAGTTCATTACAATCACAGATCCCAGGAGAGGGATTACACGTTACCCCAAGCAAGGCCATGCAGAGAAGCACCAGGGTCAGCTGGGAGGTCGGGGAACACCTGAGGAAGAGGCTTTACTGTGGTTTCTGCAGCAAGAAGTGGGCAATCCAAGGCAGACGGGTTTAGTTTGAATCATTTCAGTGGACTCTGATGTACAGGGCCTGTCCCCTGTTCCGGCGGGGATTCCAGCAGACGGATCCCCAAAGGGGAGGTGGTGAGGGTGTGGATTTAATCAGCTTCTCAAGAAGGAGAACTGGGGAAATGCCTGGCGGTCCAGTGGTCAAGATTCCAGGCTTTCACTGCTAGGCCCGGGTTCAATCGCTGGTCGGGTATCTCCCACAAGCCACGCAGCGTGGCCAAATAAATAAACAAAACTGTAAAAAAAAAAACAACAACAAAATACCAGTCACGCAAAAAAGAAGAAGGTAAACTGACGAACCTCCAACCAGGGTCTCAAAACTGAGTCAAGACTGTATATATAACATCGTATATATAACACTATACTACAAGGGGAAGAGAGACAAAGAGCTGGAGCTGGAGCCACAGGAGGTCAAAGGATTCTTTTTTTAATACAGAAGTAAGATTAGCATGTTTACACACAAAAGGGAAAGAGGAGAAGGGAGAGATACAGCAGAGAGGGAAGAACCATGGCTAGAGAGGGCCACAGGGAATTGGGGCCCAGAGAAGGGCAGTGGTCCTAAGTGGGAGAAGAAATACCCTTTCCTTTTTTTTGAGTCAAAACAAATTTTGATTGTGGTTAAAAAAAACCAACAAATAACCTCCAGATAACAAATTTACCACCTCAGCCATTTTTACGTGTGCAGTTCAGTGGCATTAAGTCCATTCACGTTGTTGTGCAACCATCACCACCGTCCATCCATAGAACTCTTTTTTTAAAAAACTTTATTTATTTATTTATTTAGGTCACGCCACATGGCTTGTGGGATCTTAGTTCCCCGACCAGAGATTGAACCCACACCCTCAGCAGTGAAATCGCGGAGTCCTAACCACTGGACCGCCAGGGGATTCCCCGTAGGACTCTTTTCATCCTGCAAAACTGAAACTCTGTACACATCAAACACTCACTCCCCATTTCCCCCATCTCCCAGCCCCTGGAAACCACCCTTCTACTTTCTGGTTGTATGAATTTGATGACTGCCTCATATAGGTGGAATCGTATTTGTCCTTTTTGTTTGTTTGTTTGTTTGTTTTTGCGGTACGCGGGCCTCTTACTCTTGTGGCCTCTCCCATTGCGGAGCACAGGCTCCAGACGCGCAGGCTCAGCGGCCATGGCTCACGGGCCCAGCCGCTCCGCGGCATGTGGGATCTTCCCAGACCGGGGCACGAACCCGTGTCCCCTGCATCGGCAGGCGGACTCTCAACCACTGCGCCACCAGGGAAGCCCGTATTTGTCCTTTTATGTGTCCTTTTGTGACTGGCTCATTTCACTCAGCATAATGCCCTCCAGGTTCATCCATGTTGTTGTATGTGTCAGAATTTCTTTCCTTCCTTAGGAAGAATAATATTCCATTGTATGGTTAGACCACATCTTCTTTATCCATTCATCTATCAATGGACACTTGGTTTGCTTCCTCTTTTTAGCTACTGTGAATAATGCTGCTATGAACATGGGTGTACAAATATCTGAGACCTTGCTTTCAATTCTTTGGGATATGTACCTACAAATGGAATTGATGAATCAGAAACAACATCACTAACTTGAAAAGATATCTGCACTCCCATGTTCATAGTAGCATTACCCACAATAGCCAAGATATGGAAACAACCTAAGTGTCTGTCAATGGATGACTGAATAAAGAAGGTGTAATATAGGGCTTCCCTGGTGGCGCAGTGGTTAAGAATCCACCTGCCAATGCAGGGGACACGGGTTCGAGCCCTGGTCCAGGAAGATCCCACATACCATGGAGCAACTAAGCCCGTGCGCCACAACTACTGAAGCCCGTGTGCCTAGAGTCTGTGCTCCGCAACAAGAGAAGCCATTGCAATGAGGAGCCCTCGCACCGCAATGAAGAGTAGCCTCCGCTCACTGCAGCTAGAGAAAGCCCATTCACAGCGACAAAAGACCCAACGCAGCCGAAATAAATAAAGTTTTTTTAAAGGTGTAATATACATATAGAATGGAATATTATTCAGCCGTAAAAAAGAATGAAGTAATGCCATTTGTGGCAACATGGATGGACCTTGAGGGCATTATGCTAAGTGAGATAAGTCAGACAGAGAAAGACAAATACTGTATGAGATAACACTTATACAGTAAGTCCCTTACACACAAATGAGTTCCGTTCCAAGACTGTGTTCATAAGTCCAACAAAGTTAGCCTAGGTACCCAACTAACACAATCAGCTATAGCGTACTGTACTGTAATAGGTTTATAATACTTTTCACGCAAATAATACATAAAAGCAAAGAAAACATGTTTAATCTTACAGAACAGTCCCTTGAAAAGTACAGTAGCACAGTATAATAGCGGGCATCCAGGGGCTGGCACTGAGTGAACAGGAAAGAAGAGTTACTGACTGGAGGAGGGAGAGGAGGTGGGAGATGGCAGAGCTGAAGGATCCTCAGCCATAGGAGACAGAGGGCAAGCTGCAATGTCACTCACGCCTTATGTGATTGGACGTGCGAACGCACATTCGCGTCTTTGAAAGTTCACAACTTGAAGTTTCGTATGCAGGGGACTTCCTGTGTGTGGACTCTAAAAAAAAAAACTCGAGAGAATTCCCTGGGGGTCAAGTGGTTAGGATTCGGTGCTTTCACTTCCAGGGTCCCAGATTCGATCCCTGGTCGGGGAACTAAGACCCCACAAACGGTGCGGCGTGGCCAAAATTTAAAAATTATAAAAACCTCGAACTCTTAGATACACAGAACAGACTGGTGGTTACCAGAGGCAGAGGGTGAAATGGGTGAAGGTGATCAAAGGTACAAACTTCCAGTTATAAGATAAATAAGTCCTGGGGAGGTAAAAAAAAGAAAACAAAACACAAAATCCTTTTCTTTTATCCCAAGCGCACAAGGTTAAAGGAGGTTGTGTGCCCCTCTTCCCCCACAGCTTCCCAGGGGACGTCCTGGCTGAAGACTTGGCTAACCACGTCAGGAAACACGAGGACAGCGGCTGTGGCTTTGCTGAGGAGTACCAGGTCGGGTGAGAACAGAGGGAGCCGAGCTGAGCCCCACGTGCCCACGGAGACCTTTCCACCCCTTTGGGATTGAACAGAAGCAGGGATACATACTTGGTTGGCTCATACAGAAATTCTCAGCCATGATTATCCACCTTCTTGACTCACTGAACTCTTACTGTAGTGTTGGTTGGATGGGTTAATCCTAAAGCAACACCTTGGTTTTCCCCTGACCCCTCCTCTCTCACCTGCCTCTCCAGTCCCCATCCTCCTGCCCTTCCTCCAAAATGCCCCCCCCGGGGATGGTGCACACACTCGTCCTATTTCTTTCTTTCTTTTTTTAAAAATAAATTTATTTATTTATTTATTTATTTTTGGCTGCGTTCGGTCTTCGTTGCTGTGCGCAGGCTTTTTCTAGTTATGGCTCATGGGCTTAGTTGCTCCACGGCACATGGGATCTTCCCAAACCAGGGCTCGAATCTGTGTCCGCTGCATTGGCAGGCAGATTCTTAACCACTGCGCCACCAGGGAGGTCCTACTTGTCCTATTTCTGTAGGTGCTGCAGAATTCCAGGGTGTAAGGGGTGAGTGGGGTGGCACTTAGGAAGGCGGAGGGAGCAACGCGGGTATCCCTGGGGGAGGGCAGAGAAAATCCAGCATCTGTGCACCCTCCCCTCCCTTCGCCCCGAGCAGCCGGCCCTGGAGGACCACAGCCAGTCCCAGACGGTGGCCTCAGCTCCGGAGAACAGCGCCAAGAACCGTTACAGAAACGTGCTGCCCTGTGAGCCACGAGCCTCTGCTGACTTTGTTCTCAGCCGTGACTTTGTCAACATCCCAGGCCTGACCCTTGCCCCTTATTACCCGTGAGGGACAAAGCCCTTGCCCCCGTGAGCTGAGAAACCCCAGCCCGGCTCCTCCCGCCCGAGGTCCCTCAGACCCTCTCCCAGCTCCCCTTGTCTGTGTGCAGCGTGACGTGTCGGCGTGACCTCTATCCCCGGGTCTCCCACCCTGCCCCCTGCATCGCTAATGCCGGCCTCTTCCCCTAGATGACTGGTCCCATGTGCCCCTGACGCCCCTCCCTGGGGAGCCGGGCTCTGAGTACATCAACGCCAGCTGCATCCCTGTAAGGCTGCGGTTGGGAGGCAGGAGGATGCTGAATGAGCCTCGGAAGACGAGGGCCAGATGAGGCGGGATGTGACCTACCTGTTTTCCTCAACCAGGGTCTCTGGAGCCTCCGGGAGTTCATTGCAGTACAGGGCCCCCTTCCCCACACTGTAGGCGACTTCTGGCGCCTGGTGTAGGGGCAGCGGAGCCCCACACTGCTCATACTGACCAACTGCGTGGAGTCTGCCCAGGTGAGAGGACACCTGGGTCCTGGGTGCTGACCCCTGAGCTCCAGCCCGTGACCCTGCCCCAGACACTGATCCCAGGGTAGACCTTGACTTAGACCTCACTGATTCCCTCCACCACAGCCTCAACTTTCCTGTCTCCCCCAGTCCACCCATTTGTCCACTTACAGGGTGAAGCTGATCTCAAGGACCTTGTGAAAGAGGAGTCCTCCCGGCTGGGATGAATCTACACCTGGCTGCCTGTGGGTCCTGCCTTGTCACCAGAGCAGGGGGGATTCCCCGGCAATGAATACAAGAGCCACCCTGCGGAGGGGCACCAGGGAAGGTGCTCTGGGGCCTCCTGTACTCTGACCCGCCCCAGTCTTCCCCCAGGTGAAGTGTGAGCATTACTGGCCTCTAGACGCCCAGCCCTGCACCCATGTGACCCTGGTGGGTGAGGAGGTGATGGAGAACTGGACAGTACGAAACCTGAAGCTCTGGCATGTAAGCCCCCATCCCACCCCTTCAGCCCCACCTTGACCCTCAGTTCCTCCCCTGTGATATTCCAGGCAGTCCCCTCCCCAGAGCTCCCCATGAAGTCTAAGCTTCCGCCACTCCCGCAAGAGACCACAATGTGCCCCAGGGATGTCCCCACCGGTCAGAAACCAGCCCCCGGGTCCTGAGCGCCCCCCAACTCCCCTCCGTCTAGATGCAAGAGCAGAAGACTTTATCTGTGCGTCAGTTCCACTATGTAACCTGGCCAGACCATGGCGTCCCCCACTCCCCAGACCCCTTGCTGGCCTTCTGGAAGATGCTCCGGCAGTGGCTGGACCAGACCGTGGGGGGAGGCCCCCCCATTGTACACTGCCCGTGAGGACCAGCCAGAGCCCTCTGTCTGTGAGGAAACCGCCCCCTTGGGGCTCAGAAACCAGGGTTCTCTGGGTCCTTAGGAACTTCTAGAGGAGGTGGAGGAGATGGGGAGGGCAGAAGGTGAAGGGGCGGTGATGCAGGTCAAGAATGATGATAAAGGTGAAGAGGTGGGAAAGAAAGAAAAAGAGGTAAAGGAGGAGGCATGCATGGGGAGAAGGAGGGAAGAGGGGTGAAGAGCAGGAGGGAGAGGCAGCCAAAGGTTTTAAGAAACATTTAAAACAGCTCCTTGGGGGCTTCCCTGGTGGTCCAGTGGCTAGGACACAGCACTTTCACTGTCGAGGGCCCAGATCCCACAAGCTTCACAGCGTAGCCAAAAAAAAATTTTTTTTAATGAAAAATAAAATAAAACGGTCATTTTCATGTTTAAAAATTTTCTTTTTTTTTTTTTTTTTGCGATATGCAGGCCTCTCACTGCCGTGGCCTTTTCCGCTGCAGAGCACAGGCTTCGGCCGCGCAGACTCAGCGGCCATGGCTCACGGGCCCAGCTGCTCCACGGCATGTGGTATCTTCCTGGACCGGGGCACGAACCCGTGTCCCCTGCATTGGTAGGCGGACTCTCAACCACTGCGTCACCAGGGAAGCCCTAAAATTTTTTTTTAAATGACAAGCTTGGGAGCTCATCTTCCCGTGTATGAACCCTAGCTCTGTCACTTACTAGCTGAGTGGCCTGGGACAATCGACTTCACCTCACTCAGCCTCCATTGCCCCGTATGTAAAATGGGCACGCTCGACTAATGGTTCCTACCTCTTAGGAGTGGGAGGAGTGAAAAAAGCACGTAAGGCACCTGGAACAGGGCCTAGCAGGTAGATAGAACACAGAGCATAGTCATTTGTTATTACTTCCTACTTAATGAAGTAACCCCCACTTAACACTGTAGCCTCCAGAATAGTCTCACTGAATACCCTGACCCCTGGGTGCTCCGAACACAGATCCCTCCAGTCAGCTGAGACTCCCCCTCCCGTGGTCTGACCCTTCTTGTCCCCGCCTAGCGCTGGCGTGGGCCACTCGGGCACCCTCATTGCCCCGGATGTCCTGCTGCGGCAGCTGGAGAGTAAGGGTCTCATGGGGCCCTTCAGCTACATGATGGAGATGTGAGAAAGCCGGCCACATATGGTGCAGACTGAGGTGATGGGGATCCTCGGGCACAGGGTGGGTGTGGTGGGGTGGGGCCCCAGAGGAAAGCAGGCCGAGGCTCAGTAGCGCACCCTCACCTGCCCATGCTCTGTCCCCAGGCCCAGTATGTGTTCCTGTACCAGTGCATCCTTAGGTTTCTGCAACAGTCATCCCCAGTGCCCGCTGAGAAGGGGCCCACCTATGAGAACCTGCTTTTCGAGAATGTAGCTCCTACAGAGGCCTAAGCTGCAGGAGGGCTGAGACCCCAGCCCATCTAGACTCAAATTCTGCATCCCTACTTCACCCCAGATACCTGGACCCCTGGGACAGCAGAGGGCTGGGGTTCCACACTCCTGGGCCCTGCAGGAAGAGGGGGCTGGCAGCCTAAATTCCTGCTTTCCAGAGGGGGAGAGAGGTCAGGTGGGAGCCCAGATCCTGGATTTCCAGTTCCTTGAAGAAGGAGAGGGATGGGATCTAGGATTTCCTTGTTGCTTTTTGAGGGAGGAAGAGGCTGCAGGGTCTCAAGGAAACAAGCTGATTTCTGAGGAAGAAAGGAAGTAACGAGGGTCCAGAATTGTGGCCACCCAAGGCGCAAGGGCAGGCCAGGCAGGATCCTGCCCGTATTTTACTCCAGAAACTGAATCATCAACCTTCGAGGATCTGAGGTTTCCCTGCACCCCACTGCCTGTACATATTTTTTCTTTTATCCCATAATTTATTAAATCACTATGCTCCCCAGAGACACTTGCCCCATTGGATTTCTGGGTCTGGAAATAATATTGGGGTGAGTTCCTGACGTTTAGGTACTGAGGCCAATGTCCTAGGGAGGAAACTAGAGGGACTCACAATTTGCACCTGAAAAATGTAGGTTTGGACAGTTGAGTCTCTCCGAGAAGACTGTAGGTCTAGGGTCTGGGCAGTGTGGACTCGCTTCCCTGGAGCTGGGAGCATGGGGGCTTGCCTTCTGGGCACGGCCTTAGGGGAACTTAGAGGGTGGAGTGAAGTCTGTATCGGATTTGCTGGAGAATTTCACGCTTAGTCTCCTGTCTGGATATCTGAATAGCTGGGTCTCCGGAGAGGGTCTTCTGGGTCCTAGAACCCGATATCCTGGAGCCTGGCTCTATGGACAGTCCCGGGGTCTGGGGTGGGGAGAAGGGGTCTGTATGCCCGGTGGCTGGACTAGAAGGCAGAGAATCCTTGGGACCAGGATAAATATCCGTGGGCGCCCTGGTGGTTCCAGGCTGGGGCGGGACGAGGGCCGGGGCGGGGTTCTCCACCTTCCAAACACGCACGCGCGCACACACATACACACTCTCAGTCTTTCTCTCACACACATATACACGCTCACACACACGCACACGGGCACATACACACCCCGGGCCGGCTCCGTTCGGCTGAGCCCCCGCCCCACAGCGCTCCGCGATCAGCACCCAGGACAGCGCCAGCCACACGCGTGCGGGGGCGGGGTCCGGGCGGGGCCGGCGCCTCGGTATCTCTCGGGAGGGTCCTGTCTAGCCACCGAGCAGGTAGGAGCCACTGGAACCCCCTCCCTAAGCCCCATCCTCATTTCCATCCCTAGAGGGATGGTGTGTGTATGTGCGCGCGCGCGTGTGTGTGTGTGTGTGTGTGCGCGCGCGCGTGTGTGTGGTGGCGGGGACACTGGGAGAGACCAGCAGATGGAGTGGGAGGGCTGGAGCCTGAAATGGGGAGAATGGGATTTAGAGACAGGTGTGGAGACAAAGAGCCAGAGGGAAGGGAGGAGCAGGCAGTGGAAGAGGGTGCGAGACCCCGGTAGACTGAGATCGGACAACAGGCAGAGGCCAGACAACCCAGACGGAGGAGCGGCGAGAAGCCGACGGGGAGACGGACCTCGATGTGGGGTCGAGAGAGGAATGGAGGCCGAGGCGGTCACGAGGACAGGTGTGAAGACAGAGCTCAGGGTGCGCGGAAGAGACAAACAGGCTGAAAAGGATGTGGGGGCCCAGCCAAGGCAGCAGGGCAGCCGCCCGCCCCTCACATTCCCCGCAAGAGTGGGAGAGGGAGGGCAGCCTGAGTCTTCACTCCCAGGGCCAGATGTGGAGGGAGGAGCCAGCCTTGGGCGCGTGGACAGACGCACGGGCAAGGCCGCGTCCTCCCCATCTTCGCTTGTCAGGGGTATCCGGGTCTGAGGTCCCAGGTGGGACGGGGAACCGAACAGGCTTGCGCCTCTGGGACTCGGCTTCTGTGCGTCAGCCCCGCCCGTTGTCCTGGCAACAGGCCGTTGCCGGGGCAACCAGCGCTACCTTCACCCCGCCCTCGTGGAGCCAGCCGTTGCTCTGGGCAACCCGGTGCGCTGGTTCCCACGCCCGCCCTCGCCCACTTCCGGTTCAGGCCCCGGGGAAGGGCAAGGAAGGGACAGAAGTCAGCGGGATTGGATTCCTGGAGGCCTTGGAGGGAGGGGGCGTCCCTTGGGATGAGACTTGGTCCTGGAATCCACCCCCAGCCCTCGCCCTCCGTCGCAGGAAGGCTGAAACAACAACCCCCAGCATGCCTCGCGGCGGTTGGCAGGTTCCCATACGGGACCATACGGCCCAGGGTGCCGATGGGAGTTGGAGTTCTTTGTTGTTCGGATGGCTCGACGGCTGCACGGGGTGGGTGTGGGGGGACTAGAGCATTTGGGTGCCTCCGCAGAAAGAACAGTAAGACCCCGCCGCCATGTTCCCGGAGCCCCCAACACCGGGGCCTCCAGCGACCGACACGCCTCCTGACTCGAGTCGCATCAGCCACGGCCCTGGTGAGCGAAACCCGGGGTGGAGCGGAGGGAAAGCCATGCTAGGATTCCCAGGGGCGGGGTTCGAACGGGTGTATTCAGGCTGGCGGGCTGGAAAATACGGGTGAGATTATAGTCGGCATCCTGGATTGGAATCTAAATGAAATGAAAAAGGAACAGGTTTGTGAGAAAATCAGGAACCAAATCAAGGGGTGTGGAATGGAATGGAACTGTGGATTGGTGAATTGGAAGGTCCACCTCTCCCTTCTTTTAAAGAGGGAGACTGAGGCCCAGAGAAGGGTTAAGCCTTCTAAAACACAGCGGTTGAGCAAAAAGATTAGAATGGGAGTAGAAGAGGAGGTGGAACTAATCCTAATAGGCAAGAAAATCTAGATGGTGTCAGCCTGCCTTAGGTCTTCAAATAGTTTTATATGTGAGACCAGTTGGAAGGAAAACATGGGAATAAAATGGAATGGAAATGGCTGGAGGGAAAACAAGGCCAGGATTTCAGCCGACACGGGTCATACAGAATGAATCAGCCTGCTTGTCTCTCAGGGCCTCAGTGTTTGCTGTTTCCATGTCCTCTGCAGTGCCCCCCTGGGCTCTGGCCACCATCGTGCTGGTCTCAGGCCTCCTCGTCTTCAGCTGCTGTTTCTGTCTCTACCGGAAGCGTTGTCGGAGGCGGATGGGCAAGAAGAGTCAGGCTCAAGCCCAGGTCCACCTTCAGGAAGTGAAGGAGCTGGGCCGGAGTTACATAGACAAGGTGTGGCCTGGCCCAGCCCCTCAGCCCTGCTCCTTCCTTCACCCTTACTCCTCTCAATGGCCCAGCAGCCTCAGTCCCTGCTCCATCCCTCTTACACCCGCTGTATTTGCTCATCTCCCTTGTGTGTCTAGCCCTAACCTGGACCTGGGGACCTGGAAATAGACCAGACATTCACAAGAACCTCCAGCCTGATGGGGAAGTCAGATGCTCATATAGACATTCAAAATACAGGGTGGTATGTGCCACATTAGAGGCAGTACAGGGCACATGGGAGCACAGAGAAACCACCTGACAGCCTAGGCGGTCTGAGAAGGCTTCCTGGAGGAGGCGACTTCTGTGTTGAGACCCAGAGGAACTCAGAATTAACTGAGAGCAGAGAGAAGGACATTCTACCTCAAAGGAGGAGCATGTGTTGAGGCCTGGAATCCTGATTCTGAGGGATATTTGGAGAACAAAGAGTCATTCTTCACAATAGCTGGGGTATAGCATACAGATATCCTGTGCTCTAGGGTGAGGTTTCTGGAGAGCTCAGCAGTACCCATGTAATGAAGGTGATTGGGAGCCACAGAAGTTTTGAGTGGGAGAGGCACAAGGTCACATGGGCTTTAGGATGAATCCCCTGGAACCCTTGTGGAGGACAGGTCTGGGGCAAGGAGACAAGGGAGGAGGCTGTATGGCAGCCTTGAGAGGTTGAAGCAAACGCGAGTTGGAAGACGTCGTTGGCGTGGAAAGCTACAGTGCAAGTATCTGAGCACTGGGCCTCTGAATGCAGAGTGGAATGAGGCTCTCCTGGGAGCCAGAGTCCTAGGTTTCCAACCCAGAGCAACCGGCTCTGTGACCTTGGGAAATTCACTGTTTGTCTCTGAGCCTCAAGTTTGTGGACCATAACTAGTATTTCCTTACCTCCCTTTTCAACAAATAGCTGTTAAAATTATTACCCTTAAGGGATGTCCTTTAGGACCCTGGTATCCAGTCTTCATCCCTCTCCCCTAAGCCAGTGACTCCAAAGACCATCAGCATCAGAATCAGTTCAGGTACTTGTTGAAATGCAAATTCTGGATCTTGTGCCAGACCTACTGAATCAGAATCTCTGAAGTGAAGGCATTTTGCCACACTACTCAGGGGAATTCTGATTCACATCGCATTTTGAAAATCGGTGGCTTAGGTTAAGAAGTTTTCTGACTTTGTTGTTCTAGTTTAGAATGGCAAATACACACTAAATATGCCATTTTTCCTCCATATTTTCTGTCCAAGATCACTGATCAATGTGGCAATTTGGACAATCATCCCAATACATCCATTAATGTGTGAACTAAAATCTGCATCCATCCTGTAGGCAATGAGACACTGTCAGTGCTTGTTTTTCTAGTCTAGTCATGACAAGCACACTGCATGTGTGTCATCACGTCTACGCCCCACCGGTAGCAGGCATCACTAATAAAACACTGACGAACGTACCACACTGTGTTGCCATGGCTAGTCCCACCTGTGGCAGACATCACTAATCAAACACCGACTCTGCTTAGCTTGCAAGTGTTCAGGTATAGCTGGAGGGATCTGTGAGTCTCCTTTGGCTTCTGCGCCTGGGTGGATATCACTATCAGGGGAAGAGTTCACCTGCCCTTGCCCCTGGCTCTCTAAGGTGCAGCCAGAAGTGGAGGAGCTGGAGCCGACGCCATCTGGGCCAGGGCAGCAGGTGGCAGAGAAGCATGAACTAGGACGACTACAGTACTCACTGGATTATGATTTCCAGAGTGGCCAGGTGGGTGTGGAGGAGGGGAGATGCTTTGGAGGGGAGGGTCCCAGGGGTTCTAGCCCCTTCTTGGAGGAAGCTCTGGAAGGGAAGCTAAGACTAGGGTCCCCTTATCACTGTACAGCTGCTGGTGGGCATCGTGCAAGCTGAGGGATTGGCAGCCTTGGACCTAGGTGGCTCCTCTGACCCCTACGTGCGGGTTTACCTGCTGCCAGACAAACGGAGGCGGCACGAGACCAGGGTGCATCGGCAGACGCTGAACCCACACTTTGGGGAGAACTTTGCCTTCAAGGTGAGCTCGTGGCCTCAGTGCTTTATGCCCGGCAGCCTGTCCCCAGTCTCTGAAACACTTGGGACCGATATCTTCAGCTTTTACTGGTGGCAGCTACCAGCTCTGGGGACTATTCCACTGGACCCTGCGTTGTCCCTTTGGGGGGCACTACTGGCCCCTGGACTGCTTCGTTGGTCCTTGGGCTGTCCCATTTGGGGTCCATAGGCACCCCCCTAACTGTTCCTTGGGACCCTTGCTGCCCCCACTCATCGCCTTCCACCTGGATGTGCTGTGTCCCACTTCCTACTCTCACCGTCTGCTTTCTTTGCGTCCCCCTTCCCCCAGGTCCCCTACGTGGAGCTGGGGGGCAGGGTACTGGTCATGGCAGTATACGACTTCGACCGCTTCTCCCGCAACGACTCCATTGGGGAGGTGCGGGTCCCCATGAGCTCCGTGGACTTGGGGCGGCCAGTGCTGGCCTGGCGGGAGCTGCAGGCGGCTCCTCGGGAGGAGGTGAGCACGCGTGGCCACGCCTTCACATCTGGGCCCGCCCACCTCAACCCCGGGCCAATCAGATCACAGGCCTCCGCGATCCTCTGGGCTCCAGCACTTCCACCTGCTGCAGAAGAGTAGCTCCCAGGGCTATCCTGGTGGATCAACGCCTCCCCTCGGCAGTCCCCCCTCGGATTGTACCACCCGGGTCTTAACTCTGGACCATACCATTTCAACACGAGGGGGAGGGAAGAAAAATCGCAGAGGGGTTGGATGCGGAGCCCCGGTTCCGGTGATGAGTCCCTCTCCATCTTTTAGCAGGAAAAACTAGGTGACATCTGCTTCTCCCTCCGCTATGTCCCCACGGCCGGGAAGCTCACCGTCATCGTCCTGGAGGCTAAAAACCTGAAGAAGATGGATGTAGCAGGGCTGTCAGGTGTGTGGGAAGCAAGCAAATGGTGGTGATGGGCGGGGGAGGTTCTCTGGCTAAGGTTCTGGCAGTGTCTGGGCCCCGAGGGTCTCACAGGGGAGAGGGGGACCCCGGCTGTCATGGAGGATTTAGATTCTATTTGGGCACAGAGAAAGGGAGACCTGAGGGGTCCATGGGCTGTCTCTGTGTTGTTCCAAAGAAGAGTCTCATGCGTTCCCCTCAATCTGATCCCTTTGGACTCACCAGAGTGGTGGGGTTATAAGATTCCTCCTCCCTCTCCCCAGATCCGTATGTCAAGGTCCACCTGCTGCAGGGTGGCAAAAAGGTGCGGAAGAAGAAAACAACCATCAAGAAGAATACTCTGAACCCCTATTACAACGAGGCCTTCAGCTTCGAGGTGCCCTGTGACCAGGTCCAGGTGAGCTCAGACCCGCCCATAGCCCCTGCCAGAGCAGCCCTTACCCCGGAGCCCAGGCCCTGAGAGACCCCCGTTGCTAAGGGAAGGGAGACTCCTTTTCAACCCTGAGAAGCCAGGTCTTGGGGGTCTGATTGGGTTCTCAATCTCGGTTTCTCCCATGAGGACCAGGAAGCCCCACCCCCAAGCAAGACCAGGGTGCCCGTTGCCCTCAGGAGCTCTGGCTACTGAGAGAAAGAGACTTCCCCACAGCCCTAAGGCCCGGCCCCTCCACCCATTTCAAAGTCTTGAAGATTTGCCCCCCTTAGGAGGCTGACCCTAAGGGGCCTCCTAACAACCCCTGAGCAACGGGGTCCTGAGAGTTTATCTCCGCCCCCTCCCCCGGTCCAAGCTCCAGATGAAGCCTTAGCCCAGGGGCCTAGGAAGACCCCTCAGAATGAGGGTTGTGAGGGAGAGGGTCTCCTTAGCAATGAAATCTGAGTCCCTCACATTACCTCCTTACCCCACTCTCTGTCTCTTCTTCCTCCCCTGCCCACCTCAGAAGGTTCAGGTGGAGCTGACTGTGCTGGACTATGACAAGCTGGGCAAGAACGAGGCCATCGGGAGGGTGGCCGTAGGGGCAGCGGCCGGGGGCGCTGGGCTGCGGCACTGGGCAGACATGCTGGCCAATCCCCGGCGGCCCATCGCCCAGTGGCACTCGCTGCGGCCCCCTGACCGAGTGAGGCCACCGCCAGCACCCTGATCCCCACCCTCAAGCCCCTGACCCCAGACTCCTATCCAAAGCCACGTCCATGCCCACCTTTAAGCCTTCTCTGAACGCTAACACCCCCCCCCACTCTACCCATTCCTGCCTTCTCCCCATCCCCATTATGCCAATCATGATAACCTGCCAACTCCCCCAATATGGCACATGCCCCAAAGCCCCAGGGACCCCTGGGGGAGGAGGGGAGCAGTCTGGTCTCCCGCCATCCCAGGGTCTCGCCCTCTGCTTTGACAATCAGTGATCCCAGCCTACTATCCCCTTGGCTCCCAGTATCCCTTTTCCTGCACAGTATCACCCACTCCTGTCCCCGGTCTGATTCCTGCACCGCTCCTGGGACCAAATAAATACTCAGCAACTTTGCTGGCCTGGACCGGTGCTCCTTGATGGAGGTGGGTAGGGGTGAAGACTGGGAACCCAGGAGGGACCCTCCAGGGGTGGGACCACACAAGGGCAGGGATAGGGCTGCCTATCCTGGAAACACACACGGAAACTCACCCACCCACTCACCCATCCATCCTTTCACCCACTCACTCTCCCATTCACTCCATCACTTATTCATTCACTCACCCCTCCAAGCTTCAGCTTCCTCATCTGAAAAAAGTCATGATAATACTAACACCTACTGTACATTTGCTGTGAGGAGTCAATGAGAATTCACTTAGTTATTCATGAATTTATCTGCTCCCTCACCCATGATTTACATAGATTTTCATACCCATATTTCCCTCCCTCCCTTTCTTTCTTCCTTGCATCATCCATCCTTTCTGTATTCCCTGAGGCCCTCTGTGTGCCAGCTTCTGTTGGATGCTGGGGACCCCCAAATAGATGCAAATCCAGACTTTACTTCCAAGCAACTTATTGTCATCAAGGAAACAAAGTAGATATGCAGCGTCTAGGAATAAAATCCCCAGAGAATGAGAGAAAGGGCAAGATTTCCTCAGGGAGACACAGTAGTTCCAGCTACACCTCATTCTTTTTGCAACAAATTCTTTCTCTCAGTCTGTGTCTAGGAAAGTGGATCATTTTATTGGCTTCTCCCCCATCTCATCCCAGACAGGATTTCAGGTGACGGACAAAGGTCCATGACATTTGGCAAGAGAGCTCTCTGAGCATCAGGTAAAGTAGAAAATGAGCCAACAAGTACTGCCATGTGCTAAGGAAAGGGGCAGAACTTACCCCTGAGCTTCCTGGTAGCCAGTGGGAAAAGGGAAATCTGATCAGTTACCTAGGTTGTGAGGTCCATGAAATTTAAAAAGTTCCTCCAAAGGAATGCAATAATTTCTCATGTGTGAGTGAGTGGGGGGCATCTTTATAAAGACAGTACTATGTATATATTATTACTATTACTGCTACTACTTTTGATAATAATCCTCACAGCAACATCATTAAATAGACACGATTATTATTCCCAGTTGACAAATGAGGAAACTGTGCTTCAGGGAATTAACATGACCTGCTCGGGATCATACATCCAGGAAGTCCTTCTCTAAATCCTGGGGTTGAATCTGTTCTGAGTTAGATGATGACATTGGGATCCCTGGGTCTATGTCTCCACAAGTAAGCAGACAAATGAGAAGTATAAAACCATTACAAGTGGCGACCAAACTGGGAAGGACACCAGTAAGGGCTCAGATCATTTAAAAAGGGTTGTCAGGGACAGCTTCTCTGAAGAAGGCTGTGATATGAATGACAAGAAGGCATGAGGCTTCCAAAGAGGAAGGGGAAATACAATGGAATATGATCCAGTCACAAAAAGGAATGAAGTAACTGATTCATGCTATAGCATAGATGAACCTTGAAAACACGATTTTAACCAGACATAAAAGGCCACATATTGTATGATTCCAACTATATGAAGTATCTAGAATAGGCAAATCCACAGAGGAAAGAAAAGTAGACTAGTGGTTTTCAGGTCTAGGGAGAGGGATAAATGAGGAGTGACTGATTAATGAGTATGGGGTCTCCTTGTGGCATGATGAGCAATTTCTGGAACTAGATAGTGGTGATGGTTGCACAATACTGTGAATGTACTAAACATCATTAATTGTAAGCTTCGTATCGTGTGTATTTTAACACACACACACAAAGATGAGGGGGAAGACAATTCCAAGTTCCTTGCAAAGGCCCTGGGGGCAAGAACAGGCTTGATGTATTCTCAAAAGAGCCAGGAGGCCAGTGTGGCTGGAGAGGAGCATCAGGGTGGATGTATGGGGGTGGAGGTGGGGACATGACGTAAGAGACACAGCCAAGAGCCAGATCACACAGGAACTAGGAGGTGAAGCTAAGGAACTGGGATTGTATCTACCTGCAGTGAGAAACCTCAGTAGGGTTTTAGAGGGAAGTGGCATGGCTTGGTTCACATTTCAGATTACTCTGGCTCCTCCGTGGAGGAAACGTTGTGGAGAGTGGCGGTGATGAAGATAAAAGACATTAAGCCTCACTGGAGAAAGTCAGGATCTGGGGCTCTAGTGGGCTGAAGGCTGACTCAGGAGGGGCCCAGGTTGGCTGGCCCACTCCTGGAGGGTTGCTGAAAACTCAGCCTTCATTTCCTTCCCACTAACCAGAACTGTCCTCAGCAGGCAGGTGGACCTTCTTTCAACCCACCACACTCCTGCTAGTTGCATGTTACCTTTCCCATTTTACAGAACATGAAACTGAGGCAGAGAGGGTGACTGACTTGGCTAAGTTCATGTAGCAGGGTAAGGAGAGGGGACAGAGAACCGAGGCTCCTTGGGTGCTGTGCCCTGGGCTGGGTGCTGGGGATGATCTGGAGATGTGTCTCACTGGAGTCCCTGCCCTTGTGGGACTCACAGACAGGTTAAGTCACCTGGCCGAGTTCTCTCAGCCAGCAAGTGACAGGACAAGGTGTAAACCCAGCCATGTCTGGCACCAAAAGCCACATTCTCAAGCGTCCTCAACCCCAGATATAAAGTACTGGGAGTCACAGGGTAGACTACAGTGGCCATCTGCTGAAAAAGCAGGAGCAGAACTCAGGAAGATCCCTGGCTAAGGTTGGAAGGATTTGGAGTTTTCCAGGGGGAGAAGGGGAGGATGTTAGAAGGAGCAACACAAGCCATAAAGGGACTTCCCTGGTGGTTCAGTAGCTAAGACTCCGCACTCCCAGGTTCGATCCCTGGTCAGGGAACTAGATCTCACATGCCGCAACTAAAAGATACCATGTGCTGTAACTAAAAAAAAAACAAACGATCCTGCGTGCCACAACTAAGACCTGGCTCAGCCAAGTAAATAAATAAATAATAAATAAATAAACAAAAATAAATAAATAAATAAACAAAAACACAAGCCATATAGACCTGGAGACAACAGAGGACTTGGTGTGGTTCCTGAGGTATGCTGTTACCATCTCTCTGAAGCCCTGTTGTGTAGCTTGCCCCCTTCCGTAGGGGGTGTAAATACTGTCACTGTGGCTGATTTCAAGCCACCAATGTGAAGTCTGAATATAGAGTTGAGAAGAGATGCCTACTACCACACCATCCTATAGTATTTCCCAGAGTAGAACAAGGGTCCCAAAATTTAAGGCAAAGCCAAAACAAAGTCACCAAAACCAACACACCCAGTAATCAAGATAGAAAGTATTTTAATGCAATATTTTTTTTTAAATTTAAAGACAGGATCTGACCCTTCACTTGGACCACTCTGCCTTATCCTAATCCTGGCCCTTGTTCTAATAAAACTTTATTTACAGGAATAGACAGCCCATGGTCCTAGTTTGACAACTTCATTTTTTAAACTATTGCACGAAAATAGCATTTCCTTCTTACAGGTACAATAGCTGTAAATAACCTTAAGACCATCAATAATTGTAAAATATAATAAAGTAGGAAGTGATGAGTTTTGAGTATGATTACTTTTATTTTAATGTATTTTATTGGAATTTAATTTTTAGTAAAAAGTTTAATTTTTAGTAATGATTGTGTGTAAAACCAGGTCACAAAATTCCTGAAAATGTAGCAACCGAAGCCAGTGCTAGCTGGCCTCAGTACTTCGCTGTGTTTTTCTCACCTGGAGAGAAGCCCTGTGTGATAGAGCCAGGGTGTGAGGGGAAATGGGGCCACAGAGGTCTATAGTTTATGGTCTAAGCCACCTCAGTTTAATTTGGGTTGATCAAGATTCTGTTCCGTTCTGTCTAAATCTGAATCGGCCCAGGCCTCCAGCTTCCAGAAATTTGGATCGCCCCCAGCTCCGCCCCAGCCTCTTCCGGCCCCGCCCCTTCCACTTCAGCGCCGTCGTCATGACAACCGCGTCCTCTCGCCCACCGCTCCCACAAACCCTTAGCGCTCCCATTGGCTAAAAGTTTGCAACGGGCAGGTCTCCCTCGCTCTCATTGGTCAGTTGATGGCGGTGGTGCCAGCCCGCACACTCCTATTGGCCGACTGATTGAAAAGGGCAGGGACTATGGGCAGCAGTTGTGTAGGGGCCTTCGGATCCCAGCGCCGCACCGAGACGGGAGGGAGGGGACGTCTCGGGTTATTTAGAAGGATAAAGGTGAGGGGGGTGTGAAAGGGGCGAGAAGTCAGCGGAGGTGAGAGGGGAATGGGTGTGCAATGCAGACACGATATTTGGGGATTCCCGGGTTGTTTGTCCCGCAGGGAGATGACCACACCAGCGGGCTCGGGCACTGGCTTCGGCTCTGTGTCCTGGTGGGGCCTGTCCCCGGCGGTTGACCTGCAGGCTGAGAGTGAGTCGCTCACACAGGACCACAAATCATCCGACACAGCGGCTGCTTTCACAGCCTGGCAGACACTAACGTTCTGGCGCTAACGTTCTCTGAGGCTCCAAGGGCGGGGGGCGCCCTCCAGTGGACAGCCTAGATACCTCTGCGAACTACGAGTCCCAGAATGCTTAGAGGCACAGCTCCTTTTAAAACCAAGGCCAGGGCTTTCCTCGTGGCGCAGTGGTTGAGAGTCCGCCTGCCGATTCAGGGCACACGGGTTCGTGCCCCGGTCCGGGAGGATCCCACATGCCGCGGAGCGGCTGGGCCCGTGAGCCATGGCCGCTGAGCCTGCGCGTCCGGAGCCTGTGCTCCGCAACGGGAGAGGCCACAACAGTGAGAGGCCCGCGTACCGCAAAAAAAACAGAAAAACAAGGCCAGGGGTGCAAGTCCTGCTGGGAGTTGTAGTTCATCGTGCTGGGGGTGGCTGCAGGGGGCGTTCTCCAGGCCACAAACCCCAGTCCGCTGTCGTCTTGTCAGGTCCTCCTGTGGACCCAGACTCACAGGCCGATACAGAGCACGGGACCCCCGAGCTAAATGTGCTGCTGTTGGGCTCCGTGGATGGGCGACACCTGCTACGGACCCTGACCCGGGCGGCTCTCTGGCCTCGAAGGAGGTTCCGTGTAAGCTGGGATTATGGGGTCCTGGAAGGAGGAGGATGAAGATAAGAGCGCAGATTCCTGAGTCCTTGAGGGAGGAGGGAGCTGGGGACCCAGACTCCTAGGTCCTGAGGAGGGAAGGGGGCTGGTGTTGGGGACTCCTGGGCTGAAGTGAGAGGAAGAGCCTAAGGATCAAGTCTCCTGAGTAGTGATGGGGAGGAGGGTTCTGAGTGCCCACACTCCTGTGTTTAAAGGAGTGGGGCTGGTGTACAGGTCTCCTGGGTCCTGTGGAAGAAGGGGGCTGAGGTTTCCCACTCCAGGGTCTCCTAGGGGCCAGGAACACAGGTCTCACAATCATTTTTCCCTGTCCATCCTTCCAGTTTTATGTGCTGGAGAATAATATGGAAGCTGTAGCCCGACACATGCTGATTTTCAGCCTAGCCCTGGAGGATCCTGAGAAGATGGGGTTGCAAGGTCAGCAAATACCCGGCAATCTGGCCCCCAGCTCCTTCCCCCTCCCTGCAGGAATTCTGGCATTTCAAGGGTGCGGTTAAACATTTTGGACATTGTTCCCTATTTCATCACTTGCTCACTTGTTTGGTAGCCTTAGAGCCTCAGCTTTTCCCACCTTTGAAATGGGGATAAAAGATAATACTTCCTAGGATCATTTAGGGAATTCCAGGAGAAAAGCCACATAAAACTCTCAGAACTGTGCATGACACAGTGTAAGCATTCAAAACCTCTTAGCGAGGGAGAAGCCCAAAAGAGATCAAAGGGCTTCCTGAGAGGTAGTGAGTCCCCCAGATGTGGGGAGGGTTTGGCAGAGCTGAGCCTGAGTCCTGAGTCTCCCTTAGTTAGAGGTGTGCACCCCAGGGAATCTGCGTGGAGGAAGCGGCCTTGGAAGTGAGATTATAAGGAGGAGGGGGAGAAGGAGGATTTGGGTGGGAAATGATTATTTCCCAGTAACAAAAACTTCAGTTTAGTGCCTAGAGCAGAGTGTAGACTCAGGCAGGCTGTATTCAAATTCTGACCCTGTTTGCTGTGTGACCTTAGTTGTGGCAGGCTAACTCTTAGTTGCAGCATGCATGTAGGATCTAGTTCTCTGACCAGGGATCGAACCCGGGCCGCCTGCATTGGGAGCGCCGGAGTCTTATCCACTGCGCCACCAGGGAAGTCCCTTTTATAAGATTCTTAACTAAAATGAAAATATTCAACACTTTAACACACATAAATCTTCATCTCCATCTATATCTATATAAAACGTTTCCATTTTTAAGGCAAGGGAAACAAACATGAAATTCAGGATTGGGGTTACCTGCAGGGGGTGGGAAGGAATAGGCGAGGAGACCTAGGTGGGGTGTAAGTTATTCTTCGTGTTCTAGCTATTCGGGTGGGTAGGGAGTTTGCCTGGGTCCGTTGTGCTGATGACACGACTAGGAAATAAGAAGATCACTATAAAGTGGGTATGCGTCATCCGCACGGGTCTCATTTCTGGGCTCACTCCTCTGCCCCGCTCCCCGCAGAGAGGAGCGAGACCTTCCTGGAGGTGTGGGGGAACGCGCTGCTGCGCCCCTCTGTGGCCGCCTTCGTGCGCACCCAGGCCGGCCGCCTGGCTCGCCTCGTCCCGGAGCCCGATCGCCTGGCGGAGCAGCTGCCCTGGCTCAGCCTGGGCGCCCTCAAGGTGCCGCCGCCCGGCCTGCGACCGTCACCGGCGTGGATCCGGGTGGCGGTGGGAAGAATGGGGATAAGCAGTCCAAAAGGGTTTGCGTTGATGGATAGAGCTGAGGGCTCCCCGGCTCCCACAGTGGGATATGGCCCTGGGGGTGGCCTTTACTCTCGGAGCCTCAGTTTCTTCATCTGAGAAAAAAGAGAATCGTTCCCACGCCCTGGGAGGGAAGGGAGGATCAGGTAAGAGAAGCTGCGGTCCCTGCAGCCGCCTCTCCCTCGTTCTCTTTCCACGCGGGCCTGGTCGTGCAGTTCCGCGAGCGCGACGCCCTGGAGGCCGTGTTTCGTTTCTGGGCCGGAGGGGAGAAGGGGCCCGAGGCTTTCCCCATGAGCCGCCTGTGGGACTCGAGGCTGCGCCACTACCTGGGCTCCCGGTACGACGCCCGGCGCGGTGTCAGCGACTGGGACCTGCACATGAAGCTGCACGATCGCGGGGTGAGGGCTGGGAGGAGGGGCCTGGGGTCTCCAGTCCTGGGTGTGTAGGAGGAGGGGCTGGGGCTTGAGGAAGCAGCGGTTGGGGGCCCCGAATCCTGGGTCTGAAGGGAAAGGGTGCCAGAGGCCCTCAGTGCTGGGTCTTTGGGAGGAGATCCTGGGATCCATATACCAGATTCACTGAGGCCTCTTTTCTTGCATCCCCCCACTCCAGGCCCGAGTCATCCACACCAGTGAGTTCCGGCGCTGGAGGGACACAGGAGTCGCCTTTGAACTCAGAGACTCCAGCGCTTATCACGTGCCCAACCGGACCCTGGCGTCCGGTCGCCTCCTGAGCCACGTGCGAGTCCACTCCCTGCCCTGGCTGCTGCTTCTTTTCGGGGGCCCAGGAGTCGGAGTCCCCAACATCGACCTCACCCGTCTCCTCTCTCCCTGATTTCCCAGCGCGGGGAGCGTGTAGCAGCGCGCGGGTACTGGGGGGACATCGTCACGGGGCCCTTCGTGGCCTTCGGCATCGAAGCGGACGACGAGACCCTCCTGAAGACCAGCAACGGTCAGCCTATCAAGGTTTGAGTCAGGCTGGAGGTGCTGGGGCTGGAGGCGAGTTCGCGAGGCCCCGCCCCCTATGCGCCCCCTCTCTACTTCCTAGGGCCAGTACGGAAGTGTAAGCTTGCCCGCCAGATGCTAGCTCTGGGTGTGGGGGAGTGTGGGGATGGCGTACTCTAAGCCTCTCCCCTGCCATTCCGGCCCCGCGGTCCTAGCCCCGCATCCGGCCACGCCCTTTCTCCCCCAAAGACCGCGGGCGAGATCACGCAGCACAACGTGACGGAGCTGTTCCGAGAGATGGCCGCCTGGGGGCGCCCGAGAGCCACCCAGGGAGACCCCGCGCAGGTGCAAGGCGACGCGGATGGAAGCCCGGAGCCTGGTAAGCGACGGACTCAGCCTTCTTCCTTGAGATGGGAATTGGGGCTCGGGTGATCATGTCTGGGAGAGAATGGGACCCGGACCCCCGTCCCGGGCTTCAGGCTCCTGGTGTTTCAAGTCCAAGCATGGACTGGTATGGTATCTAATGCCTGGACAAGTGCCCTCCCCTTCCCGACATCCGGTCTATTTTTCTCTCTTCTTTTTGAGCTTCTCTCCCTTTGCTAAATCCTGACACCATCCTTAGCATTCTGAATTCCAGCAGTAGAATTCTCATCCTACCTGCAGAAGTCCAAGAGGCTGAGAACATTTTAACAAGGTTAAGCTGGGTCCCAGCTTAACGCTGGAGAGCCCTCCCCCCCCAAATCTGGTCGTGCCTCCTTCCACCCATCCCCTAACTTGGCCCTCCCGGGTGAATGGATGTCTTGTGTGGCCATGGGCCAACCACTCTCTTTTCTTCTCTTGAATCTCAGTTGCCTGGTCTGTAAAATGGGTCTCTGTGTGCCAGGCCAATCCTCCCAGAATTTTCCAGGAATCTGCCTAAGAGGAAGGATGAGAAAGGGCTTGAAGACGGACAAGGCGAGTCATCTCCAAGTTTTGTCTGTTTGCCTAACCCTGCCAGTCTTCCCTTCCCCAGCAGCCCCTGTCCCGGAATCCTTCACTGTCCACTTCCTGTCCCTCGGTTCTGCCCAGACCCTCCACCACAAGAGCTGCTACAAGGGACGGTTCCAGCTTCTCTACGTGGCTTGTGGGTAAGAGGGCCTGGGAGGTTCCCAGATTTTCCTCCCCCAACCCCTCCTCCCTCAGACCCAGGAATCCAAGTCTCCAGACCCTCCTTAATCAGTGTCTAGGTCCCCAGCCCGCCTCTTCCCTCAGGACCTAAAAGTCTGAGCCTCAGCCCTCCCCTTTTTCTCTCTGCAGGATGGTCCATCTTCTCAGCCCTGAGCTCGGTGCCTGCGTGGCCCCCGGAGGACGCCTCATTGTAGAATTAGCCCAGTGAGCCAGCGGAGAGCAGGGCGGGGAACTTCCAGGCTGGGGGTGGAAAGCCAGGTCCCCTAACACGCTGCTTCCTGGTTCCAGGTTCCTAGTGGACCTGCGGCAGGAGCAGCTGCAGGGCTTCTCCACCCGGGTCGGGGAGCTAGCACAGGCGGCTGGATTCGCCCCACAGCCGGGGGCCAGGCGCTCGCAGACCTTCGCGCGCTTCTACAAGGCCGGAGACTCTGCTCCCAGCCACAAGGACCCAGCTGTGGGATCTGGGACTCCGCCCCCTGAAGTCCTGGCCCCGCCCCTTGAGGCAACCAACCCTCCCCCCGAGGACCTGACCCAGCCCCTTGAAGGCGGGATCCCACCCTCTGAACCCCTCAAACGGCCCTCAGTCTCAGGCTTCACTGTTGGAGGCTTTGGTTCCACCCACAGGGAGTCAGACCCCCAAACCAGAGAGTCTGTACCTCCGGAGACCAACTCCCCAATCCCTAACTTCTAAAGTCAGGTCCTAGAATCAGAACGCGCCTCTAGAATACTCAATTATACTCCCAGCATTCTCAGCGCCAGAGGTGTCGCTAGAATTTCAGATTCCATTCCTGGGATTCTATATTTTATTCCTAGAATTCTAGATTGTTCTCTCGAGTTCTACATTCCACTCCCAAGACTCTAAAACCAGCCTGGAGATCCGGCCCTGGGGCTCAGGCCCTCTGCGTGGTCCCCTCATCCCCAGGCATCCCATTCCTAACTAGGGGCTGGGGGTGTCTCCTCTCACAGGCTGGTCAACACTAGGGTGGTCCAAGTAAAGAGAGCCAGATCCTCTTCTCCGTGTGTCCGTGTGTCTTTCCTGCCCTCAGTCTGTCTCCAAGGGCTGGGAGAGGGGAGGGGCAGGAGTGTTCAAGAGAAGAGACTCGAGACCAGATTTCTGGGTTCCCAAGAGGGCTAGGGGTGAATTTCTCCGTGCTGCCTGCTGAGAGCCTGGGCACCCCACACCTGGATTCTCAAATAAATCAGCAAAATTTATGGATTGGCTAACAGGTTTGGGGCACTGAAACTGACCATAACATGGTAAAAAAAAGTTCTAGCCCTCAAGGAGAATTACAATTTAGTGAGGGGGCGGGGCCTAGACTCCTGGGTCTGAGGGAGGAGGACGTTGGGGTCCGAACTCTTGTGTCAGAGGGAAGAGGGGCTGGGGGCCTGGACTCCTGTGTCAGAAGGAGGAGGGTTTTGGGGGCCTGGACACCCATCGGGGTCTGAGGATGGAGAGGTTGGGGGTCTGGACTCCTAGGTGGGAGGAGGGAGGGTCTGGATTCCCAGGCCGCCAAGATGGAGGGGTGATCCAGCTGGAGCATGGCCCGCCCCAGCCCTCACGCGCCCCGTTATCTCGAATCCTGGGCAGGGAGGGGAGGGGGCAGCAATATATTTAGTCTCTGTCCTCGCCCTTTATCTCAGTGTCCTCAGTGAGGCTTGAGCAGACCGGACGAGACAGAAGCCCCAGGGGCCTTCAAGGTCACTCCGGACGCCCCCTCACTGACCCTCCAAGAGCCCCTTGTCCCCTGCTCTGCCTTCCGCAACCCCTGGCTTGAGACTCAGCATGGCGGACCGGTGAGTAATTGGTAACCGGGACTCCTGAGAACCGAGGCAGTGGCGGATAGGGGGGTGATCCCTCGGGTTCCTGTGAGGGGTGAGAGCTGCGAGGTTGGACTCCAGGCCTGAGAAGGGAGGTAGGGACAGGACTCCTGGGCATCGGAATGAGGTAAGAGTCTGGGAATCCGACCCATAGGAGCCGAGAAGCGGCAGCTGGCGGGCCGGACCCGTCGGTTAGAGGGGCCTCTGGGGTCCCTTAGGACACGGCGTGGACAGGACCCAGGCCTACCATTGATCCCCTTTTCCTGGTTTCTCTCCCTCCAGGAGCGGCGATGCGGTGAGAGTCGGCGTGGGCTGGACCCGCCTGGCCGGGGAGGGCGCTGCCGGGAGGGCTCTGGGGCGAGACGCTGCAGCCCTGGAAGACTGCATGGAGAGGGGCTGGGGAGGGGGGTCCATGTGATGACTCAGTTCCGTTCCCCAAATCCCAGGCGGAGGACCCGCCTCCCGCGCCACCCCCTGTACGACGCCGCTCCTCAGCCAACTACCGCGCCTACGCCACGGAGCCGCACGCCAAGGTGAGGGCGGGGCCAGCGCGGTGGGCGGAGCCGGGCGGGACTTCGCAGGATCTGGATTCGGATTCTTAGGTTACCCGCGGCTGGGGGAGGAGAGGCGGAGCCAGGGCCTTTACCGGACTTTGGTCGTGGGCGGAGCCCAAGCGGATGAGGCGCTTCAGGGGCGGAGTTTATCAGAGGGCTGGGCTCTGTTTGGTGAGAGCTTGCCTATGGGCGGAGTCCCGCTGCCCGTGGGAACTGAGATTGCTTAGAGATGGTGGAGGGAGGTGCGTAGCCAGAGACAGCACATTGGTGGATGGGAATGAGGGGCGTGGCTTCCCGTAGACTGAAGGCTGGAGTTGGAGGCGGGACTAAATCTGGACCTGGCTTGAGGGGGCGGGTTCTGAAGCTCCTCCCGGCGTCCTCCTTCGGATCCTCCTCGCTCATCCTTCCTTGCTCTGTCTCACCCCGGCAGAAAAAGTCTAAGATCTCCGCCTCGAGAAAACTGCAGCTGAAGGTGCGATGCGCCTGGGGAGAGCGCCTAGGTGTCTTCAGGGGGCGGGGCTTGGAAGTTGGGTGGGGCTTCGGAAGAGCAGGTGGGCGGGAGGCCCTGAAAGGGAGGGGCGGGGCCTTGGAATGATGGACATCAACCTTGGGGGGTTCAGGTCTCTGGAAGCAGGCCTGGGATTAGAGGGCGGGGCCCGGCGGGGGTGGCTATCCCGCTCTGTCCTCATCCCCATACCTGTGCTGCCATACCCGTCGTGCCCTCCCCAGACCCTGATGCTGCAGATTGCGAAACAGGAGCTGGAGCGGGAAGCAGAGGAGCGGCGAGGAGAGAAGGGGCGCGTTCTGAGCACGCGGTGCCAGCCTCTGGAGCTGGCCGGGCTGGGCTTCGCGGATCTGCAGGTACCGGCTCCAATCAGGGACTCCTGCCTAGCCCGGCATCCGAGGTTCCTACTGTCCGGTCTTGCATCCCTTAGGACTCAGGGGTACAGTTACTATGCCCCCTTTCTGCTCAGGACCTTCGGGTCCAATCTCCCAATTCTTACCCTCAGGAGTTCAGAAATGTGGCCTGCAGCTGCCTACAATCTCAAAACCCAGAGGTCGGTTCCTCCAACCCACTCCAGTCCAGATTCTCAGAACACCTGGCTCTGGAGTTCTGCTTTGTTCGCAGTCCCCCAGGGTCTGGCTTCAATCTACTCCTCCAGGACCAGATGTCCAGGTCCCCAGCTCCTCCTCCCTCAGACCCCAGGAGTCCAGAACCCCAGCCTTCCCCCCACCACGCACACTGCATTCCTCCACCAGGACTTGTGCCGACAGCTCCACGCCCGTGTGGACAAGGTGGATGAGGAGAGATACGACGTGGAGGTGAAAGTCACTAAGAACATCACAGAGGTGGGAGACACTGGGCCGTCTGGGTCGCTTCAGGATAGGAGGTGATGCCTGGGGCTCTGGTCTCAGCCTGGACCCTTGGCAGCTGCTTATGGCTGCAGACACCAGGAGACCCAGGGCAACTCTGTGAGCCTGGCAGGGAGGGGGCAGAAGGATGAGTACCATACGGTCAGGGAATGCTGTTCTAGGCAGAGGGAACAGCACATGCAAAACCCAAGAGGTGGGAAAGCGGAAAATATGTTTGTGAAAATGTGTGGCTGGAGCCTCAAGTGTTGGTAAGTGAGTTCAGGTGTGTGCCAGGGAACTGTGAGATGCATGTAGCTGGACTGGGATGTGTCAGTAGTTTTCAGAGATGAGGCTGGGGCAGATCAGGTTCCAATTTCAGGGTGGGGAGCTTGGATTTTGTCTCGAAGGTGGTAGGAGCCTAAGCTAGGTAGAACCTGGATCGGGATAGGAGGGAAGTGCAGGGTGGAAGAGTGAGGCAAGGAGGAAGTGGAAGGAGGGGTCTCCACCTCTCTTTATGGCTGCTACCAGATCGCAGATCTGACCCAGAAGATCTTTGACCTTCGGGGCAAGTTTAAGCGGCCCACTCTGCGTAGAGTGCGCATCTCTGCGGATGCCATGATGCAGGCACTGCTGGGGACCAGGGCTAAGGAGTCCTTAGACCTGCGGGCCCACCTCAAGCAGGTGAAGAAGGAGGACACGGAGAAGGTGAGTGTGGCTACAGGTCCAGGAAAGGGGGTGCTTAGGGGAGAAGGTGTGTGTGTGTGAGCAATTCTAGGGACTAGCCTGAGGGCAGGTGGCAGTTGGAGTTGTGGGGAGAAGTATCTGGTAAGGGTCTTCCACAGGAAGTACAGGAGGGGCACAGGAAATGCAAGAGGAAGACAGAATGTAGAAGCAGAAGACAGGAAGTGCATTAGGGAGAATGGAAATGGCAAGGAGTCAGGAAGTGCATGATGTCTGCAGGATGTTTGTGAGAGAAAAGGAGTGCAGGAGGGAGACAGGAAGTCCAAGAGGGAGACAAGAAGTGCAGCAGGGAGACAGGAAGTGGGGCAAATTGGAAGGGATCTTCTGAGGGGACAAGAAGTGTTCCAGAACCAGACTGTGTGATGGGCATCCAGAATAGAGTGGCCCAGCAGGCGGGAGGGCAAGTGGAGGATATCTGAGAGCCTGTAGACCAGGAAGACACCCTAACCTCTGACCCATTCCTCCAGGAAAACCGGGAGGTAGGAGACTGGCGCAAGAACATCGATGCGCTCAGTGGAATGGAAGGCCGCAAGAAAAAGTTTGAGGGCTGAGCCGGCCTGTGCACAGCCCTGGCCCTGGCCCTGAGGATGGCCCCGAGGAATAAAGCTTCTCTCTGAGCTGGGAGTGGCTGTGTGTCTATTACCAGGGGCGCTTAGGTGTGAGAGAGGCGGGAGAACTGAGGGCCAGGCTCCCCCAAAGCCACAGCGCACATCAGGAGCAGAGCTGGGTCTCCACGTGGAGCTGCACAGAGGTGCCGAGACCAGGGCCCAAAGGCAGACACACAGAGACACGGACAGACTGTCAGCGACCCCGGAAGAGACAGCCAGGCAGAGACCCAAAGGGAGAGGAAAAACAGGTGGAGATTCATGGGAAGAAGTGCACAGAAAGGGGAAACAGACAGATATACACAGAGAGACAGAGAAGACCTCGCCCTGGAAGAGACAGAAATAAGGACCCACAGAGCGAGAACTGCAGATACAAAGAGACACCCCCCCACACACCACACACACACACAAGAACTAGAAAGATAAAAACAGAGCTAAAGACACAGAAACCGAGTCACAGAGAAGCACAGGGACACCTGGAGACACAGACCAATAGCCAGACATCAAGAGAGGGAGATACGCAGAGACACCCGCGGAAATGCAGAGAGAAAAACTGGCGGCACAGAGACAGGCAGAGTGAAGAACTCAGAGACAGAGATGCAGAGAGAGCCCCAAAGCCAACCCCTGAGAAATGCATAGAATGAGAAATGCGGAGAGAGACAGACACTGGCACGGAGGGGTGAGGAAGCCCCTAGAGTTCAAGGTTGTGGATTGGCTGGGAAGGGGGAGGGGCTACCAAAAAAGATCAGTGTCTGATGGAGGTGGGGAGTGTGAGGTCCTGTGGGCCTGACACACCCCCTCCCCCTCCCCTCCTCCTCCCCCTCACACACCTGTTTCCCCGCTTTAGCGCCTGTTGTCACCAGGGTGGAATCCTGGTGGCAGACAAAGGGATGGGGGTGGGGAGGGGGGGACAGAGAGATGGACAGAGACAGAGGTGGGGAGACAGAGAAGCTGAGACAGACACACACAGAGAAACACAGACGAAGAGTCACAGAGACAAAGGAGAGACAGAGACAGGGAAACGGGGTATGGGAAGTGGAGGCCCAGAGAGACACAGAGAAAGGGACCCCTTCATGGAGCGAGAAGGGGTCCCTTGTACCCTTTTCATCAATAAGCATCCTCCAAGGGGCTTCGGAGCATAGTGTGCCGTGTGATCTGGGAGATGTGGAGCCCGAGGGTGGCCTGACCCAGCCCGGGGTTCCTGGACAATGCTTTTGGGATGGAGGAGAGGCCTTGGAACAGCCAGGAGGTGCCTCTATCCCGAAAGTGGAGCCAGAGTGGGGGCAGGGCAGCCTCTGAGTGTGAGGAAAGGAATTCTCTACCCCTCCCTCTCCCCCTGGGGCGGGGCTGAGCCTCCCACTATAAACTGGGGGTGCTTCAGCCTGCCCAGCAAGACTGCCCCACCGCTCACACCTCTGCAGACGCAGCCTCAGGTAAGGGTCCCAGAGGAACTGGGGATGGAAGGGAACGTATTAGGACTTGGGGGTTACAGAAGCTGGGAGTGCAGGGTTTGGGTGTCCCAGAATATAACACCTTAGGACCTCAGAGGTCTGAGTCTGAGGGAATCTCAGAAACTGGGAGTCCCTGGGCTTGGATGACAGACAGTCTGGGTGTCAGAACTGGGGGGCAGTGTCTCAGAATCTGACGATTTAGGAATTGAGGTCGCAGAATCTCATGTCTCATGATGGGAGGTATTAGAATTTGTAATGTCATATTTGGGGGTTTCATGAATCAGTCCCCTGAGTTTATGCATCCAGATTTTGGGGTCTCACAGTCCTGAGGTTTCAGAATTTAGGGAATGTCAAGACCTAGGGGGTCAAGATTTTAGGGCACGCATAATCGGGAGTCTCGACAGTTGGAGTCTCAGAATCTGGAGATATGAGGAGTTACTGTTTTTCAGAATTCATAAGTTGGGGTCTCTCAACCTGGGTGCCTTGGGGATCTCAGAGATTGGGGAGTGTTAGTATTTAGGGGTCAGGATGAGGTCTGGGGACAGAAGCTGCTCTTATGTGTCCTGTCTCCTCCATGGCAGTGGGTGAAGGTGAAAGGAGGCGACAGGTGGGCAGATAACCAGCCAAAGGGGAGGGGACCTGGGGTGGGAGAGGGCAGCGGGTATGATTAATTCTCCTAGAACCCCCCCTCCACGAATACTTCTCAAGAGATGTCCTCGGTGTCACCCTCTACGACATCCCCCCAAAATAGACCCTGGGGGTGGGGCAGCTATTGTCTTCGGACCACTGTCCCTTCCCAAATACCTCCTCCTAATGCCTACTCAGATCAGGTTCCTACGGACTTGTCATAAGACAAAAGGGGACAGCTGTGGTCAGGGGGCGGGGGCTGCAGCCTTGGGGCTCTGCCCGGACCGTATCTCCCAATGCGCTGTCTTCACCCTCGGTTTAGGAGTCTTTAGGAGTTGGAGGTCCCCAGCCTCTCCTCCCTCAGACCCAGGGGTCCAGACCCCCAGCCCCTCCCCCCTCAGACCCAGGGGTCCAGACGCCCCGCCCCTCCTCCCTCAGACCCAGGATCCAGGCCCCCAGCCCCTCCTCCTCTGGACCCCACCCCACTCCGCCTGTTCTCTGCTTTTCATAGGTCGCAGCAGGACACCAGGATGTCGGACGCCGAAGAGCAGGAATATGAGGAGTGAGTGATGCTGGCAGGCGGGCTGGGGCCCTGGAGCGGTGGAGACACCTCCCACCTCCAAGGCGCCTAACTCTCCCCTCCCTCTTTCCTTCCCTCCCGGGTCCTCAGGGAGCAGCCTGAAGGTGAGTGGAGAGTGGGATGGCCTTGGGGGGGAGGGGACGTGGGGACACCTTGGCGCATCTTAGCCCACCCTGCCCTACGCCCACCCTCCTGGTCCGCACAGCCCGTGGTAAAGCTCAGTGGGCCCACTTGCAGCTGAGGCCCAGAGGGGTCCCCCCGTCTAGATGAGACTCGAACCTGAACGCGGGTCTCTGCGCACTCACGCACTCTTCCCCCCATCTGAAGCCTCTGCCGTCCCCCCCCCCGGGCTCTTCACGCCTCCTCTTGTCTCCCCCACCCCTTCCAGAAGAGGAGGCTGCTGAGGAGGAGGAGGAAGGTGAGGCCCTGGACTCCGCAGGTCTGGAGCTGGACGCGGCACCGGGGGGCTGGTGCGGTGGGGACGCTAGTCCACGGGGTGCAGGCTGGGCGGGGGCGGGGATCTCGATGGTCTCGGCCTCAGCTCCTTTAACAGCCTCTCCCCTCTCTCCCTTCTCTCCCCTTCCCGCATCCGGGCATGGCTGCTCCCCTCCCCCGGCTCCCCAAATCCTAGCTTCTCCTCCCGCCCCCTCCCCAGCCCCCGAGGAGCCGGAGCCGTTGGCTGAGCGAGGTAACCGCGGCTGCTTCGCTTCCTGAGGCCGATTTCGGGGGTCCTCAGGGCCCTGACCTCCAAGATGACTCCCTCCCCGCTCCCGTAACCCGTCCCCGTAACCCGTCCCAGGCCCGGTCCTTTAAGCCCCGGAGAGCTCTCGCGCTCTCCAGTGGCCAAGAAGGGAAACAGCCTCGCAATGGCTTTAACCCGTTCCCTTCCTTCTTAAAGGGACCAACACCCAAGCCTTCTTCCCCAGTCTGGAGGAATACTTATAGAAGGGTTGGATGTTTGCGGAGAGGCACCCCTCCTCCCTCATCTTCGCCTGTCTGTTACTTGTCTCCTTCATATACATTCAAAGGTTGGGGCGTGGGTTGTAGAAGGGACTAGCAGTGGGAGTCTGTATTCCTCTGTCCCCAAGGGGGAGGTGGCTGGGGACACAACTCCCGGGTCACCGAGTGAAGAGGGGGCTTGGGGCCTCCCTGCACTGCTAGATCTTGATGGAGGGCAGGAGCTCTGGGTATGTAGAACGAGGGTCTGAGGGTTTGTTTGTTTTTTCTCCTTATGGTCTGGCGGTTTGGACACCTGGGTTCCCAGAGAAATGGGAGGGGGATCCCCACACCAGTTCTGAATGTATATCTGATGCATGTGACCCTCTCCCTCCTTTATGGCCACCCCGATTTCCCTTATCCTCTTCCCCCCCCATACCCTTCCCCCAGAGCTGCAGGAGAAGGGAACTGGGCTTGTGGGGACCACGGCTTGGAGGCAGGTCCCTCCTTTGGATGTGTCATGCCCACCCCACGAACTCTTGCTAATTATCTTTTTGTATCCCTCCACCAGAAGAGGAGCGCCCCAAACCAAGGTGAGATCCTGGGGGGTGGGGCTCCCAATCATGTCCTCTTAAATATATCACCCACCTCCAGAGATAGGCTGCAAGAAAGGCAGAGAAGGGGAGTGGGGAAATGGAAACATAGAAAAGGACAGTGACTCCTCCTTTCCACAAACATTTCTGGTGAACTTCCCACTGTGTTTGGCAAGAGTCAGACTCTTGCTGTCCTGTTGGTGTAACAGACCCAGATACAGCAATGGTAGTGCAGAAGAGGGCCCTATCTGTGCCCTAGGATATCAAGGAAGGCTTCCCAGGGGAGGTGATGCTGAGTCCTGAGGGCGGAAGAGTTTGCTAGCTGAAGGAAGTAGAAGGGAGATTGTAGATGACGAAGCGGAGTGGTGTGTGCAAGGTCCAGTAGCTGGATCTTGGCCAGTGTTTCAGGGAACAGTTGCAGACACAGGTCATTCTGATGAGAAAGATCCAAACTAGGCAGACCAGGGAAGACTGTGAGAGCTCACCCTGGAGGGTGTGACACTGGGGACAAAGCTTGGAGATGCAAGGAGGCAGCAATCGAGCATGAGATGCAGAAATTCTCTGGGACACCGGGGAGCCATGGAAAGGTTCTGAGCAGAGGGGGCCAAGGATCAGATCTGGCTGAGAGCACAGGGGCACATGAAAGCACAGGTGTGCTTCAGTGTCAGGGAAAGCTTGTTGGAGGAGGGAAGGTCTCAGGGGTGGAGTATATCAGGGGAAGGGCATTGTAGGGCAGAGCAAACAGAGGCAAGGGGGCACAAAGGCACATGACATGGCCAGGGAACTGTAGGATGTGGTGAGTTTTCAAGGGGAAAAGGCCTAAGCTGGAGCAGAGGGCATAGGGTAGAAAGGGGCCACAGACTGAGAGACCCACAGGTTGATGAGCTCAGTTGGGGCAGGGTGTGTGCAAAGGCAGGAAATGTTCAGGAAGCATCTGTTTACTGGAGTCTGGGGTTTGGGAGAGAGTCTGGGCTGGAGACAGAGTTGGTGAATCCTCGGTAATTGATGATAATCGAAGTCACAGGAGTGAATGACATTAATCACAAGAGTGTCCCACGAATGAATCAAAGGGCAAAGCTCTCTTAATTTGGTTAATAGAAATTGTTGCTTTTTATTAAGCCAGGAAAGATGAAGCATAATTTGTTTAAAATTCTCTTTGATCATTGAGTGACCAAAAAAGGAAATAAAGAGTCAAATATATGAGGGATTTTTTCATTCCTTAAGTTAAACTTTAAAGCTGTATTTAAGAAATCAAATCTTACAAAATCCTGAAAGGTTTTGGTAACGATGATGATAATTTCAAGGAAATTAATAAAATAGCTATTGATTTTAAAGTGTATTTTATTCAATAGTTTTGGTATCTTGCCATGGAGGATACTAGCCCAGCCTAGCAGAAAAGTGCAATATGTAGAGCGTATTTTGACATTTTAAAAGTTATATTCCATAACCATTTTGAAATGCTGGGCAAACATAAAAAAAAATCCCATACAAAGTTATTTGCATTTAATTCAATTAATCAGGCAATTTGAAAGCTAATTGATTAAAACACTGTAATATGATTGAAATTCTGTAACACTTTAATGTTATTTTTACTCTACTGTGAAAAGTTTTTTATACGATATACACACCCTAGTTTATTTTTGCGTCTTAGTGTGGACTTATAAATTTACTACAGGTATCTTGAGCCAGGAACACAATCAGGTTTCAGGCCAGTTTGATACTGGCTCTTCTTAATTTTCATATGAGTGTAGGACTTCAAACCGAATGTTATGTCAGTGGGACTGTGCTGTCTGTGGAAGTTAATAAATGACATGATCATTTTCTTCAGACTGGAGGGAGAGTGATAAATAAGATTTGGAGTCATAGGATACTGATGTACAATTTAAGGATTAAAGTTTCTTATAAATCAATTGTGAACAATGAATTATTAAAAAATGTTGACTTCCTAGTATAAAACTGCAAGAATAAAAATAAATTCTCCAGCTTAAAAAAGAAAGTAAGAAAGAAAGAAAGAAACCAAAGGAAGAGAAAATTCCAAGAAGTGGGAGTGCCCAGGGCAGTCCCCCAAAGCAGCACCACCCAATACAAATACAATGCAAGCCACATATGTAATAACTTAAGAAACAATTTTTTTTTTTACTAGCAGCCTTTTAAGAAGTAAACCCAAACAGGTCAAATCAATCCCAATAGCGTATTTTACTCAACCCGTTATAGCCAAAATCTCAGAATTTCAACATGAATCCATATAAAACGTTATTAGTAAAATATTTTACATTCAGCAGGGAGGTCAGACTACTCAGTGTTTCTTCTCTTCTGTCCACTCAGCCGGCCCGTGGTACCTCCGCTGATCCCCCCAAAGATCCCAGAGGGGGAACGTGTGGACTTCGATGTAAGTAACAGACATCTCATCCCAGGAGGAGCTGCTAGCCTATAGGGTGCAAATTAGGAAGAGGTGCCCCTCCCTAGCCACTGTTTTTTGTTTGTTTGTTTCCTACCCGCTTCTTTTGGAATTGTGTCTTGGCAGCCCCTTAGTTTAGTGTCAGAATACGATGCTTTGCTGCCATCTGCTGGAAACACAGTGCATGGCAGACGTCTGTCCCAGCTGTCAACCCCACCAATTCTTTTTTTTTTTAAATTTATTTTTGCCTGCGTTGGGTCTCCGTTGCTCCCCGCGGGCTTTCTCTCGTTGCAGAGCGAGCGGGGGCTACTCTTCGTTGCGGTGCGCAGGCTTCTCATTGCGGTGGCTTCTCTTGTTGCGGCGCACGGGCTCTAGGCGCACGGGCTTCAGTAGTTGTGGCTCGCGGGCTCCAGAGTGCAGGCTCAGTAGTTGTGGCGCACGGGCTTAGTTGCTCTGTGGCATGTGGTATCTTCCCAGACTAGGGCTCAAACATGTGTGCCCTGCATTGGCAGATGGATTCTTAACCATTGCGCCACCAGGGAAGCCCAACCGCACCAATTCTTGCTGCAAAGGGCTCCCCCTCCTGATGCTTCTCAGAAGTGCTGAGAGGTTGGCACCCTCTTGGGGCACCACCTGGGGAATGACCGTGCTCCCACCCTCTGTCCCCTAGGACATCCACCGGAAGCGCATGGAAAAAGATCTGCTGGAGCTGCAGACGCTCATTGACGTGCATTTTGAACAGCGGAAGAAAGAGGAAGAGGAGCTCGTGGCGCTAAAAGAGCGTATTGTGAGTCAAGGGAGGTGGGGTTCCCCAAATTCTTCTCCCTCCTTCCATCCTTTGGGCCTTGGGAGATACGTTCCCGTCCACTACAGACCCAAGGCTGAAACTTTTGGGAAAGTACCCAAGTTGGTGCCCATCACCACTCTTGACCTACCCTGGGAAGTGATAAAGGGGGTGCGTGGTGGTCCCTGCACCCCCTCATCCTTCTCTCTCCCCCAGGAGCGGCGCCGGGCGGAGAGAGCTGAGCAACAGCGCTTCAGAACCGAGAAGGAGCGTGAGCGTCAGGCTAAGCTGGTGGTGGGTGTTTCCCCTCCTCCCAGAGCCCAAATGTTACTTTCTCAGCTGGACACTGCAATTTTCCACTCATGACATTCTCTGTGATCCCATAAAAGTCCTCATGCTGTATTATTCAAGGGTCTTTCTGTTGGAAGGGACAGAAACTCCAACCCAAACTGAACTTAGCAGAAAGAGAACTTTATTGGCTCATATAACTAAAAGGTCTAGGGCATGGCTTGCTTCAGGCATGGCTGGATCAAGGGACTCAAATAATATCACAAAGACCCAGCTTTTATCTTCCCATCTTGGCCAATATTTCTGTGGACAGTGTGTCCAGGAGGGTGAGCAACTCATCCTGGTTTGCCTGGTACTTTCCTGGTCTGAGCCCTGAAAATCCTGCATCCCATCAGTCCCAGGCAAACCAGATGGTTCCCAGGCAGGGGTGGCAAACGGCCACCAGCAGCTCTGGCTTAAACTCCTCTTTTCTCTGTCTCCTGCACAAATCCTGGGATGTTTTCAAATTGTTCACCTGTCCACCTTGGAGTGAATCACTGGCTAGTTGGGAGAGAGTGGCTAGAATGCTCCCATTGGTTTAACCCTTGAAAACATGACCTGATTTGGCATCAGGAGTGGCTCACTCAAACCACTTTTTTTTGTTTTTGTTTTTGTTTTGCCACGCTGCGCGACACGTGGGATCTTAGTTCCCCTACCAGGGATCGAACCCATGCCCCCTCACAGAGTCTTAACCACTGGACCAACAGCAAAGTCCCTCAAACCACTTTATTTATTTATCTATCTATCTATTTATTTATTTATTTTTGGCCGTGTTGGGTCTTCGTTGCTGCTGGCGCCGGTTTTCTCTAGTTGCGGCGAGCGGGGGCTACTCTTCGTTGCGGTGCGCGGGCTTCTCATTGCGGTGGCTTCTCTTGTTTCAGAGCATGGGCTCTAGACATGTGGGCTTCACTAGTTGTGGCATGCAGGCTCAGTAAGTGTGGCTCACGGGCTCCAGAGCACAGGCTCAGTAGTTGTGGTGCACGGGCTTAGTTGCTCCATGACATGTGGGATCTTCCCGGACCAGGGCTCGAACCCGTGTCCCCTGCATTGGCAGGTGGATTCTTAACCACTGTGCCACCAGGGAAGCCCCCTGAAACCACTTTTAAAGAACAGGAAATGGGTGGTGTGGTACGCAAAGGACTGGTCTCCCAAAGATGTCCACATCCTAGTTCCCAGAGACTATGAATATGGGAACCTGCCTGGCAAAAGGGACTTTGTAGGTATGGTTAAGTTAAAGATCTTGAGATCAGGAGGTTCTCCTGGATTTCCTGGGTGAGCCCAGTGTTATCACAAGGGTCCGTAAACAAGGGAGGACCTTTGAAGATGGGGGAAGTGGCCCTGAGCCAAGGGATGCAGGCGGCCCCTAGAAGCCAGAAGAGCAAAGGGAGTGAATCTCCCCTAATGCCTCCAGAAGGACCCAACCCTGTCCATACCTTGACTTAGCTCATGAGACCCAATTCAGACTTTTGACCTGCAGAACTATAAGCTGATAAACTTTCATTGTTTTAAGCCACTCTGTTTGCAAATTACAGCAGCGAGAGGAAATTAATTCAGGTGGGGAATCCTGGGCAAGTGAAATACCATCATGCCCATCTCACCTGCCTCTCCAGTGGGGATGGGGCTTTGGTCTGGACAAGCCACTAATTCTGGAACATGCAGTGCAGACTTTCTGGATGTGGTAATGCCTTAGTGAAGGCATTCTAGAACCTCTTCCTCAGGCTCAAGGCCAAGAGCCTCTTTACTGCCCCAAGCCCCCCGACTCCCATCACAGGTTACCTTCCATGACCCTCTGAGGACAGTCATTCTCCTCTCATGAGACTAAGGAAGAGTAAGTCCCAGAGAGGGTACGTGCCTGCACTGAGGTCACACAGCAAAGATCACCATTGGCCATTTCAGGCTGGAGCATGCAGAAAAAAGCAAGCACGTCCCTCCACTAGTTTAATATTTTCCTTGGGGGTGGTATATAAAGTCTCAAAGAGGAGGAAGGACTTGCAGGTGGTCACACAGCCGGGCCTGGAAAGGTGAGGAAGGGACCGTCAGCATCCTTGCCTGTTCTGATATTGACCTTGTTTTATGCTTGGGTCTGATTGATCCCTTCTTCACTCAGTGCAGAAGAGGGCCCCCTCCCACGTGCCCATCTCAGACCCCCTCCCCTCTCAGTCCAGGGTGCTGGAGGGAGGCCCAGGAATTAACCCCTTTCTTCCCACAGGAGGAGAAGATGCGGAAGGAAGAGGAAGAGGCCAAGAAGCGAGCTGAGGATGACGCCAAAAAGAAGAAGGTTCTGTCCAACATGGGGGCCCATTTTGGGGGTTACCTGGTCAAGGTGAGTTCAGCCTGCTAGGGCCTGAACAGGAAACGGGTAGTGTGGTACGCAAAGGACTGGTCTCCCAAAGATGTGGGAGGAGGGGCTGGGGCCCGGACCCTTGGGTCGGACGGGGGAAGCACTGAGGCCTGGACCCCTGGGTCTCTGGGGAGAGGGGCTGGGGTTCTGGGCTGAGGGAGGAGGGGGCTGGGGCCCGGACCCCTGAGTCTGAAGTGGGAGGAAATAGGGGCAGGACTCCTGGGTCTGCGGGGGGAGGGGCTGGGGGCCCGGACCCCTGGGTCTGAATGGGGAGGGGCTGGGTGTCTGGGCTGAGGGAGGAGGGGGTTGGGGGCCTGGACCCGTGGGTCTGAGGGGGGATGGTCTGGGCGGTCTGGGCTGAGGTGCTGGGGGCCTGGATCCTTGGCTCTGAGGGGGGTGGGGCTGGGGCCGGGACCCCGGGGTGTGAGGGGGGAGGGGCTGGGAGTGTGGGCAAAGGGAGGTGGGGATGTGGGCCCCGACCCCTGAGTGTGACGGGGAGGGGTTGGGGGCCCGGACCCCTGGTTCTGAGGGAGGTGGGTCTGGGGGTTCTGGGCTGAGGGAGGATGGGCTGGGAACCCGGACCCCTGGGTCTGAGGGAGGAGGGGCTGGTGGGCCGGACCCCTGGGTCTGAGCGGGGAGGCGTTGGAGGCCCGGACCCCTGGGTCTGAGGGAGGAGGGGCTGGGGGCTGGACTCCTGGGTCTGAGGGAGGAGGGGCTGGGGGCCTGGATCCCTGGGTCTGAGCGAGGAGGGACTGGGGGCCCGGACCCCTGGGTCTGAGCGAGGAGGGCTTGGGGCCTGGACCCCTGGGTCCTGATGTGCGGAGCCATCCGGTGGACCCATCCCCTAGTTCACGATGTCCTTTTCAACCGTCAGGCAGAACAGAAGCGGGGTAAGCGCCAGACAGGGCGTGAGATGAAACTGCGCATCTTGTCGGAGCGTAAAAAGCCTCTGAACATCGACCACATGGGAGAAGAACAGCTCCGGTAGGTGGGAGGGGCCTGGGTATGAGACAGGCAGATAAGGGGACGCCTGACCCAGATCCGAGTGGGCGGAAGCCCTGGTGCTGTGTGCCTTTGGGCAAGTGTCTCTCCCTCTCTGCGCCCCTGTAGACTCCCCTGTGGAATGTTTCACCGATATAGGCCCCACGTTTTGTGGGTGCCGAGACCTGTAGAGTCTGGGTGATAATACGGAAGCCAGACAACAGATCTGACCAAAATTTAGGAGATGATGGTGTTTTGATGGCCCCTGGGAACTCCGAATGGGCCCCATCTTTTACGTGAATTAAAGCCAGATGCACTGGCAACAGTTTTACAGCCACATCTCTTCTGGGTGGGGCTCTATCTTGCCCTTCACAGCTCACTGTCTGCACAGCCTGCATCCCGTGGTAAAGCCACCTGAGGGGAGGCCGGGGAGGGTCTTCCCTTCAGGGCCCTCGCCTGCGTCTTGACATTATCTGGCCCAGGCACAGAGTTTAAAGTCAGAAACATCCACCACCTCATAGGCAGCACAGTGATGGGGTTTGGAGCTCAACATCTGAAACCACTTGCCAGGGGCTCAGTGCCGGCTTCACCACTTACAGCTGGGTGATCTGAGGCATGTGGTTTACCTTCTGTGAGCCTTGCCTACCTCACTGGTAAAATGAGGCGATGATGACAAAATCTACATCAGGTCAGTATGGCAGCAGCAGCCCCCTGTGGAGGGCTTACAACCCCATGAGGTAGACACCCTCAAGCAACTGGAACATTAAAAAACAAAAAAAGAAAGAGCAACCCTAGGCACAGAGAGGTTAAGTAAGCTTTCCAGGGTTGCACACCTTGCAAGTGGGAGAGTGGGGATTTGAACCCAGGCAGTCTGGTGCGGTAGTCTGTGCTCTTCATCACTCTTTTACAAAGTGGTGTGATGGTAAGTGTTTAACAAGTGGATCTCCAGGGCCTAAAAGTCCACATCTTAGCATTTGTTCATTTCCACGGTGTAAATACTCCCACCATGCTGATGTCAAACTACCAGCGTGAGAACTGTGCACTCGGAGTCGGAGTCGGGAAAGGATGCGCGGATTTGGCTCCAGCCCAGCACTGGCGATGTGCCGTCCTTCCCCAGTCACATTATCACAGGGCCTAGCACTAAATAACATGTTGTGAAAGTTCCTTCTTCCTCCTCTTTCCTTCCCTCACCACACATCCACTCATAATGTGGATCTACTAATATTTTTTGAGGATCTCAAGTTATTTCAGTTTTATTTATTAGATAGAGGTCATATGATGGTCTCTAAAATTTTAAAGTAAAACACACCATGGAAGAGACAGCCTTTGAAGACCATTAGCTGGCAAAAGACAACAAAGACTGCTAGTAAGAATAAAAAGAATGATAACAACTAGCTTTGTCGAGTGTTTAGCACGTGCCAGGTACTTTATACCTATTCTCTCATTCTATAACAGTTCAAGGCAGTAGGTTTTTAACAGTTCGGAATAAGTCTGGCCTCTAATAACTGAGATCTGACTATAGCAGCCTAAAATATAGAGGTTTGTTTTCTCACATAGAAGAAATCGGTAGTCCATAGCTGGTATTTGAACCAAGGCTTTCTGACTCCAGGGCCTAGGCCCTTAACCATGCTCATTCTCCCTTAGAGAAACATGAGCTCTCTGTTTTGGATATGGAGAAGTGGGCAGAGATTTTAAAACCCCTTGCTGCAATTCACTTTGAATATCGTGGCCTCAAATATTAACAAAATGGCACCAATAATGTCGAACTCAGAGACTCGCTGTGTGGCTTTGAACAATTCCCTCAACCTCTTTGGGCTCATGGCCTGGCCTGGCTCCCTTCCATGATAGCCCTTCTGCCCTGCCAGGGAGAAGGCCCAGGAACTGTCGGACTGGATCCACCAGTTGGAGTCCGAGAAGTTTGACCTGATGGAGAAGCTGAAGCAGCAGAAATATGAGGTGAGACCCATCTCTGCTGGAGGCCAGGCTGGGCTGGGGATGGCTGGGTGGGGGGCTGGGCTGGGGCTGGGTAGGGGGTGAGCAGCCTGTCCCTTCGGCTGTGCCAGAATCTCCCCCCTGTCTCTGCAGATCAATGTTCTGTACAATCGCATCAGCCACGCCCAGAAGTTGTAAGTGTGAACCCGGCCCTGAGCCCCACACCCTCCATCTGACTCTTGGGACCTCTCTTTCCTTTCCTCTGGCTGTCCCTTACTCTGAGTTTCAGTTCTCCACCCCTTCTTGGGGGCTCTGTCTTTATCCCTCTTTCTCTGGGACGGTCTCAAAATGTGTCCTTTCCTCTCCACCCTCCAGCTCTCTTCTGGGGTCTCAATCCCTGTTTCTAGGTCCCTCTAAATCACTGTTTCTCAGGGCGGGGGTGACCTTGCCCCCGACCCCGGGGATATTGGGGGATGTTTCGAACCTGTTTGGGGAGGGGGATGCTACTGGCACCTGGTGGGTGGAGCCCAGGGCTGCTGTTCCACGTCCTACAACGCACAGGACAGCCCTCACCACAGAATGATCCGGCCCCCGAATGTTGCTGGTGCTGAGGTTGAGAAGCCCGGCTTTTCCTCTGTTTCTTGTTCTGTCTCCCCTGTGTCTCCTTCCCTCCCTCCCTCCCCTCTGCCTTCTGTTCATCTTCTCTCTCCATCTCATTTTCCATCTTTCTGTCTCTTTCACCCCAGCCTCCCCGACCCTCTCTCAGTCACTCACCCTTTCCTTCCCCCATCCCTGTACCCATAAATATTTATCAGTGCCCATATGAACATCCTGAGCTCACCCACTGACATCAACTCCTGCCCGCCTGTGGGCCTGTGACCACTAATCACGCCACTCCAGGCAGTGAACCCAATGAGAAGGCACTTGCCGGCCTCTTCCTCTGGCGGGGAGGGCGGGGATTTGGGGGGATGGACTCTCTGAATTGAGGACAGGGACCCATCTCAGAGGTGGGTCAGGGAGGCCTTCCTTTCTGACACCCCTCCTTTCCTACAGCCGGAAGGGGGCCGGGAAGGGCCGCGTTGGAGGCCGCTGGAAGTGAGGATCTGGGCACTGCCCCCCCACCCCCTCCAGGCACCCGGGAGCCCTTGGAGTGTGTGTCCCATCTGTGGCTTGAAATAAATGCTCCCCCTGCAGCACCTGCTGTTCTTTGATTGTTATTATTAGAATCTTCAACAATCATGACGGTGATGTGTAAGGTTGAACCCTCACACACAGCCGGCAGGAATGTAAAATGGGGCTGCCGCTTTGGAAAACATTCCAGCAGTCCCTCAAAAAGTTAAACGTAGAGTTACCATAGGACCCAGCAATTCTGCCCCAATAGAACTGAAAATCTCTGTCCTCACAAAAACTTGTACAGGAATCCTGGCAGCATTACTCACGATAGCCAAGAGGTGGAAAGAACCCAAACGTCCGTCCACTGGTGAATGGATACAAGGGAATATCCTTCAGCCATAAAAACGAATGAGGCTCTGACACAGGCTACAATGTAGATGAGTCTTCAAATCATAACGAAAGAAGCCAGACACAAAAGGCCACGCATTGTGTGATGCCACTGATAGGAAATTTCTAGAAGGCAAATCCATAGAGGCAGGGAGTAGAGTCGTGGTCTCCAGGGCCTCAGGGGAAGGAAGGAATGAGGGGTTATGGCTAAAAGGAATGGTGTTTCTTTTTGGGGGTGATGGGAGTGTTCTGGAATTAGACAGTAGTGATGGTTACACAACCTTGTGAATAGACTAAAAAAACAAACAAACCCACTGATCACACTGCTATATATAAGATAGATAACCAACAAGGACGTACTGTAGAGCACAGAGAACTATACTCAATATTTTGTAATAGGGTGGTTCAGTGGTTAGGATTTCACTGCCGAGGGCCTGGGTTCGATCCCTGGTTGGGGAACTAAGATCCCACAAGCTGCAGGGCGTAGCCTAAAAAAAATTTGTAATAACCTATAGGAGAAAAGAATCTTAATAATAATAAATAAATATATATATATAATAACTGAGTCACTTTGCTGTACACCTGAAACTAACACAACACTGTAAATTAACTGTACTTCAATTTTTAAAAATCCTTAAATAAAGGCACTGTGGCTCTTGAAAACAAAGCAAAACAAAAACAGAAAGCCAAAAGTGGATAAACCTTAAAAAAAAAAAAAAAAAAAAAACCGCCATCGGAAAAAACAAAACAAACAAACAAAAAAAAAAAACCTGCCATCGGGAACCGAGATGCCACCGGCCTTTCTGTTCTGCGTCGTCTGTGAGGTCACAAATGGGTCACAATATGATTTCTGGCTCCGGGACTGCTATCCCCTTTGTGTCCATCCCGACGGTCTCCAGGCCTCACGGGATTTGTAGTTTATTATTATTATTATTTTTTGCACAAGCCCAGGGACTTCAGAGTGGGCAGGGCTGCTCTGACATCCCTTGGGAAAAAAGAATCTTACTTCTGTTTGGATTTCAGCGCCGTTATGCTGAAACGTTTGCGCTTTTTATGGGTCTTTGTTCCGGTCTAAAAGTGCCTGCCTCTTTCCCAATGAGGATTTAAGCGCAGAGTGCTTAACATAAGGATTATTTCATGCTTTATGGTGCTATGTATGAGGCAATTCACCCTCCACATCTGTTCGATCTCCTCGCCCTTGACTACAAATCCCAGCATGGCTTGCGAGGATGTAGAGCCCGGACTACATTTCCCAGCGTGCTCCACGTCCCAAGGAGACAGTAGCAGGGAGGGCCAGTGAAGGCTCTGGGGGAGCTGTCATTGTGGACCCCGTCTCTTCGGTTCCTTTCCCGATGTGACCCAGGGGTTCTATCAGGGACTTGGGGTGCTTTGGGACTCTGCCTAGGACCAACTGTGCCTTTAGGGGCGTGGCCCCGAGGACTACGTTTCCCAGCGTGCCCAGCGGCCGATCGCCGTGACCTTTGTACCGCAATCTTTACTTCCCAGCATGCCCCGGGAGGTCACCCAGGGATTGTCTTGGTCTAAGGGTTGCGGACAAAATTTCCCGTAGTGTCCTGACGTTTCCCACGACCTAGGGAATCCATTCATTCATTCATCCAAAATACTATTTCCGATCGCGTTTTATTAGGCTCAGTTCTTGGCACTGGGAGCAAGTAGTGCACACGGAAGACAAAAATTCCTGTCCTCCTGGGGCTTATTTCTAGATGAAGCGAGCAGACTTTTCGGACTTTTAGTCCTTTTAGGACTCCCGGGCTGTCAAGTCCATTTCCTACTAGGTCCCCAGGGGACAGTTCTTCGTCCTTTTGATACTGTGAACTACATTTCGCAGCATGCCCTGTGGGGCACACCTGTAGCCTTTAGACTCCATTTCCCAGCACTCGCAGGAGAATCCTCTCAATCATGTTTCCTTTCGACACCTCGGAGCTGCGAACTTCCCAGTGTGCCTCGGGGCCGATCGAGGCCGGAGTGTTGCCAAGAGCAATTTCCGCTTATGGACTCTATTTCCCAGCGCTCCCCGCGGCCTTCCGTGAGGCGGTTGCCATTCGCCTCTCCAGGCTGAGGACTCCATTTCCCAGCGCGCCCCGGGACGGCGGGGTGACGTCACGCGCCGGGCGGGGGCCAGTGGATCCTTGGGCGGCGCGGGGCGGCGCGGGACGGTGCTGAGCGGGCGGTAGATCCCGGCGGCCCGTGGGCGGGCGGCGGCGGCTCAGGGCTCGGAGCTCGGCGCTCGCTCGCTCGTTCGCTCACGGGCTGGCGGTGCGATGTCGGGCGAGGATGGCCCGGGTGCGGGCCCCGGGGCGGCGGCGGCAGCGGCCCGCGAGCGGCGGCGGGAGCAGTTGCGGCAGTGGGGGGCGCGGGCGGGCGCCGAGCCGGGCCCCGGGGAGCGGCGCGCCCGCACCGTGCGCTTCGAGCGCGCCGCCGAGTTCCTGGCGGCCTGCGCGGGCGGCGATCTGGACGAGGCGCGCCTGATGCTGCGCGCGGCCGACCCCGGCCCGGGCGCCGAGCTCGACCCTGCTGCCCCGCCGCCCGCCCGCGCAGTGCTGGACTCCACCAACGCCGACGGCATCAGCGCCCTGCACCAGGTCAGCGCCCCCGCCCGGGCCCGTCCCGGGGACTTGAATCGCCCTGGGTCTGCGCCACCTCGAGCACCCTCCCTCCCCTGTCCGAAGTCACCGTTACTAGTCCTGGTCTGCGCCGTTGCTGCTGCTCCGGTCCCTGCCATCCCGTGCTGGCCCTCTTTTCCGCCCACCCACCTCGAGCTCCCTTCTTCCGATCCTGAGACACTTGAACTGACCCTGGTCTTTGCCACCCTGCGCCGCCCTCTCCCTGGACCCGAGCCATTGTTGACGGTCTCAGTCCAGTCCCTCCTAGTCTCGTCACTTCGCGCTGCTCTTTCCCGACCTTGAGCTCTCTTTACTAGTCTCGCCTGTGCCACCTCCACCGGTTCCACCTCTACTTTGTCATCTAATGCTGGACCTCTTTCCTGAGTCGGTGACACTTACAGCTCTACCGGTGCCCACGGTTTCCCCCTTCCAGGCAGGTATCACTTTCCTGGAGCAGCATCCTCCTCTTTCTTGGGCCTGTGCTGCTTCCCCCCTTGGTCTCTGGGCTGGGCCACCTCTTTGGCTAGGCCCAGGGCCTTCCATGCCACTTCTTTCATCCTTGGTCTGTGCCATCTGTTGCTGTCTAAGGATGCTTTTTCCTGAGCCCCTGCCTTCAAGGCTCTGTATTCTTTTTTTGGCCGTGGCTGGCAGCACGTGGGATCTCAGTTCCCTGACCAGGAATCGAACCCATGCCCCCTGCAGTGGAAGCTCGGAGTCCTAACCACTGGACCCCCAGGGAATTCCAGCTCTGTATTCTTGAAGGGGATGCTCCCCGGGTCTGGGTCACCTCATGCTGTCTCCCCGACCCCCTTCACCCTCATGGCCTCTTCATTCTCCTTCTGCGGGCTGTGCCACCTCTTGTCTCCCACTGTAGGCCTTCTCTCAGGGATGTGTCTTCTTCTCCAGGCACCTCCTCTCTGCCTCTCCTCTTGCCTTGGCCAGACCTGCATCATCACCCTTTTTTTCTGGGAACACTCAAAGCACCCACCTCTATCTGGCTTCGGGACACCTCTCTGTCCTTTGGTCACCTTGCTTTCGCTGCCTGGATCCCCTCCTGTGGATTTGGGCAGATTCTTTCTCCCGCAGCATGTGCCATTTCTCCCAGCCCCCCATCATATCACCTTCCCAAGGGGTCTAGCACCCTGTTTCTCCTCTCTGTCCACCCTGGGGCCCCCATGCTGTTCCAAAACACTCTGATTGCTGTCTCCAGGGTTGCTCTGAACTAGGGCCCCCCAAATGTCCCACAACTAGAGTTCTCTCTATTTCTGCGTGCTTTTATCACTCCTCACCCCCCTCCAGTGGGACCACCAGGCACAAGCCACAGAAGAGCTCTGTCCCCTCCCTCTGTCCCTGAGACTGTCTGCCTCCTAGTCTCCTCGAATTGGTCCAGTCCCCAGCCCTCTTCTGTGCCGGAACCGCTAGGGTTTGGTTACTTTGGGGCCCAGAGAGGACCCTGGGAAGGAAACCTTGGAAGGGGGCAGAGGAGTGGGGTGGAGGCAGGAAGAGGCCCACTTCTTAGGTTCCCAGGAAGAGGAGAGGCTCAGCAAAGCAGAGTAGTCCTGAGTTCTGATCTCAGTTGCTCGACTTTGTGATCTCGAGTTAGTGTCTTTTCTCTCTGTGCCTCAGGTTTCTCATCTGTTAATGGGGCCAGTAGTCAGCCCCTCCCTGGCAGGGCTCTGGCAAAGGAGGAAAAACACCCTTCAGGAAGCGGCTGTGGGCATCCAGTTGGGGAGTTGCAGCCCCTGGTCCAAGTACTACCCCTCCCCCCTTTCCCTTTCCCTACCTCCAGGCCTGTGCCCTGCAGAGGCCCTAGTGCTCTCTGGGACATTTTCCTCCATCTAGAGGAGGGCCTCAGAGCTTGGCACGCCCAGGAAAGGGGCCTCAGGTTTCATTGTCCCCCTTCCTCCGCCATCGTCCCTGCCCCTGGCTCCCCTCGACCTTCCCGAAGGGGTTCTTGGCCCTGCGTTGCAGGCCAAGGCCCATTCCCCGCCCTCTCCCTTGGCCCAGACCCTGCAGAAGACCACCCCGGCCTGGCCTGTTAGGTGGGATCCCTCTCCCACTCCCGCTACAGGCGAGCACTCGGTAAACGCCCTTGCCAGGACTTTGCAGGAGGCATGAAGGATTAGGGCATCTGAGGTTCAGAGAGGGGAAGTCCCCGCCTAGGGTCACACAGCCAGCAAGCAGGGGTGCTGGGGTTTGGGTCAGGTCTGGGCGTCTGGTGACCAACTCGTGTTGGTTTGCCCAAGACTGGCCTGGTTTTAGCACTGAAAGTCCCAGGTCCCAGGAAACCCCCAGACAGGCAAACCGGAGCAGTTGCCCACATTATCTGGGTGAGTCCTGCGGCTGTGGTTTCTGTTCTGCATGGAGCAGGTCCCCAGGCATCAGCTCCCTGCTCTGGTCGGGTCCCTAGGAGTTCTCGAGCCTCAGCCCCAACCTCAGGCTGGTTTGTCAACTGCTAGACGAGGCTGGTATATTCTACCCCCTCCCTAAAATTACCTTGTAATTAGTGGCCAGGGGTCTGGGGTCTGGAATAGGAAAGACTGTGAGCCAGGATTCTTAGTTCTCAACAGGAAGGGGTGGGGGAGTCTGGACCCCTGAGTCTGAGGGAGGGGGGGCTGGGGGCCTAGATTCTTGGATCCCTGGTGCCCAGGCCTCAGGCATCTTTCACATGGATGCCTGTGCCCGGCCAGGTCCTTGAAAGGGAAAGGCCCATCTCTCTCCTTGCCCCCCTCCCCCATCACCATGACAACCAAATGGAAATAAACGGAGCCCAGAGTTCATCCCGTTCCCAGGGCACGTGTGGCCCCCCTTTCACAGCCTGAGTTTCCATGACTTCATGCTCTTGGCCCTTGTAGCTCCCTCCCCCTTCTCCAGATGGATGGTTTTGGAGAGGTGAGGGAGCTGGAGGTTAACCTACCCTGAGGACCTGGGAGTCCAGGTCCACTCCTGTCCCTCAGCCCTTGCTCAGGTCCCAGCGCCCACCCAGTGTCCACACGCGCCCGGGGCTGAATCCCTTCTCTGGCCCCCACTTGGTGTGAGTGCTTGTCTCCTGGAGCTTTGATTCTTCCTCCATCAAACAGGACCCTGACAGCCGTAGGATTGGGGAAGATGCCCGTGCAAGCCCCTTGGTGCAGCGCCCTGTGCCTAGGAGACCCTCGGTGCAGGGGAGCTGCCTCTCCTCAGGCCCCAGGTCCCGGGCACACACTAACTCGGTCATGTCTCCCAGTGGAGGAGGCCTGCCCGGGACCCTCACTCTGTCCCAGGTTTCCAGGGACCTGGTGACTTTACCAGCCCTGCACAGCCTTGGGCCCCAGGGGTCCAGCAGTCTCCCCTCCAGGTACAAGGCAGGGCCATGGTCAGTTCTTGTAGAGTATCTGTTGGATCTGAGGGAGGGGCTGGGGCCCTGGACCCCTGGGTCTGAGGGAGGAGGGGCTGGGCCTCCTCCCTTCGGTTCATCACTGGAAGCCCCATCCTTCGGCGGTGACTGTGGGTGCGTCTCATCTAACAAGCACCGTTCAGGATTCCTACACCTGGGTGTGAAGCCCCCCTCTCTTCTCTGTCCAGTTCCTCCTCTCATGGTCTCCAGTAAGCCCCAGATGCCTGGCTGACCTAAGCACTGGGAAGCCGGGGGGTTTTAAACAGCTGGGTGGCTGGAGGGGCCTCCGGGGACAGGGTTGGTGCTTTCTAGAGCCATCTGGGTCTTCTCCTTGATTGTCAGGGCCGCTTGGCCCTGCATCTGCCTAGCGGTCCCTGCTGGGGGTCCTGCCGGCAGGGCATGCAGGGTCTGGACCAGGTGAAGGTGACAGCCTGTCCCGCCCCCAGGCCTGCATCGACGAGAACCTGGAGGTGGTGCGCTTCCTGGTGGAGCAGGGTGCCACGGTGAACCAGGCAGATAACGAGGGCTGGACACCCCTGCATGTGGCCGCCTCCTGTGGTTACCTGGACATTGCCAGGTGAGGCGGGGAGGGTGGGCGGGGCCTGATGAGAACGGGCCCGGACCCCTCCGCTCTGACCTCGCCCTGCCCCCAGGTACCTACTGAGCCACGGGGCCAACATCGCCACGGTGAACAGTGATGGGGACCTGCCCCTGGACCTGGCCGAGTCTGACGCCATGGAGGGGCTGCTGAAGGCGGAGATTGCCCGCCGAGGTGGGCCTCGGGGGCTGCTGCGGGGCGGGCCCTCCGTTCCCGAGGACCCTGACTCTCTGGGCCTCAGTCCCTACGTGGGAAGCGGGGTGTGAGTACCTACCCCCAGGGTTATCCAGAGTAATTGGAGGAAGTGCTTGGCACAGAATAAGAGCGCCAACCACTGTTGGCCTGCAGTGTCACTTTATCCTCGAGTGACTGAGGAAGTTGAGGTAGAGGCTTGTCCAGGGATTCGTTACGTGATTGCAGGTGATCTCAGGAATTTTACTGGGGTGTGGGTAGGGGAATGCACAGGCTTCTGGGGAACTGGTCTGTCCCGTGCTCAGGATCACTGAGCCCCAGTGTCCTTAATATGGGGCCCAGGACCCCTCAAAACTCTGTCTGGCCATGCTCATTTTTCTAGGGGGAGTGTGTATTACTTCTAGCAGGTTCTCACCTTCCCCCTGCCCCGCTACAAATAGCCGTCTGGGGCCAGTTGGTGTGCAGTGTGCGTGGCTGAGCTGGGGGCGGAGGACACGGGGCAGGTCAGGTGGGGGATGGCCAGCAGCTTCACCGCTTCACCCAGTCTCCCGCCGGAGCCCTGGGTCACAGCCCAGCTGTGGAGGTGACTGTCTCATCCGCAGAGCGAGGGTGGCGGCAGCAGTGCCTCGCGGGTGGTCAGGGCTCAGTGGGTGGGAAGGTGTGAGCGCAGGGCCAGTGGGCCTGGCAGGTCTGGAGGGCTGCACAGGAGGTGCGGGCAGGCTGGTAAAAAGTAGATGCCGGGGCGTCCGAGGTGATGCCCAGACTGCTGGCTTGGCTCTGGGTGGGAGGGACAAGGGCCCGCCCTTGGGCAGCTGTGTGTCGGTGGTCGTGAGAGCCACGCAGGGTATGGAGGTGCTGGTGGGCGAGCCGAGGTGGGCAGCTGAGGTCCAGGAGCCCTGCTTTGGTTCAGGTGGAGGGGAGTGGGAAGCAAAGGAAAGACAGAACCGGGGTTTTCTCCCTCCCCTTCTCCACCTTTTTATCTCAAAAAACCTCAAACTCAGAGGCAGTTTTCGATAGCAGTCCGATGAGTGCCCACATGACCTTCACTGAGATTTACCAGGGCTTTTCAGCAGCCTCATGGAGATACAATTCACAGTGTGTACAGTTCACCCTTTGGAAGTGTACGATCTGGTGTTTGTTTGTTTTTAGTGTGTTCACACTAAATGTTGTGCATCCATCACCACATCGATTTTATTTTATTTTTAAAATTTTTATTATTTTTTAAAATTTTATTTTATTTATTTAGTTTTGGCTGCGCGGGCTTCAGCAGTTGTAGCATGCGGGCTCGGTAGTTGTGGCATGCGGGCTCTAGAGTGCAGGCTCAGTAGTTGTGGCGCTCGGGCTTAGTTGTTCCGCGGCATGTGGGATCTTCCCGGACCAGGGCCCGAACCCATGTCCCCTGCATTGGCAGGCAGATTCTTAACCACTGTGCCACCAGGGAAGTCCCCACATCGATTTTAGATGATTTTGATCACCCCCAGAGAAATCCCACACCCCTGAGCTGTCATCCCCAGCCCTGCATCCCTCTCATTGGCTTTGTGTCTCTAGATTTGCCTATTCTGGACGTTTTGTATAAGTGGAATCGTAAAGTATGGACTCAGGGGTTTTTCACTTTTTGGCATGATTGCCCGTGCTCCCTCCCTCTCCTCTGGGGGTGGACCTCCCTGGGTCTCTCCCTGCACCTGGTTCTCATGTCACGTCCAGCTCCCAACACCTGGATCAGCCTTCGCCCTCCTCACCCCCCGTTGTTTCACACACGGCTCCCTCAGCTTGGACCTGGCTGTTTCTTCAGTTCTGCAGTTTTGGAACTTCTCAGCGAGTCCCTCCGGGAGACAGGCTCTGTCTCTCTGCCCCGTTACTGGTGATGTTAACCTGGAACCTCGTTCGGGGGGTTGCCCAGGTGACTCTACCGTGGAGGCATCTTCCTCCCTTTGTAGTTAAAAAGTAGTCTGAGATGGGGATGGACACATAATACACTAATGTGTATAAAATAGATAACTAATAAGAACCTGCTGTATAAAAAATAAATTAAATAAAATTAAAAAAAAAAAAAAAAGTAGTCTGCAGGGCAATGCTTGGAGGCCACCAGGGGGTGGGTGATCTCTCGGACATCCTGTGTGTTTCTGCAGGAAGTGCCCAGAGCTCACATCACCTTCTCACAGCAGCCCATGTTCCCCTTCTGCGGGGCGAAGGTTGGGGGATGTTGGCTTGTAGGGCCGACCAGGCACAAAGGCCTGTGGTCCTAGTGGGAGGCCCCTCTGCTGCACTGCTGGGGGTGGGAGGCACCTGCCAACAGCACTGCAGCCACCACCTCCGGTGTCGGGTGGCTCCTGCCCCACGGCTCCGCGATGCTTGCCTTCACACGGAAGCCTCAGCGGAGCGTGGTCGGCAGAGTCTCTGCATTTTACCACAGTTTAAAAAAGAAGGGCTTCCCTGGTAGCGCAGTGGTTGAGAGTCCGCCTGCCGATGCAGGGGACATGGGTTCGTTTCCCGGTCCGGGAAGATCCCACATGCCGCGGAGCGGCTGGGCCCGTGAGCCATGGCCGCTGAGCCTATGCATCCGGGAGCCTGTGCTCCGCAACGGGAGAGGCCACAACAGTGAGAGGCCCGCGTACCGCAAAAAAATAAATAAATAAAATAAATAAATAAAATAAAATAAAAAAGAAGACAATTTATGGCCTTAGGTAACCACGGTCTAGGAGTTACATGGACTTGAGGCGTGGTTTGATCGAGGTGCACGGTAAAAAGAACCCCTCCATCACTGCTGAACTCTGTATTGACTTCATTCTTAGACAGCTTCTCTCCGTGAGGCATTGATTCTTAGCATGGCTGCTAGCAGTGCGGGCTGGTGCCCCAGCGGAGCTAGAGCTCGACTCCTCCGTAGCCCCATCCACAGTCCTCTGACTGGCGCTCTTAGGGCCGCCTTGGCCACAAGCTTGCCCCTGAGCCCGTCACGGTGGCAAGGAGGATGGCCAGGCCTGGCGAAGTGGCCACCCATGGAGCCGGGCTGTGGGCTCAGCCACGTAGGCTGAAAGCAGGGGTCAGGAAAAGGCAGAAGTCTTCACGGAGGCGGGAGACTGGATGCCTGCAGGTCCAAGCAACAGCTCCACCGCAGATGCTGTTCCCACAGCCCGGGCCGCAGGGACACAGTCCAAGCACAGGACTCTCTGGCTGCTTGCTCAGAAGGGCCATGGTCGGACCCACAGGGACTTGGAACTGGGCAGGGAGGACACGTAAAGTGTTTCTGAAGCATTTGAAGCAATCACTTGAAATCCTAACATCAGGACAGTGGCCGTGGGGCAGTTACTCTCAGAGACGGGCAGCTCTGACAGTCAGTTCCGGTGATGGCAAGGCAGAGCACTCTTATCTCTGGCTGGCAGGAGTGCGGGTGATTCCAGCCACCGTGGGAACCAGCTGGACAGCATGGATTACAGCTGGAGATCCACATTCCCAGTGTTCCAGCACTCCTAGGCCACCCGATGGAGGCTTCAGTGTTGAGAGGATGTGGCCAACACCCAAGGGCGAAGGGATCAGTCAGTAATCTATAAATGAGTGATCCAAGCAGTGGTCGGCAAACGTTTTAGGCAGTAAATTTTTTTTTTTTTTTTAGCCACACTACATGGCATGTGGAACTTCCCCGACCAGGGATCGAACCCAGGCCCCCTGCCCATGGAAGCTCAGAGTCTTAACCACTGGACCACTGGGGAAGTCCGTAGGCAGTAAATATTTTAGGCTTTGCGGGACATGCTGTCAGGTTGCAACCACTCTACCCTGCTGCTGTGGGGGGGAAAACAGCCAGGGAGGATATGTAAATGAGTGGGTGTGGCTGTGTTCGGATAAAACTTTACTTACAAACACAGGTGGCTGTCCAGAAGAGGCAAGTCCGCAGTGACAGGAAGTGGATTGGTGGTTGCCAGGGGCTGGGGAGGGACTGCTTAATGGGGTACGAGGTTTCCATTTGGGGTGATGAGAAAGTTGAGGTACAGATAGGGTCAGTAGTTGCACATTGTGAAAGTCCTAAAAGCCACTGAGTAGTATGCTTTAAAATAGTGAAATTGGGCTTCCCTGGTGGTGCAGTGGTTGAGAATCTGCTTGCCGATGCAGGGGACACGGGTTCGAGCCCTGGTCTGGGAAGATCCCACATGCCGCGGAGCAACTAGGCCCATGAGCCACAACTACTGAGCCTGCACGTCTGGAGCCTGTGCTCCGCAACAAGAGAGGCTGCGATAGTGAGAGGCCCGCATACCGCGATGAAGAGTGGCCCCCCAAAAAAACAAAACAAAACAAAACAAAAAAATAAAAATAAAAAAAAAAGACTGGCCCCCACTTGCCGCAGCTAGAGAAAGCCCTCGCACAGAAACGAAGACCCAACACAGCAAAATTAAATAAGATAAATAAATAAATAAATAAAATAGTGAAATTGGTAAATTTTATGTTAACCAAACTGGTGGCCCGCACGTGCAGGCTGTAGTTTGCCAACCCCCATGAAGAGCTCTGTTAATAAACATGGGCAAATCTCGGCAAAGAGCAAAGTTGCAGAAGGATGCGTTTGAACACGCAGGATACTAACTGTGGTTGCTGAATAAAAGATTGGCAAACTCTGCCCTTCCCTGCCCGCAGCAAGGCGCCTGCATCTATAATAGGACTGAATGTAGGTGATTCCCTTTGAGGAGGTCGGGGAGGAGAGAGGGAGGGGGGGGTCCCTGAGTCCCTGGCACTCTCCTGGCCTCCACCCCAGCCTGGGCCTGCGGGATGGGCCCTAGCCAGCCAGACATTCCTGGAATAGCTGCCCCTGGGAGTCCCCGCCAGCCAGGGGACCCTAAGGTAATCCATTGGAGTTTAGTCCGAGTGCCCAGGTGCCACCGGGTGGCGCCAGTGCGCAGCTGGACCTGGACAGATTTGGTCCGGGCGGGGATTGCGTTTCTGGGATCCTCCGGGTAGCCCCGGGGCAGCATTTCCAACCTGCAGTAAGGGTGTAACCAGTTTCACGTTCAGGAAAGCAGATTCATGATGGTGGTTACCTCTGGGGCCGCGGGGAGGGGCACCCTGTCATTGCCTCTGTTGCCTTGTACTGCTGTAAGCCAAGCGGCCGTACACCGCATCTTCGCCAGTGCTGTCCAGTGGAAAGCCAGAGTCAGCCACAAGCGTAATTGAGAATTTCCAAGTAGGTGCGTGGAAAAACAAAAACAGTTGAAGTTAATTATAGTAATATAGTTATTTAATCCAGTACGTCCGAGACATTATCATTTCAATATGTAATCAATATGAAAAACTATGCGTGAGCTGCCGCACACTCTTTTTTTCTGTGCTTCGAAATCCAGTGTATTTTACATTTACAAGGCGTCTCAGTGGGAAGTAGCCACAGTTCAGGGGCTCCGTAGCTGCACGTTGCTGACGGCTGTTGAGCAGGCCGGCTCAACTCTGTGCAGCGCTTGGGTGAGTGAGAAATTTCACAATCGAAAAACTAACAGCCAGTAATACACTTCCCAGGAGAGAGAGTACACATTCCCTAGAAGGGACTGTTTTTGACTCCCGTCTCAATAGGTCATAACGTGCAAAGTACAGATTCTCAGTGACAGTCTAAAGGTAATATTCCAGCCTCACAAGGCTGCCCGTTTTGATCCACAGTCAACTTACGTTTAAAGTCATAACTTGCCTTTTGCATCCATAAATGCAGTACAGTTTTCCATGAGACCAGTTGACTACAGTGAAATTGGCGAGTGAGGAAGCATGGTTGCCTCGCACAGATGGTGCAGGTGACAGCAGGGAACAGCAGCTGGTGGGAAGGTGCCGCTGCCCCAAGGTACGGGCACTGTTTAGTGGCTTTTTGCCTGGTTTATCCTACTCATGAGTGATAACGGTGACAAAACACACAAAGATGCTGGGCTAAGGACTGTATCTGTAGTGATAGGAAGTGTAAGATGTAAGATTCCTGCGCCCTCCATCCTCCCAGCCCCCAGCAGTGACTCAGAGACCCTTAGTGGACCCCAGGGCTTCACGGAGCATGGTTGGGAAGTAACAGAGCTAGTTCAGAGATAGTCCTCCCAGAGGAGGCTCAGAGCAGAGGGACCAGGCCAGGTGCCACTCTGTGCTTCCTGGGTCTCAGGATGGGAGTCCCACCTGTCCTCCCTTCTTGTCCTCCCAGGTGTGGATGTGGAAGCAGCCAAACGGGCCGAGGAGGAGTTGCTGCTTCACGACACAAGGTGCTGGCTGAACGGGGGCGCCATGCCAGAGGCCCGGCACCCCCGCACGGGGGCCTCTGCCCTGCATGTGGCCGCCGCCAAGGGCTACATCGAAGTGATGAGGTGAGCTGGGCCGGTGTAGACCCTCCCTCTTCCCCTGCCCCTTGCACTGGGCCAGCCTGTTGCTTCTCACTGTCTTACACCTTCTTGTGGATTTTGTCCCTTCCCTCCCTTTTCTAATTTATGTACCTAAGGCCATGCATTTCCCTCTAAGTACAGCCTTAGCTGCATCCATAAGTCTTGATGTGCAGGCTTCTCCCTGTCCTTCAGTTTAAAACGTTTTCCAACTTGTAGTCTTCCTTGACCCAGGGATCACTTAGAAGTATGTCGTTAATTTCCAAATACATGGGATTTTCTGGTCGTAGTTGAATTACATGCATGCCTCATTTCATTGTGCTTCGCCAATAGTGTTTTTTTGAAGATTTGTGGCAACCCTACGTTGTCAGATGAAGGTGAATGTTTTTTAGCAATAAAGTGTTTTTTAATGTATGTACATTTTTTTAAAGACATAATGCTGTTGTACACATAACGGACTTAACTTTTATATGCACTGGCAAACCAAAAAATTAATGTGACTCGCTTTATTTCAATATTTGCTTTATTTCTGTGGTCTGGAACCAAATCCTCAATATCTCCGAGATCTGCCTGTACTCACTTCCTGGCTTACTTGCACTGTGGTCAGAGAACAGGTTCTTTATGATTCCAGATTTCTGGAATTCATTGAGGTTTGCTTCATACCCCAGTCTGTGTAAGCTGGAATGCTTCATAACCCAGTCCGTAAGCTGGAAAAGAATTGTGTTGTTAAGTACAGCGTCCTATATAGGTTATTAGGTCCACTTTGTACTCATGCTATTTAAATCTTCTGTATCCGTAGTGATTTTTCCCCCCATCTGCTTATTCTCTCAGTTGCTGTGAGAAGTGCAGTAAAATGTCTCACGATGATTGGATTTTTGCTGTTTCTCCTTGTAGTTGTGTCAGTTTTTGTGCTGCATATTTCGAGGCCAGGTTATGTGGTGCATCTGTATTTTAAATTGTTGCAGCGTGTACTCTCTGCTCCTCATCCTCGCCTTGGTCTTGTCCATTTCTGAGTGCCTCACCCCTTCCTGTCAGTAGTTGGTTCTACTTCTTATCATCAGACTCCCCTGTTCTCTCTTTATTTTTTCCCTCTCTCTCATGTGATGTTATACTTTCTATTTAGTATATAAATGGAGTCCAGATGAATCTCTCCATCTCTGCTCACCTCTGTGTTAATGAATTTTTAGAAAGGTCTTCCAGGGGAATTCCCTGGTGGCCTAGTGGTTAGGATGCTGGGCTTTCATTGCCGTGGCCCAGGTTCAGTACCTGGTCGGGAAACTGAGATTCCGAAAGCTGCACGGTGCGGCTGGGGAAGAAAAAAAAAAGGAAGCTTTTCAGTGAGGAACTTAAGATGACGCCTAACAGCTCCAGGCTCATGTCCTGGCTGCTTCCCCTAATTCAGAGGTAGAGTGCCTCGTCCTCCGTAGTTCCAGCGAAAGTCCTGGGTCTGATACTCACTGGGCTACCTTGCACACCTGCTCATCCCAGGGCTGATCCCTGTGGCAAGGAGGGTGGGACACTGTGAATGGTCAGGCCCGGTGATGTGCCCAGCCCTGGAAGCTGTGCCCTCTTCTACCCGTGGCTTCCACCCCTGAGTCTCAGGTGGCTGCTTCAGCTCCTGCCATTGAATCTGTGTCCCAGCCAGCAGGAAAAAGCAGGGGGAAAAAGGAGCAAATGTCCATTTCTTTTAAAAGAACAGTCCAGAAGCGGCGTACATACTGAATACTGACATCCCATTTGCCAGACCCTTCTCAGCTGGCCACTCCTAGCTGTGAAGGAGACTGGGAGATTCTACTTCAGCAGGCAACCCACTGAAAGCTGGGTGCCATTTTTTTTTTTTTTTAAGAAGGGTCTTCCCAGGGCAGGGGCCCTCATCTTCATTCAGGGCTCTGCAGTGGCTCCCCACCTATTTATCTATTTATTTATTTGGCTGCACCAGGTCTTAGATGCAGCACACGGGATCTAGTTCCCTGACCAGGGATTGAACCCAACCCGGGCCCCCTGCATTGGGAGCACAGTGTCTTAACCACTGGACCACTGGGGAAGTCCCTGGGTGCCATTATTAAAGGTGGAAGGAGAGTGGATATTCATGGACAGCCTCATTCTCTGCCACAGAACTGAAACGCTTTGGCCTTAGAGATACTCACTGACTGTAATTTCATTTCCTCCCCTTAGTATGGGTTTATAACCGGATCTATGGACTGCATTTTTGGAAGAATGTAGCTGACATTCTCCTCGTTAAAGATGAGTGGCAGGGTAAAGGTGTACATTTCTTTGATGGTATTCACTCAACACTTACTGAGCACCTGCTGTATGCCAGGCCATCTTTTAGGTACTGGGGATATAGCAGCAAACGAGACAGATCTGGGCCCATGTGCAGTTCGCAGCCTTGTCGGGGAGGCAGACAGACAAGTGACTGAGGAAGCCGGTCACATCACATGGCCCTGAGTGCTCAGAGAGGGGTCCTCAGCCTCCACCCTGGTGACGTGGGGCTGGATAACCCTGGGGGCCTGTCCTGTTCATGGGGGTGGGACACTGACCTCCACCCACTAGGTGCCAGGAGCCACACCCCACCGCAGTAACGACAACCAGGCACATCTCTGGGCGTTGCCCAACGTCCCTTGGGGGTCAGCGTCGTCCCCAGTTGAGAACCACTGGTCCAGAGGGATATAAACAGGGCAGTGGGGGAGAGCAAGTGTGGTGGGGAGGTCCCCTTCGAGATTCGGGGAGGAGGTTGTGACTACCGGGGAGGAGGTTGTGGCGCGTGCTTGGGGGAGGAGCGGACGCCCACACGGCTGGAGCAGAGTGAGCTGGGGGGCCCCACAGAGGTGCTTTTGTTTAAAATAGCTCTTTACAAGGTACCTCGTCTCTCCGCCTTTCCCACCTTGCTTCAGCTCTTTCTCACTGACACGGAACCTAAATGCAGTTCTCTAAAAGCAGGCGTGTCTACCCTACGCTGAGTTTGCAGAATTGCCCTGGACCAGATCGTGTGGTCTAAGGTGGTGATTATCTCACGGGAAAGAACCGTCTAAGCCAGGGGTTCTGTCTCGGCACTGGTGGCATTTGGACCAGATCGTTCCTGGCTGTGGGCCCATCCTCTGTGCTGCGGGATGTTTAGCAGCATCCCTGGCGCCGACCCACTGATGCTTCTGGCTCCCACCCCTACGTTGTGACATCCAGAAACATCTCCAGACATGGCCAGACGTCCCCAGGCGGCTATGTGGTCCTGGTTGAGAACCGCTGCTCTGAGCCAGAGGGGTCCTGGAACAGTGCTGCCCCCAGGCCGCCCCTTCTGGGGTCTCATCCTTTCTCTAGGCTTGGGTGCTGGGAACCCCTGCCCTCACCTCCCCTGGAGCTGCCTCACAACCAGGGGTGACGCTCAAAAGAGTTGAGCACTGCAGGTACAAGAAGCAGGGTTCCAGAGGCCACCTGCTAGGCCAGGGGAGGAGTCAAAGCGGTGGCAGAGAGGGTCACTTCCGGGAGGGGGCGCCTTGGGGCCATGGCGCTTCACCCCCTGGCCCAGGACCGTTTTCAGTACTGTCACAGGTGGTACTGCCACCACAGCACAGCTGGCCGACCTTAGCTCTTGGCCCCGAGCCCCTGTCCTGGTCCTTGACCTGAGCCTCCCTGGCCCCCAGGCTGCTGCTTCAGGCCGGCTACGACCCGGAGCTGCGGGATGGGGACGGCTGGACGCCCCTGCACGCCGCAGCCCACTGGGGCGTGGAGGACGCCTGCCGCCTGCTGGCGGAGCACGGCGGGGGCATGGACTCGCTGACGCACGCGGTGAGGGCCGGTCCGGGGCCCCGGGGACGGTGGGGGGTGGGAGGGCCTCTCCACCAACTCCTCACCTGCCTTTTCACCTCCCCACCCAGGGGCAGCGTCCCTGTGATCTAGCGGATGAGGAGGTGCTGAGCCTGCTGGAGGAGCTGGCCCGGAAGCAGGAGGACGTGAGTGTCTGTCTGCAGCCAGGAGGGAGGGCCTCCACGTCCCTGGGGACCTGCTCTTCCCTGGACGGTGACCTGGGCCCAGTGGGGATCCAGGAGGAGGGGCAGAGCTGGGTACTAGGGGGAGGCGGGGCCTTGGGCCCCGGGGGACCTTGGGACGCAGATGGGAGTCATCTATCCAGGCTTGGGCTGGGCCTTGTCACCCCTGGGACGCCCCCCCCGCCAGCACTGGGCCAGGCCTTGTTGCTGGAAAAACGCAGAATGAAGGGGTGAACGGTGCGGACTCGGGGTCTGAATCCCAGCTCTGCCATGGATTTGCTGTGTGAGCTCAGGCCAGTCACTTAACCTCTTTGGGCCTCAGTTAACTCATCTGTAAAATGGGGATGGGCGCACTTTATGAGTTACATGTTCTGTTACGTGGAGTACGTATTATGCTATGAGTGGTACATATGTAACTAAACAAAAGCATTCAGAGCCCTGCCTGGCACACAGTAAGCACTCTTAGGTGGCAGGAAACATCTCCTGAGGCCTTCTGGGGGCCAGGCCCTCTGCCTGGAGCTTCTGGTGAGTGGCAGGTAGACAGGACCAGACCCCCGTGTTTACAGCTTGGCTGTGGCAACATTGAGGGAGACGGTCCTGTTTCCGGCTTGGCGGACTTGGGCAGCTTCCTGGGGACCAGGGCTCGCACACTGTTGAGGGAGCAGTACGTGCAAAGGCTCAGGGGTGGGGAGTCGTATGGTATCCGGAATTTGGAGAGGGGCCGACCCTGAAGGGCCTTGAATGCCAGGGAGGAGCAGTGTGACGGTGAGGAGGCTGGGGGCTCTGGGAGGGCGTTTAGTGGGTGAAGCAGGGTCTCTGAGAGGTGGGGGCACAGACGAGGCCTGGGGGTGTCTGGGAAGGGAGACCTGCAGCACAAGGGGTTTGCTAGGAGGGGCGGGGGAACTGCTGTGCAGGCTCCGAGGTGTGAAGACACAGCAGTCGGGGAACTGCGCCCTGAGATGCCATTTGGGGGCTGGGCCTGACAGCGAGCCTTAAGGGAGGAGGCCGGGCCTGGCAGCCCGTGTCCGGTGTGCTGAGGGGTTGGGGAGAAGTTTGGGTAGCTCGCCCCTGGGAGGTAGAGGCCAGGAAGCCTGGGGGCCCCTGAGTACTGGACGACTCATTTGAGACCCACGGCGCCATGTCTAGGAAAACTCAGCCAGTGCACAAATCATCTCATTCCCCCCTGTACCACCTCCACCCCGGCACAGTTGTATGTGGGACCCAGGAGGGTCTGCGTGTTCTGCCCCTCCCCAGTGGCTCCCTTCCCCCTTTCAGCTTCGGAACCAAAAGGAAGCCTCCCAGAGCAGGGGCCAGGAGCCCCAGGGGCCCTCCAGCAGCAAACACCGAAGGTAGGGGAGAGGCGCCTGGAGGGTAGGTGGGCTGGAGGTTCCCCAGGGCTTGGACCCCAACGCCCTCCCCTTCCCACCAGGAGCTCTGTATGTCGTCTGAGCAGCCGTGAGAAGATCTCCCTCCAGGACTTGTCCAAGGAGCGCCGGCCTGGTGGGGCAGGGGGGCCCCCAATCCGGGACGAGGATGAGGGAGAAGAAGGCCCCTCAGGTGAGGGGCTGGGGGTCTGGGGTCCTGAATCTGGAGAGGAGGGGGCTGCGGGAGGAAGGGCTGGTGCTCAGAGACCTCTCCTGCTTCCTACACTGTAGAGCCACCCCCTGCAGAATCCAGAACGCTCAACGGGGTCTCCTCCCCACCACCCTCTAGCCCTAGGAGCCCCATGGTGAGTCTGGGTTCCCGGAGGCCGTGCTGGCCTGGGAGGTTGTGGGGGGCGTAGCCATAAAGCCTGTGAACCTCTTGTCAGGGCAGGTGGGGTGAAGACTACAGTTCCCAGAATCCTCTGGGACAACTGACTGCCTTTTCCTGGCTGTGCCTGTCCTCCCCACCCCCCAGTTGTAGTTTGTGATGGTCCTTTTGGGGGTAACACTTGAAGTTCTTGAGAAGTAGGACCCGCTCCCTGTAACTGATACCCTTCCCTTCTCCAGACCCCCGACGAGGCCCCCTTCTCCACGCGCTTTGGCCTCCAGAAGACGGGGAGCTCTGGGGCCCTAGGTCCTGCGGAGAGGCGGGGCGCCGAGGGTGCCTCGGGGGCTGGGCTGCAGCGCTCCGCCTCCTCCTCGCGGCTGGAAGGAACCTCCACTCAGGTGAGCAGGGTGAGGGGCAGGGGACCAGACCCTGCCTAGTCAAGGAGAATAGCCCCCTCCTCTCCTCTCCCCGCAGGCCAGGGAGCCCCGTCTTGCCAGAATTACCCCCACCCCCTCCCGGAAGGTGCCGGAGTCCTCTGCCCCGTGAGTCTGGCGGCCCGGGTCCCGCCGGGAGTGGGGCAGGTCTGGGCCCCTGTCTTGTCAGCCTTTGCTCTCTGGGGTCTGGTCCCTGCCTCCCACTCTTGGCCTCAGTTTCCCTTTTGGTGCATTAAGTAAAAGCTCACAGTAAAACTCCAAGGCCACCGTGATCCGGCCTCCGGCGGCCCCCACCCGCCTCTCCAGCCCTCCGCCCTCCTTTCTGACGCGGGCTCGCTCCTGCCCGGGCCCTTCACTGTGGCTCCCCACTCACCCCCACAGGGCTTCCTTCCTCCCTCTCTCAGGTTTGTTTGAATGTCAGCTTCTCAGGGAGGCCCACCAGCCCCACTGCACTCACTGCCCCAGCCTCCGGACACGCACACCTCCAGTCTCCTGTCCTTGCTCTGTCTTTTCTTCTCCAGGGTGCTTCATCCTTCTGACGTATCGTGTGGTGTCCTGATCTTTCTGTGGTTATCCTCTCTTTTGCTTGCATCTTTTCTGCTCAGATCTGACTCATCGGGGCAGAGATAATTTGTTTCTTTTTCTTGTGCTTCTTGCTGTATGTGTGGTGCCTGCCACGTAACGCAAGCTTGAGTAATATTTGCTGATTGAATGCATTCACACAGGTCTGAGATCTCCAGGCCTCCTCCTCCCTTGGATAACTCCACTCCTGCCTCCAGGATTCCGGAGCCTGAATCCCCAGTGAAGCCAAATGTCCCCGTAGCCTCTGCAGCGCCCCCAGCGGACTCCCGCGACCGCCGGAGGTGAGGTGAAGAGGCCTGGGGGCAGGAAGCAGCTGTCTCCCCAGCTGGGAGACAGCTGCCTTACCCAGGAGTCCCAGGGTTGGCGCTGAGGTCCTCTGGCCAAACTTGACTTCCCCTGAGAGTGTCAACCATGGGATGGGACAGGGTCCAAAGGAACCCTCTCTGAGGTCGGGGCCCTTCGCTCAGGTCCTACCAGATGCCTGTGCGGGATGAGGAGTCTGAATCTCAGCGGAAAGCTCGCTCTCGCCTCATGCGCCAGTCTCGGAGGTCCACACAGGTGTGGGATGGGGGCCTGGACCCCTGGGTCTGAGGGAGGAGGGCCTGGGGGCCTAGACTCTGTCCTGAAGTGGCTGGGCCCTGAGTCCTGGACCCCCTGACTGCCCCCTTCTCCGTGCCAGGGTGTGACTCTGACAGACCTTAAAGAAGCAGAGAAGGCTGCAGGAAAGGCCCCAGAGCCAGAGAAGTCGTGCCTGCAAAGCCTGGTGAGAGGGTTCAGGTGCCCGGGCAGGGGGTGGTACAAGATGCCCTCGTCCTCTGACCCCCGCGCCCCTCTCCCACAGGACCCTTCCCGGCGACCCCGAGTCCCCGGGGTCGAGAACTCTGATGGCCCTGCCCAGAGAGGTGAGGTCTGGTCTCTGGGAGGTGGTCAACCTGGGCCCACCGAGCCTCCTGCTACAGTCTTACTGTTTTCCTGGGGGTTGGGCCCAGAGACCCTGACCCTGCAGAGGGGACCCGTCCACAGATCACTGGGCTGACTCCTGCCCCTCCCCCAGCAGAGGCGCCCGAAGGCCAAGGGCAAGGACCACAGGCCGCCGAGGAGCACCGCAGAGTCAGCAAGGAGTGGCGGGGACCTGCCGAGGTGCGGGGCGGGGCCCAGGCGGGCCGAGCTGGGGCTGTGGGCCGGCCTTGGAGGTGGGCTGGGGGTGGAGCTAAGCTGAACCCCACCTCCGCCCACAGGGGGAGGAGGCGGAGCCGGCGCCTGCAGACCGCAGCCCAGGATCCAGGTACAGGGTGGGCAGGAAGGGTTTGGGCTGTCTGTGGGGTCGTGGGCACGCCCCATGACGCCCTCCTTGCCCTCACCCCAGCACTCCCGAGGGCGGCCCCTCTTCTCGCAGGCAGCGGGACCTCAACCCAGAACCAGAGCCAGAATCAGAAGAGCCTGATGGAGGCTTCAGGAAGGTTCGCGATCCCACCCCACGATTGTGCCATTAACCCCCACTTGCTGGTTTTTATATACCTGCCCTCCTGCCCCCTACTTAGTGGCTCTGCCTGACCGATCCAGGCATCCTGCTCTTTTCCGGCCCCACCTGAGCCACAGTCACCCCCCTTCCCCGCAAACATGCGGCATCTCAGCCGGCAAGCCTGACCCCCGTGTCCCTCCTCCTGGGGCCCCCAGCTGTATGCAGAGCTGCGCAGTGAGAACGAACGACTTCGCGAGGCCCTGACCGAGACCACACTGCAGCTGGCGCAGCTCAAGGTGGAGCTGGAGCGTGCCACGCAGGTGAGGACGCCGCGGCCCTGGAGGTGGTGGGAATTGGCTGGCGTGCCAGTGCTGGCTCCGGATTCCTGGGAGGTAGGGCCAGAGCGTCGAGGGGAGGGGCCTGAGTGGTGGGGGTACTAGGACCCTTGGGAGGAGGAGCGTGGGCAATGAGGGGCGAATGAGGGGCAGAGCTAAGATCTCGGAGGCGGAGCCTGGCCCAAGAGGGGCTGGGTTTGTGGTCCTGAGCAGTGGGTGGGGAGGTCTGGGCCAGCCAGGAGTCTGCCTTTCCCCCTCTCACTGCTGGTTTCCCCCTTCTGGCCATTGCGGTTTGGATGCTTCTCTGAGCCCTGCTCTTTTTGTGTCCTCACCAGAGGCAGGAGCGATTTGCAGAGAGGCCCGCCCTTCTGGAGCTGGAGAGATTTGTGAGTAAGGGTGGCTGGAGCGGGGCCAGCTGTGTCCCCAGCCTTACAAGCTCAGGCGGGTCTGGATGAAGAGGGCCACACTGACCTTCTAACGTGCCCCTCTGCCCGTTCCCCGCCTCTCTCAGCCATACTTGACCTCTGGCCCTCCCCGACCCCCGGTCCCTCGTCCTCACCTTCCCGTTTATTCCAGGAGCGCAGGGCCCTGGAGCGGAAGGCAGCGGAGCTGGAGGAGGAGCTGAAGGTGAATGCTAATGGGGAGCTGAGGGCAGAGCGAGGGTGGGCAGTGGGTGCAGCCTGCCCAGGGCCACCTGGCTGACCCGTCCCACCTCGCAGGCCCTGTCCGACCTCCGGGCTGACAACCAGCGACTCAAGGATGAGAACGCAGCCCTGATTCGCGTCATCAGCAAACTCTCCAAGTGACTCTGGAGGAGGCCCTTCCCCCGCACCCATATTTATACAGCTGCTTCTGCCACATGCACCCCTTCCTTTGCGTGAACACGAGTGACAGGGCTCCCGGGGAGTCTCTGAGAAGCCATAACCTCCCCTCGGGACCTCCAGACTGGGAGGGGAGTACAGAGTCCCCAGGAGCCAAGGGGGGCCATCCGAAGCCAGGATGGAGGCGGAGGCCGAGCCAGGTAGGGGGACGTCGCTGAGGGGGGACTGGGGCTGGAGGCGGGACCAGGAAGGAACCGAGGACCAAGAAACGCCAGGACCAGAGTGGCCGCCCAGAGGTCCCCCCTCACGTGTGATGCCACCCTCATCACCCCTCCCACTCGTGAACAGGGATCCGAGAATGTGCCAATAGTCCCTCCGGCCTCGGCCAGGTGGGCCTGTATATAGGGTCCGTGTGCAATAGGGAGGGATGTCTTCTATTTTTTGCTGCCCCCTCGCGGCCCACTGTCTGGGGCAGGGGGAGAAGGTATTTTCGAGATAAAGCACAGGCACCACAAATAAAAGTCGTGAAGTTGCCACTCAGTGGCTGCGTCCTTGGCTGGAGGTGGGGCACTGCTTCCCATTCCCGTGCTGGGGCTGTGCCTGCCCGTCACGGGGTGGGACAGGGCTTCAGGAAGAGCGGCCAGTTGGAACAGAGGTCCCAATCCAGGGCCCACGTGGTCACAAGTTGGCTTGGTACAGAGCAGGAAGGGTCAGCCGGGCGAGGGGTAGGGGCTGTGAATATTGGGTTGGGGAGCTTGGGTCTTGCCATCACTGCTTTTGAAACAAATTTGAGTCAGTTGCCAACATTTAAAACTTGGGGTAGTTCACATATAAAAGTCCGGGGTTTTGACTTTCCTGAATAAACAGGACTCTGACAGTGCGAGCTGTTCGGTCCTGCACGGCCGCAGTTGGCTGGAGCCAAGTAGGAGCTATCCTCCAAGCTGGGGCATTCATTCATTCACTCGCCCACTCATGGTCCTGTTCTCCTTGCCTGGCCCTGTCCTACGTGTTGGTGGTACAGTATTGCATGAGACAGGGAAAGATCCCAGACATTTCAGGAGGAGAGGCATGAGGCACCCAGTGACAAAATAAAGGCGTTGCCAGTGGTAGTGCCGCGGAGAGAAAGCAGAGGGGGCGGCAGGGGTTAGGGAGGCTGGTGTGCGCGTGTGCAGGAGTGCGTGCCTGGCGGAACACTGATTGGCCCAGAGGGGGCGTGGCAGACCACGGGGGTCCGGGATTGGTCCAAAACTGGGGCCTGTCTGATGGCAACCCCGAATGTCAGGCTGTGACATTTTGTACAGGGTGGTCAGAATAGACCTTACTGGAAAGCTGGCACTGGCAGGTACTTGAAGGCGTCTGGGAACGAGCCATGTGGGTATTTGAGGAGTCTTCCGGATGAGAACAGCGTGGGCAAAGGGATAAAAATGTGCCTGAAATGTAAGAAAGTAGCAGGGGATGAGGTTGGAGAAGTAAGGGCTGGCCTCGTAGGAGTGTGGCCCTGGTAAGGACTTTTTTTTTTTTTTGGCTGTGCTGCGTGGCTTGCGGGATCTAAGCTCCCCGACCAGGGATTGAATCTGTGTCCCCTGCAGTGGAAGCGCAGAGTCCTGACCACTGGACCTCCAGGGAAGTCCCAGGGGAGAACTTTTGTCTTGGGGAACTGCTTGCTTCTGTGGTTCTTTGGTTAGAAACAGGGGCCGGGGCACCAGGCAAGAGGCTGAAAGACTATTAGACACCTGCTGGGGCTGAGAGTATTCCGGGTGAAACGAACAGCATGAACTGAGGCGTGGAGACGGGAAGAGGGAAGCAGAGCACTGTGCTCGAGAAGCTTGTACGCTTGGCAGGCTACAGGCCCTCAGCTGCCGAGCCACATCTTGGATTTTATCTGGTGGGACATGGGGAGCCTGGGGAGGTGTGTGAGCAGGGGAGAGGGTGGGGTTGAGAAGGGAAGGGATCTCGGAGAGATGATGTGTCTGGTTCCCGAAGGAAGCAGAGGCGTGAGGGCGGCAAATAGGGGCTGAGGATCAGCTCCTGCCTGCCTGGGGCTGTGCCTCTGGTTCCTTCCGATCTGGTTTTGGAGGGCGCCATCTGGTGGCTCGGCTAGAAGCTGACTGAGCTCCGGGGGAGAGGCCAGTAGGAATTGGTTGGGGTGGGGAGGGGAGCTTGTCAGGGGACATTCTGGGGAAGCAGAAGCGTCCAAGCTGAACCAGGTTGGGATCCAGAGAAAACCAGTCCCAAACCAGCCTCGCCAGCCACCCAGATGACGGGAAAAAGTTGCTGGCTGGCCAGAGGGAAAAGGAGCTGTTGCTGAGGAGGTAGGAAGCTTCCTGTTAGGCCGTCGTCTCACAGGATGAAGAGTGGCCGGGAAGCCTGTGACACATTCAGGAGGCAGCCACTTCTCCGTAGCTGGACCCCTGGCTGGAGGTGGAGAACAAGGTGTAAAAGTGGATGCTGGGAGACTAACCTAGGGGATGAGGGCAGGCTTTTCCAAAGAGGGTATTTGAGCTGGGTCAGGACAGCTGAATAGGATTTCAACAGGCAGAGAATCGTTCCAGCCAGCAGAAACCAGCCATTGTTAGAACTCCAGTGGTTGAAGGGGTTTGGGGAGTGTGTGGAGAAGGGCAGGACCAGAATGCACTGGGGATGAGGAGGTGAGGACGAGGTTGGAGATGTAGGGACCAAACCACTCAGGGCCTCGAATGCCAGGCTATGGGGCTAAGACGGCGACGGGGAGCCAGAAAAGGATTTTGAGCAAGGGGTGGACTGGGGCCTCGGGTGTTCAGAAGATCCCTCTGGAGTGAACTAGAGGACAGACTGGAGGCTGGGAGGTCAGGAGGAAGCCTGAGTTGGGAGGATTCAGAGAAAGAAACTAAAGAGAGTGGGGACATCTGCTAGATTCCTTTCCTGTGAGGCTGTTGCTGGGGTGAGGGGCAGGTTCCTGGCCCCTGGTACCCGGGTAGAAAAGGGACAGCAGTTGACATCGCCTGCTAAGAGGAGGCTGTTTATAGACTGGGTAGCATTATCACAATACACAGGGCTCCCGAGCGCAAGCACTTGCCCTAAATTGTCTCAGTGCCCGTTCTCGGCCAATACGAGAGCACTTCTTAGGAGACTCCATTAAGGACGGGCCGATTTATCTAACCGGACGGGATAAGACCAAGGCTGGAACAGGTCGGCGATCCCTGGAGGGATCTACTTCCGTTGGTGGGGGCAGTCTGCAGAGTCCGTTCTCCCGCGGGGCTGCTTCCTGGAAACTTAGCGGAGGGGCGGGGAAGGATCAAATGACTTCCGTTTCCACCTCGTCTTCCATCCTCTTCTTTTGCTTCTTCATTACCGCCTCCAGCTCTGACACTTTCTCTTTGTCCTGGAGTGGGGGTGGGGGTGGAAAATCAGGACCTTGGAGGCAGAGACCTCAGCGCCCTCCCCAGTCCGGGCTCGAGGACGAGCGCCCGCCTCACCTCCAGCAGCGAGCGCTGCACTGTGATCTGGCTGTACACGCGCGCCCCCTCCTCGGGGCTCAGCGCCCGAAACTTATCTTTCTGCAGCGAGAATAGCTGCGCGCCGCTCAGTGCGCCTAGCGCGGCCACGGTCCTGAGCAGGGGCATCCAGGGCACAGTCAGGCCTGTTGGCCAATCACGGCTCAAGTCTCCTCAGCCCCACCAACCACTTTACGCCCGCTTAGCCCTTTGTCCAATCTGAGCAGCATTCTAGCTCTCAAGCCGGGGGGCGGCCGCTGCTGATGGCTCCTGAATCCCCATCCACCAATCATAGCGCGCCGTGGGGGTGGGGGGGGCCTGCCTTCCAAGGGAGGCGGGGCTTCCCTAGAGACTCCAATCGGAGCCTGGAAAAACATGCCAATCACAGCCCGACAGTCACAGTTGCTATCAGACAGACCCCCGTTTTGGACCAATCCCGGTCTCCCGTGGTCTGCCATGCCCCCTCTGGGCCAATCGGAGCGCTCCGCCCCTAGCGCCGGTATCTCAGGGTCCCCTAGCCGGCACCTGCCACACTCACCCTGAACTAAAGCCCTTGCCCTGCAGCCAGGCGCGGACCTCCGAAGCGTTGGAGCGCGGGCTGAGCTGCGGCTCCGGGGCGCGGAGCTCCGGGGTGCGGGGCCCCGGGGCTGCGCGGCTGGGGCCTGTGAGGCCCTGGGCCAGGCGTGCCTGCAGCTCCTCGTTGATACTGAGCATCTGGGAGAATTTCTCTGCAGGCGGGAAACCGGGAGGGAGGGGGGACTCAGGGCGAAGGGCCCTGGGCTCAGAGGGTCGGGGACCTCCAGCGTCCTCGTGATGGGTCGGGACTCCGTTTACTCTTTCTGAGCCTCGGTTTCTCTGCCTGGAAAGCGAGGACAAGGACCGCTCCTTCGAAGGGGTGCCCCCACCACTCACCCTTCTTGCCGGAGTCCAAGTTGTTGAGGCTCTCGCAGCTGTCCCTGGGAGACCGAGACGGAGTCGGAGCCTGGGTCCGCGCTGGTCGGGCACCGGGAGCTGGAGCCAGGGTCGGCACTGGTGCGGGAGGGGGCGGGGGGGGAGGAGCCGGGGCCGAGGCTGACGGGGGAGGGAGAGCCGGAGCCAGGGCGGACGCTGGTGGGGGGTGGGGAGCCGGAGCCGGGGCCGACACTGGTGGTGGAGGGGGAGAGGGAGTGCTGTTCTCCTGGAGAGGGGAAAAAGAGGAGAGCACCTGGATCGGAAAGAGGACTGGGTCCCAGTCCCCTTCGCCTGGAGGTGAATTTCCGAATCCTCAGCCACTTCCTCTGCCAGTGACTTTGACCCCTTATCCCTCACGCCTCTTGTTCCCAGGACCCAGGATCTGAGCCCAGCCCCTCTTCCCTCAAGACCCAGGAGTCTGCCCTGGCTCACCAGGCTGCGGCCCCCCCACGGCCCCGGGTGGGGTGTCAGGATATTATAGGGTACATATCCCTCCTGCCCTCTCTGGTCCCGAACCTTCCACCACTTGCGCTGGTCATCCAGGACCTGGAAGAGGGAAGGGTTCAGAGGCTGTGTCTGTAGCTAGGGCTGGGTGGACTCCAACCCCCCAGCCCCACACCCCATCCCCCACTCCTCTGACCTCCAATATGTCCCACTGCTTGACGGACAGCTCGCTGCTATTGCGCGCCTGGAAGTCATAATTACATAGGACCCACTTTCCCGCCGGCTCCAGCCCCTGGGGCTCAGCTTCTGGTTCCTGGTCTTGGTGACTGAGGAGAAGGGGAAAGGGTTGCGGGGTAAGGAGGTAGCCAGCTCCACTGCTCTGGACTGTAGGGTGTTGGTGTGAGCTGGGGTTAAAGCCAAGCAGGGGTCGAGGCAGGGGAGGCCGGTTAATACTGTTAACAGAGGTTTGAAATTGTAATACCGGTTTGAATATATTGTGCTCCTTATGTGCCTGGCACCATGCAGTAGGCACATGATATGAGTACTAGCATCAGCTCCATTTTACAGATGAGAACATTCAGGCTCAGAGAAATAGAATGACTCTCCCCAGATTACACAGCTAGAGACAGCTGCTATTTATTGAGCAACTACTGTGTACTTGACTCATGCATAATGATAACTCATAAACATAATAAAAACAATAGTTAGCACTTCTATAGCACTTATTACATGCCAGACACTGTTCAAAGTCTGCTACATGTATTAGCTGATTTGATGCTAGAGACAACACTTGGTAGAACCATGAGTTTGGACCCCCTAGTTCCTTCCTCCCTCCAGAGACCCAATTATTATTTCCATTTTACAGGAAAGGAACAGTGATATCAAGTGACACGGTGATGTAAAGGTCACAGAGCAAGGAAGAGGTGTAGTCAGGCTGGGACCCGGGCAGGCTGGCCCCAGAGCTCATGTCCTGAGTAATTCCATTCTACTTGCACACAGCTGGATGTGAACCTGCGTGCTCCCATGACCCTGAGCTCCTAACTGGCAGCCTGTACAAACTCACAGACTTCTCCCTCTTTCAGGGAGGGATTATTATTTCCATTCCCCTCCTGCCCTCCGCAAAGAACTTGAAGCGCAAAAAAAAGGTGAGTTAAAAGCTGTGGGTGTCAAGCTCAAGGTTCAGAAGCACACCGAGAGGGGGGTCCGCTAGACCAGGCAGCTGGGGGGAGGGGAGCAGACTTTTAGCTCTGACAACCCAGTAAAAGGGACCTCAGCCCAGATCAGGCCTACCTGTGCAAGGGAGAGGGGAGTCTTCAGGGCCGAGGCACCCCCTGTGTGGGGCCGGCGGCAGCTCCCAGCACGCCGCCGTCTCTGCTGAGACTCTCTGCCCGAGCCCTCACCCAGACCCCCTTCTGCTCCTCCAGACCTGCGGCTTTGTTGTCTTCTCATCCCACGCAGCTTCCCTCCCATCTGCCCCCCGACATGCCCAAGGAATCCTAGCTCCTCTAGGCCCTTCTTCCCCCGGGACCCAAGAGTCTGCACCACCATTGCTTGTTGGAACTATGAATTTGCACCCCCAGTTCTTTCCTCCTCCAGAGACCTAGGAGTCCAGATCTCAAGCTTTAATTTCCTCGACCTTTTCATGCTTAAAAGGTCCCAGTGTGACACCCAGCAGGGACTGAGACAACTGCTCTACAGCCTTGGGAAAGCAAGGGTCCAGCCTCCCAGCCTTTACCTCTCTCAGGAGCCCAGAGATACTACCACTTCCTAACTTTCCCAGAAATTTGCCCCTTGGCCCTTTAAGTCTCAAGCCTACTTCCCTGGGTCTCCAGGGTCCCAAGCACCAGACTTGAGCTCTTCTTCAAAACCCAATATCTAATTCCCCAGCGTCTTCTCTCCAACACACAGGACTCTGTCCATATAGGGACCCAGGCAGGGAGCTTCCCAGGCCCTGGGAAACCAAACTGCCTTCTTCCAGACCTTTGGGGATCTAGGGGTCCCTCTCAGACTTTACCCACTCCCAGCACCCTCCTCCCTTAGACCCTGGAATCTGGGCCTCCAGTTCCCTCCTCCCTAGAACCCAGAAGTCTGGGCCCCACTCCCTCCCTCGTTGATCCTCCCCCGTGTCCCAGCCCGGGCCCCTGCCTCATCGCCACCTCACCCACCTTTGAAGAGCCGGGAAGACAAAAGGAAAAAGAAAAAAGGGGAAGCGGAGTCAGCGCTGGGACCCCCCAGGGCGCACCCGTCCTGGACCCCACCTGACCCGACTCACCCATTGACAGCGACCTGAGGAGTGCTTTGCTGCAGGAGATGAGAGCAGTAGATCAGGTGGGGCCCGGCCTGCGCCCCAGAATTCCCAGTCACGGCCCCCCTGTGTCACCTGGGGGAGCTTAAGCCTTAGCCTCACCTGCTGGCGGCGCCGCTCGTGCTGTAGCTGTTTCTCTACTGGGTCCTCCCAGGTGCGGCCCTGTGGGTCCGTGGCTGTGGGCTCCCAGCCGCTGTAGAACTCAGGTCTGTATGGGGGTCCCTCCTCTGAGGGTAGCTCCATCCTGCAGCCAAGGAGGGGCAAGGGATCCTCAGGGATCCTGGTATGACCTCCCTGTCAGTAACCTCATGAAGTTTACCCCCTCCCCTTAAGCCTCGTTCTATTCCAACAATTCTAATCCTGCCCCCTTTTGCCAAGCCCTGCCCTTGCCTCTAAGCTGCATCCACGACATCAACTATATTTGTAAATACCCTGATTCCATTCATGCTCCGCCCTGGCCTCTGAATCTCACCTCTGATTCCAAACCGTGTTTCTAGCTACACACATCCCGTCCCTTTCCCCTAAGCCCAGCAGCTAGCTCTGCACCTACTCCCTTGAAGCTCTCAGCCTCCAAGCGCAAAGACTGCTCCCCCTTTCCAAAACCACAGACCAAACGTTTCCTAAGCCCGCCTCTTCGGCATAGCCTCACTCCATTCCTCTAAGTCCTGCCTTTTATTCCGGTTTGAGGTTGTTTTCTTTTTAAAATCATGCTACGAAAAACCTAACTTTAAGATTTATTTTTGCAACTTTTTTAAACAGAGGAAACAACACACTCCTTGGGGAAAGGTGAGTGACTAAGAGGACAGGTCCTGGGTACAAATTACTACCACAGAGCCTGGAGTTGACAGGCCTGCCTAGGAGAGAACCACCGGCACTGCCACACCACCAAAGGGGGTAGCTGCTGTCTGAGGCTCAGCAGACAGTTTCATACGCCACGCAAAGCTGCTCGCCTTCCCTCATCGGATCGTGGCATTTGACCTAGTCCCACCTGAACTTCAATTTCTTTGGCGACACCCTCTAGCTAAGCCCCACAACTAACCTACCCTCCTAGCCCCATCTTTCCAACAGCCCCGCCACTTCCTCCCAACCCCACCCCTAAATCACCAGGCCTCCTGCTTCCCAGCCCTGTCCCTCCAATCACCACGCTCCCAGCCAGCTCCGCCCCTGGATCACCACGCCTCCTGCCTTTCAGACCTGTCTCTCCAATCACCACGACCCCCGCCCCCCCGCCCCGCCCCTGAATCACCACGCCTCCTGCCTTCCAGGCCTGTCTCTCCAATCACCACGACCCCAGCCTCCCAGCCCCGCCCCTAAATTGCCGCTCCTCCAGCCTCCCAGCCCCGCCCCTTACCCCGGGCGGGTCCAAGAGTCCCCCAACGAGGTCCAGAGCGTGTTTTCAAGTTGGGTGACGTTGTCCCACAGCAGCGCCACAGCCTCGGAAGTCAGATGCGGCCGCCGCACGCAGCTCGCGAACTGGGGGCCGCCCGAGGTGTCCACAATCTGGCAGCGGCACAAGAGTGGGCAAGCTATCAGACCTTCTTGAAGTGGAACCCTCCTGCTGCAGGCAGCCCTCAGGCCGGGGGTGTCTCACCATTTGCAGAGGTCCGAACAGGAAGTGCAGCAGTTCTGGGGAGGAGGGGTTGGCGATGTTGCTGCGCAGCCGGGCCTGTGGAGCCGGGGAGGTTCTGGTATTAGTGCGCGGACAGGTCAGGTTTGTTATTCCCCTCGCCCCCTGACGCCCCGGGATGAACGCGTCCTCACCAGCAAGCTGAAGGCGTACTTGATTTTCTGAAGCACATCAATGAACTCGGCCTCTGAGGGCGGCTTGGCCCGCAGCGTCAGGAGGCCCTCTGTGGGTAGAGAGGCACGCGCGGTGATGGGGCACATGCAGACAGCGTCCGGCAGGGTCGAAGAGAGAGGCAGAGACCCAGTGAGATCGCGATAGGGAGTCAAACTGGCAGGGGGTGCAAGAGGAGACCCAAGGGAGAGGATGGATATTTGGGAGTGAACAGGAAGGGGGTGTTCAGGATTGCCACTCGGTGGCGCCTCCTCACCCCCGGCCTCCCGGTGCCGGGTCCTGCGGCTGCGCTCTCGGTGCTCCAGCACTCGGGTCGCCTCGGCAGACTTCTGCAGCCTTGATACGAAGGTCTCCACGTCGTCGAACACGTGGTTCAGGATGTCCTGGGGGGCAGAACAGGGGGATACGTGGGACCCCTGAATCTTGGACCCTCATCACCCCTGTCCAAGCCCTCTCAAACCAAGAGCGCTTAGGCATTTAGGCCAGGCCACGCCCTCTGATGCTTGACTCTGCCCCCATTCTGTCCCCTCCGGCCACCCCCCCAGAAGTCTGACCAAGTCCCCAGAACCAAGCCCCACCCCCTGACAGAAGATTCACACCTGCAGCCAGTCCCACCCCGGCCCTAGCCCCGCCTCACTCACCACTTCCCGCTCCGCCTGCAGACTGGCCAGGTCTGGGCCGCAGGGGCCCAGGTCCCGATAGGTCGGGTCAGCGCTGCTGCAGACCTCCGCCCGGCCCGGCCTCCGCATCTCTGCAGTCTCTGGGATGGGGTCCGCCTGGGGTCGCCCGCGGCCCGCGGCCGGCTCCACCGTGTTGATCGCGGCGCGGACCGTCGGGCGGTGCTGCAGGGGCGGTGTCTCGGCGGCGGGCGAGGGGTGGCACTGCAGCTCCTTTCGCGTAGCCCTGCGGGGGAAAGGGAAACTGAAGCTGGGCACACCGAGGGGTCCGGGAGGGGAGAAATTCGGGGCTTCAATCTGAAACACTGTGGCCCAAGGGGGTCAAATCTAGGCTCTCAGTGGTAGGGAGAAATCCGATATATGGGGGATGGGAGAGCACCTCTCCGGAGGGAAACTGAGGCAGAGGGAGGAGAAACCGAGGGGAGGGGAGTACACTTGGTACAGGGTTTGTTTGACTCCATTTAAAACTCGTTCTGCTCTAGGCTAGTGGTATCCACCGATTTCTCGGTTGGGGAAACTAAGGCCCAAAGAGGGGAGCCGGCTCCCCAGAGACCTCCCCGTCGTCTCTTCTCCCCAGCTTCCAGCCCGGCCGCCTTACCTGAGCGCCGCCGCCCTGCGCTCCCCGCGGCCCGAGCGATAGTTGTGCAGAGCCCCCTGGATGTCCTCTCGGATCAGCTCCGCCTGTCAATCACGCCGTCAGGCCACGACCGCAACCCACCCACTGCCCGCCCAGGCGGCTCTCCGGATCGATTCCTCAGCTCGGCCCCAGACCACGTCCAGTCATAGTTCACGCACTGCGCCCACGCACGTCCACGCCCTGAACTCACCCCCCGGCTCTTAAACTGTCCCTGCCTTAGGCCCCTCCCCCAACCACGGAAGCCCCGTCCAGATGGCGCTTCGCCCCTGACCACACTCACTCCCATCCTAGTTCTGGCTGCTCCCCCAGACCCTCACTTCCATGTTCTGTCCACGTTCTGTCCGAGCTCTTAGCTCTTAGCCTCCGTCTCCATTCGGCCCTCTCGATCCTTCTCGACCCTACGTTCAATCTGTTCTCAAATCCCCCTCCCTCCCAGAATTCCTTTACAGGTCACGCCCCCTCCGCTGGCCCTGACCCCGCCTTTGCCGTACACCGTGCCCCTCGTCTTAGAGGCCCCGCCCCGTTGGAGGTTCGGCTCCGGACTCCGCCCAGTTTCAGCTCCGGGTCCGGAATCCGCAGGGTCTCAGTCTGTGGCCCCGACCCCCGCTCGCTCACCCCCAGACGCAGGCCCTGGAAGAAGTGCACGTCGGGCTGCGTGCGCTCGGGCTCCTGGCACACGAGCAGCAGCAGTGAGCAGCTCTGGCCCGGCGGTATCACCGTGTCGCAACGCACGATGGCGCTCAGCGGGTAAGACTCCAGCTCCTCCTGTGGGGTGGAGGGTGGGACAGCGGGTAAACTGAGACCCTGAGCCAAGGATACTCCTAAGTGGTGACAGCAGTGCCAGCACGTACAGGCACTGCGCAGGGCAACCTCCACCCCAAGTTGAGGGGCCAGGGATAACGCCCCTGTTTAATAGATGAGGCTAATGAGGTTCAAAAAGGGGGCGGGGGTCCCTTGCCAAAGTTCCTAGAGGAAGGACGTGCAGGAATCAAGATTCACACTCAGATCCCTGAGGTCCCTAGGGCTCTCCATGCCTTGGTGGGCTCAGTCCAAGCTGCTCCTTCCACCCGTGTGCCCCGTGGCACCTTGGAGACTGGGTCCAGCAGCGCAACGTGTTTGGGAGACACGCGCAGCAGCATGTCCTGGGCCCAGACGCGGCCTTGGCTGTCCATGAGGGCCAGCTTCCGCGAGGCGTCCTCCACCGTGTGCACGCCATCCTCCTCACCCAGGCAGAAGGTCACCAGGTGCTGGAGAAAGCAGTGAGTCCCAGGATGAAGCCAGGTGGGCTGAGAAGCCCCTGGAATCAGCCTTATAGCCTGCGACTACGCACACCTCCTCTGGGAAGCCTTCTCTGATCACCTGCGCCACCTCCTCCCAGTGCCCTTTGTGTGTCTTCCCTGGGTCTAGCTCTCCAGCTAGACCCCTTGAAGGCAGAGAATGGTCTGGATTATATCTAGTTCCTTCTAAGCAGCTCTACCTCCGTTAGAGCACCTGGCAATTTTGCTGGTACCTCTGGACCTTGTCTGACCCCTCCTCATCCAGGATTGCATCTGATTTGTCCCTGTGGTCCAACTATCCAGCACAGGAGCTGGTCCAGAGGAAAAGTTGGCGGATTCAAGTGGAACTGAGTTCCTCCACTGAATGCCCACATCTGAGGCAAGGCAGAAGAAGTCCACTTTGCAGATGAGCAAACGGAGTTTCCCAAGTTCTTGCTGCTTGGAGGTCCAACTGCTTTCAACTCCCCCATCTCCTCAGGCCTGCCTTGCCTCCTGCAAGACCCCCCGTGGCAACACAGACCCCAGACTCACATTGACTGGATATTGGGAAACATCGGCCATAACCTCGGTGGAGTAACGCTTCCTCTGTTCTGTGGGGGAAGAAGGAGAATGGCTGCAGGAGACCCAGCTCCCAGCCCCTTCCCCCTCAGACTCAGGAGTCCAGACCCCCAGCCCCTCCTCCCTCAGAAAAGGAGTCCAGACCCCCAAACCCTTCCCCCATCAGATCCAGGAGTTCGGGTCCTCAGTTACCTCCTCCCTCAGACCTAGTTTCTCTTGGCCCGGGGCTTCCTTGCCCCTCAACTCACCATAGATAGACTTGGCACTCCGTTTGGGAGAAGCTTCTGGACTAGTGAAGGAAAAGAGGGGTGAGAGGGGCCATGGGAATTGGGGGCAGATCATGGGAGTTTTGAGTGCCCAGCAGAGCTTGTGAGGGCGGTGGGGAGCCATGGAGGGTTTTGAGCAGGGGAGGGCAGGGCCAGAGCTGGACTTTAACGAGACAAGTATGGCAGTGGTACTGGCTCGTGGTGGCGAGTGTGGTCTCTACTGTCACACAGACCTGGGTTCGAATCCCCTGTCAGCTACTGCTTTGTCATAAGACCCCGGGTGGGAGACGATCTCTCCTGCTTCAGTTTCCCTTTCCACAAGACAGGGGTTGGTTACCCTATAGTGTCCGTTGGGCGAATTCAATGAGGTGATGCAGTTGGAATGTTGTGCAGCCTTAGTAACTGTTATTATCATCATTAAGGTGATGCAAAGGGCCTAACACACAGTAGTTGCTCAATAAATGGGATTTTTTTTTTTTTTTTTTTGTGGCTGCGCTGTGCTGCGTGGCTTGCAGGATCTCGGTTCCCCAACCAGGGATTGAACCTGGGCCATGGCACTGAAAGCGCCAAATCCTAACCACTAGACCACCAGGGAACTCCCAATAAATGGGATTTTTTACAATAGCATTAGTATTGGGAGTAGATGGAACGTTATCTTCTTCCCCTCCTACCCCCACGGGCCAGGTTCTTTTCAGCCAGATCTTTCTCTGAGAATTCTCGAGTCCCCATTTCCACAGAAATAACAGCTCAGAGCTTGGTTGGGGTCGGAGATGAGAGAGGAAGGACGAGAAACTCTTTTAGTCAAACCTCTGCTCCTCTTCCTGCCCTTGTCAGTCAAATCTCCCCACAATTTGTTTACCTCTGGGCTGGAGAACTCACTCCCTTCCATCTCCCATGCAGCTATTCCCACGCTTTTCTCTTTACCCTTCTCCCTTGCTCACTCCAGGAGACTTGACCCTTCATTATAAACAGCCCTGAGCTTTTAGCAAAGGGTCAATATTTAATAATAAGATATAACAACTGGGAATTCCCTGGAGGTCCAGTGGTTAGGACTTGGTGCTTTCAGTGCCGTGGGCCCGGGTTCCATCCCTGGTTGGGGAACTAAGATCCCAGATGCCACGCAGCGCAGCCAAAAAAAGAAAAAGAAAAAAGGTAACAACGATGGCCTAGCAGCTCTCATGAGTTGCACACCTGCTGTTGGTCAGATGCTCTGCTAGGTGCTGTATGTGCATTAGCCTGTCGAGCTCTCAGAATTGTCCCTGCTTCATGGAGGAGGGACTGAGGCTTGAAGAGGTGATGTCCTGTGGCCAGGGCCACACCACTGCTGAAAGTTAGCGCCCGGATTTGGACCCAGGTCTGTCTGCTTGGCAGCAGGCAGCTCAGGTGGTCCTCGGAGTGTCCAGGCCTGGGCTGCGGGTGTGGATGAAAGGGTCGGGGGGGAAGGGCGGGGCGGCCGGGGGACCTGGTGGGCGGGGGTACTTACCCAGTGGTGGAGCTCATGGTGCCGAGAATGGGGAGCTCCTGCCACCTGGAGCCCTGGGAGCCAGCAAAGAGGTGAGGCCGGACCTGATCGCAGGACCTATGATTTCTGCCCCAGCACCTCCCCGCTCAGACCAGGAATCCGGGCCCCCAGCCCCTCCTCCCTCAGACCCAGATGTCCAGGCCCTCAGGCCCTTGTTCCTTAGACCAGGAATCTAGACCTGCAGGCCCTCCCCCCTCACACCTAGTACACTGCCGCACCCCCAGTTCCTCAGGGCTCCATGCATTCAGCTCCCTAACCTGTGTGTACCCCATTTTCCTTCCTCTACCCAGGGATCCTGTCTCCCTGTCTTCTAGCCTTTTACCTTCTCAGGGGCCCAGGAGTCCAGAACTCAGAGCTCCTTGTCCCTTGGAACTAAAGGGTTTGGACACCAAGTCTCCTCAGAGAACCATTCATCCAATTCCTCAGCCCCTACGACCCATAGTCTTCCCTTAGGTGTTCGGGTCCGATCTCCAGCCCCCAGCTCTTCAGAACTAGACTTTAGTTCCCCCAGCCTTTCCTGTGTCTGGACCCAGGAGTCTGGGCCCCCTGCTCCCCTCCCCCAGACCCAGGAGTCCCCACCTCCCATCCCTCCTCGCTAGGACCCAGCTCTCTTCCCTGGGCCCCCTCCTCACCTGCTGCTCAAGCTGTGTCAGACGGGAGGCTCTGAGCTCTTCTCTCCCTTCCCTACAGGGGCCTCTCCTTCCTGCTCACTCCCAGGGCCCTCCCTCCTCCGCATACCTGAGCACTCACCTGGTACAACCTGGCCCCTGGGCGTGGCCCCTGGGCGGGGCTGGCTGACAGACCCAGGGCGCCGGCTGGGATGTCCTCAGGGGAGCCAGAACGCTTATTGTCTCCATCACAACAGGAGAAACTACAGTAATTCGATGTCAAACTCCTTCACGCGTCAGAAATACCCCCTTCGAATTCTCCTGGTATCTCTGCGATTCTCCTGGTATCTCTGCGAAGTTGATTGCTGCTTGTTCATGGTCAATGTGGAAGGAGCCACCTTTCCATCTCCAGGGCTGGTGTCCATCCCTGCTCTGTGCACACCTCCTGTCTGGCGTTCCTATCTCCACCGGTGCCCTCGGCCCCCAGCCCTCCCCTTCCCTCCTCCTTTGGAAATGTCCCTCAGTAATTCCCCATAACGATGACAGCTAAGACTCAATGCCCAACACTGCTCCAAGGGCATCACAAAAATGAACAGGCTCCCCAGGCATAAAAATCTCCTTTCGAGAACTTCCCCTGTGCCATGGTCCTCGCTAACTGAGTTATACACACCGCTTCTTCCCCGAACCCAGTGAAGTGAGTGTTGGGGTGTCTCCATTTGGCAGATGAGGAAACTGAGGCTCACAAGGGCTCAGAGACTTGCTCAGAGTTACACATGCAGTGAGTGGTCTCCCTGCCGTCTTCCTCCCCAGTCCGGTCTCAATGCATGGACCCCATAGAAACCTAAATCAGCTTACGTCACTCCACTCTCAAAAGGCTTCGGTGGCTCCCCATTTCTCTGGATAAAAGAGAAGACCTTCTACAAGGCCTTAAGTGATGGTACCCTACCTCATCTCTTCCTTTGCTCCTTGAGTACCCAGATGCCATTCTGCCACAGGGCCTTTGCACTTGCTGTACCCTTTGCCTGGAAAGCTCTTCTCATATCCTCAGATGAGAAGAGGCTTGCTCCCTCATCTTCTTCAGGTCTTTGCTTGAATGGCACCACCTCGGGAGGCCTGGCTGGCAACCTTGTTTAACATGGCAGCACCTCTGACCCTTCCCTCCTTCAGAGTCTCTTCCCTCTCCCCCAACATTTAGTTTATCTCCAGATCATTTATCACCCTGTAACACACTATATTACCTGTTTATTTTGTCTGTTTTATGTCCTCCCCATTAGAATGTAAGGCTTCATGACAACAAAGACTATTGTATGCTCAGTCCCCCAATGTATCTGCAGCATATAGAATAGGGTCTTGCACGTAGTAAGTGCTAGAGTGACATTTGTTGAATTACTGAGTTTTTGTATTTGGTGCGCTCATGTGCATTATTGCTTCACTGAACACATGTTGACCCCACAGTCTATACTAAGAGAGGCTGGAAACCAGAGAAGGCACATCCTTGTCCTGGATTGATGGGGAAGAAAGAACAGACAGAAAGAGAGATAATCCTATTGTGTGGTGTGATCATAAAGAGCCCAAGTGGGTGTGGGTTCGAGTCCTGGTTTGCCACTTAATAATTTTGGTAATACTTATTGTGTGCTTATATCCTCTTCTGAGTACCTTGTGTGTGTGTGTGTGTGTGTTTGTATAAACCTCACAACGTCCTAGGAAATGGGTTCAGTTATCCCCATTTTATACATGAAGAAACCAAGACATATTAAAGTTAAGTAACGTGTCTATAATCACACAGCTAATAAGCGGTAGAGATGGTTGAACCCAGGCCATACAGTTTAGACACTGCATCTTGGTTGTTACTCTGTGCTACCACCTCATGGTCCAGGCCCCTATCTAGCTGTGTGACCCTGGGCAAATTACTTAACCTCTCTGTGCCCCAGTCCCCCATCTGTAAAATGGGGATAACAGCACTGGGAAGATTAAAGGGGGTTACGGAGAGGTCTTAGTACAGTACTCGACGAAGAGAAACTCCTAGGGAAGAAGTGTTAGCAACCACATCGATGATGTCTTTCTTTCCACAGGTCCTATCATGGCAGATGCTAAGGGTGCCTCGGAAGCCTGGAAGCGGCTCCTCAGAGGGTCAGGGCAGGCTTCCTGAAGGAGGAGGGGTGGGGTGGCCAGAGCTAAACCTGAAGGGCAAGTTTGGCAGCCCCAGGTGGCCTGGAGGATGAGGGAGGAGTGTTCCAGGCCAGGAACTGCCTGAGCCACGGAGGGGAGGGCCATCTAGCCAAGTCTCAGTGGCTCCGGGCCATGACAAATGCAGATCCGGCTGAAACCAGGCCCTTTCTTCGTGTGCAGGTGGAGAGAAGTGTCCTTGTAAAGGCATGCAGTGGGAGTCGGGGGCCTGGACCCCTGGGTCTGAGGGCCTGGACTCCTGGGTCTGAGGGGGGTGGGGTTGGGGGCCCGGAACCCTGGGTCTGAGGGAGGAGGGGCTGGTGGCCTGGTCCCTGGGTCTGAGTGGGGAGGGGCTGGGGGCCTGGTCCCTGGGTCTGAGGGAGGAGGGCGGTGGAGCGCAGGCGCCCCCAGGCCCCACCCACAGCAGCTTCTTTGCGCTCCGGAGCAGCAGGTGAGACCAAAACCCAGCCTCCGCCCTCGTTCAGAGCCCAGGGCCTCCTTCCTTCTTCCCTGCCACAAAGGAGGCGCCTCCCTCTCTCCAAACCATAGCACGTGGTTCCCAAATACCAGTGGAGGCTCACACCCCTGCACAGTCTGCCTCAGTAAGCCCTGGGTGGAGGCGCTCACCGGGGGGAACCCGGCACCAAAACACCGACAGTAGAGCGCCTTTTACTGAGTGAACTTTAGGACTCTGTGGGTCTGAATTTGCCTCTGTCCCTGAACTGGGATAGCTTTGTTATTGGGGAACTGGATCGTTTATTCTCTCTGTTGGGAGATCCCAGGAACCAAACAGAATTCTCACTGCTGCTTGTTAAGCCAAGATCCTCTGTATGTCATATCTGAAACCA